TCCCCTTCCTGGCACCAACACGGCAGGTGAGCACTCCTGTGCACTCTGGGCTGTCAGGGAGCCTGTCGCCAGGCCTGGGTGGGGCTGTGCTGAGAGCAGCCAATCCCAGGCCTAGCTCCACACACAGCCCCTTGGTGGGCCCAGCAGGCCTGTGTCCACTATGGCTGGCCTCGGCCTCGGCAGGCTGAAGCCTCAGCCCCAGCAGGAGGCTCCTGGAGCTCCAGGAAAGGGAGAGGCCCTGGGCCAGGGAGGGGGCGGGGATCCTGGCTGGGTTTGCCATGGGCCTCTGTGGGATTAGGGCTTGGCTTCCTCCTGTCCCCTGAGCCCCTGAGCCAGGGAAGCAGCAGCCAGGCGCTTTGGACATTGACCGGGTGTCGCCTGCTCCTCCCCGTTCCTGCCAGCTGGCCCCAAGCTCCCTGGTCGGGCATGGATGTCCAGCACTGAGCCAGGGCCTGTCCTGGTAGGCAGGGGCCATGTGACTAGCCTGGGGCTGCTGAGGGTTGTGGGTGGCACCCGTCGGGAACACTCGGGGAACTGTGGGGACAGGGACAAGTGGACAGCAGGTGGACACGCTGCTTTGTTCCTCTTCCTTTATCTTACATGACCTTTTTCAAAGCCGAGGCTATGACAGTGTGACCTCCATTTCTTCCTGTGTTGCCAGCATCCCCTAACAGGGCAGTCCCAGCTGCTGCTCCCTCTGCTCATTGGAGTGGTAGGAGCAGGAACTTCCCACCAAGTGCCCGAGAACCCAGCCACAGCCGCTGGGAGACACCCCAGTATGCAGCTAACTCCCCCAGTACTTCCTTTGCAGGTCTGAGTTGCCTGGCTGTCCGCCCCCTCCCAGTGGGAGCATGCCGTCTGCCTTTGAGAGGGTGGTCCGGAGCGTGGTCCGGGAGCTGGACAACACACGGCAATTCACCCCTGTGGACAGCCTGGGCAGCTCCAGTAGCTTCCGGCCCTACTCCCTGCTGCACAGGAAGCCCTCCAGGTCCTGGTTCTGGAAGCCCCGCTACACCTGTGTCAACATGTCAATCAAGGACATCCTGGAGCCCGAGGCCCCAGAACCAGGTGCCAGTGGCGTCCATAGCAGGGCGGGGGGAGGGCACCGCGGCCTGGGCCCAGCCTGGCCACCCTGGGCTTTCAGGGGTTTCTGGGAAAAGATGAGCAGGGGGGAGTGGCTGCTGGCACTGGCCTGGGTGTGGCCCCGAAAGCTGGGGGAGGATGGCGGCCCCAGGGACAGCCCCGGTCTGATCTCACTGCAGACTTGGAGTATGTGGGCCCCTTCCTCTTCTGTGATGCCACGGACGGGCAGCTAGAGGGCAGCGTACAGCTGGCAGGCCCTGGGCAGGGGAGCATTGCAGCCGAGGCTGCAGTTTCCAAGAGCCACAGCACCTCCATGAACGTGTGCCGGCTCCTAGTGGACTCCAAAACCTTGGAGAGCCTGCACCGGGATAGGTGAGCAACTGGTGCAGCCACCACTGGGTCCTGGGGGCCAGGATTAGAGCCCGAAGGCATGGGGAGCTGGGGTGGGCATTCTCGCGCTGCACCCCACCGACACCAGCAGGTACAGCATTCCTGGCGGCCACACACTGCTGGGTGCCCTGGGCAGAGGGTCAGCGGGCAAGGAAAAGGCCGCTGGGGTTACCCCATGAGCTGTCTGCCCCTGGACCACAGGCGACTGCGGCGGCCAGAACCCAAGATCCTGCAGCAACTACGCCAACGTGGGGAGGATGTGTTTGTGGTGACAGAAGTGCTGCAGACCCAGCAGGAGGTACAAGTCACCCAGGCTGGCAGGCTGGAGGGCTCGGGCCAGTTGGGAGTGCCTGGAGCCGTGTCCTTTGAGGTGCGTGTCCGTTCCTGACCCTGGGCTCCCCCTGGGCGGGCAGCATCCCGGGCACCCTCTGTGGGCACTCCCAGCCCCACCTGTGGCCAAGGAGCCAGAGCGTCCTGGGCCCATGTTGGCCACCAGTGCTGACGAGCCTGTCAGCATGCAGCCCACAGCCCTGGCCCCAGAGTCCAGAGCCCAGCCTAAGCCGTGTCATCCCTCAGGGGAAGGGCCAGGGCCACCTGAGCCGGAAGAGGACAGTCACCATTCCTGAGGGCAGCATCCTTGCCTTCCGCGTGGCCCAGCTGACCATTGACTCTGACTGGGGTGAGCACGGGTGGGGGTCCGGGAGGCTGGCTCCTGGGTTGGAGCAGGGCCCGAGGTGGGGAGCCCCTGTGTGCGGGCAAGGGCGGTGGGCAGCAGCTAACCACCCGTCCTGTGGCTGTGCCTGCTTCCAGACTTGCTTTTCATCCCAGGGAAGAAGCAAAGGACCTTCCAGCGGCCCGGCAGAGGTGAGGACCCGAGACCTCCCGGCCAGCCCCTGGCCCCTGGTGCCCATAGCCTGCGGTGCCCATGGTGCTGGCGGGAACCTGAGGAATGGGACTGCTCAGCCCTCTGGCTCAGGGTCCCTCCCAGCCTCCCTGCCCAAGTGACAAGCCTTCCTGTGCCCCAGACGATTCGTCCTCCCAATCCTGTGTGGCAAGGTGCAGCCTTAAACACTTTGAATTTGAAGAAGGTCAGTGGCCCGTTGGCACCCAGGGAATGCTGGCAGACTCCCCTGGCTGGGGCCGGCCCTTTGTGATTGGCATGCCGTACTGGGAACCTACAGATGGGTCTGACGAGGAGTCGGGGTTGACTGAAGACTTCCGGGGGCTCAAGGCGGAGGTGGAGGACATAGGCCGCCAGCTGCTGTGCATGGATGCCACGCTGAGCCGGAAGCTGCTGGGGGGCCTGGCCGCGGCACTGAGGGACCCCACGGCCCTGGGAGCCCTGGAGGAGCTGGTGAGCTGAGGGGGACGTGGGTGGGGCGGGGTTTCTCTGGTGCCGGCTCACACCCCACATGCCTGTGCACCCCAGCTGGAGCAGGGCCTGTGCGGCAAGCAGCTCCAGCCCCTGGACGGGGTGACCAGTGCGGTGTTTGAGTGCCTGATGCTGTCCTCCGGGGAGCTGGTGGAGGAGATCGCCGACCCTGTCCTGTACCTCTTGGGGGCACTGACCGGTGAGGCCCCACGCCTGCAGAGGAAGGGACAGGGGCTCCCTGGGCTGGGCCTTCTCAGTCACACCTCCCTTATGCGCTCTCTTCAGTACTGAGTGGGGATCAGCAGGAGCTGCTGGCCGAGGTGGCGCTGGACACGGAGGCCCTGGCGTGCCATCTGGAGCTAGTAAGTGTGCGAGGGGGCGGGGCATGGTGGGTCCAGGGCCTTACTGAGTCACCCCACCCTGCAGGTGCACAACCTCCTGGAGCAGAGTGCCCCCTGGCAGGAGCCCAGCACCATAACCCTGCCCCCCGGTCTGCTGGAGAGAGGCTGGGATGAGACCAAGCCTGCCTGGAGCCTGCTGGAGGAGTGTGGCCTCGAGCTGCAGACAGCTGCCCCACATGTGCGCTGGGAGCCACAGGCCCAGGACCGTGCATGCGCACTCTACACCTGCCTGGCACTGCTGTGCAGCCTGAGCCAGCAGCTCTGCTAGGTTGCTGGCTGTGCGTGAGGACAGGTGCTGGGGCAGCAGTAAACGCAGTGTGTGAAGGAGACAGTATGAGGATGTCTCTGAGGGCCTGGTTGGGGCGGGAGGAGGGTGGGACAGACCCTGAAGGCGGGAGTCAGCTCGTGGTGGCTGACTCTGCACCCAGCAGTCAGTCCAGAGCAGTGACTACAGAAACGGCCCCTGTCCAGGCACGTTGGCTCGGAGCAGGAGCCAGTGTAGACTAGGCGGCCAGGTCAGCAGAGCCGGCAGCTTCCAGAAAACAGGCATTGTGTCTTATGTCCAGGTTCTGCTGGCACTGAGCCACAGGTGCCCTGGGGGCTAGGATGGGCAGGACAGAGGTGGCACATTGTGCAGCTCAGGTCTGTGTGCGTCCTTTGGCCCACCGCCCATTCCTGTCCTGCACATGGACACTTGAGAGGCCAGGGGAGGGGACGGACAGGGTAGCCTGGCTGAGAAAGTACCCAACAAGCTGGCCCAGTCAATGTCCTGCCCACATTGGCAGAGGGCTCATGCCCCGCTCGAGAGCAGGTGCACACCACAGCTGGCACTGGCCAGGGGGAGCCCAGCCCTGCCCCCCATTGGACCCTGCTGGGCTTCAGCAGCTGGTCATACAACACACCACACCCCCTGCAGTCTCTGTGAAGGTCGGGTTGACTCAGGGCCTGGACCTTGCACAGAACCCCCATGCCCTGGCAGAGGTAGCATACTGCATGCTGGGCCTGGGCCGAGCCAGGTGGGCCGCTGTGGCACAGAGGCTGGCCCCAAGCAGCCAGCTCTGGGCAGGTGCCTAGCCAAGGCCCTGTGAGCTCCACAGCCACTCTTCACCAAGCCCCTGCCACAGGGGACACTGGGGACGCTGGAAAGGGGTGCAGATCCACAAGCCTGGGCCGCTGGTCGGCATGGACAGCATATGGCCCTGGTTAGTGGGGTGGCCGAGGACACACCTCGTGCTGTCCTGCTGTCTGAGGGTCTGGCTTCACAAGGATATGCCCACAGAGACCCAGAACCCGGACTACAAAGCTGTCTGACCTTGACCTTGGCGGTCTGAGCAGACAAGACATGGAGGCTTGCTGCCTTTATTTTGTAAAAAGGGATGGAGACCGTCCACCTGCTGCTTGGCTGCCCCGAATGGCTGCGGCAGGCAGATGTGGCCAGGCCACGGCAGGAGCCGCATCCAGCTCTCCCACCCCACTCCCTTCCCGCAGTCCCAGGCAGGCTGGGTCAGAAGTGGAGCCACAGGAGGTGAAACTTGGGCCGGAGTAAGCAGTGTGGCCCGCCCCCACGCATGGCCCTGTGTACCAGGTGAGCATTGCTAGGCGGGCTCAGCAGCCGGAAGATGCTCACCACCCTGAGTGTCCTGCTGTTGCCCATGCTGTTCACCGCCCAGCAGACACGCGGTGCCCCAGGGCTGACCCCACACGTGTGGGTCCTGCAGGACCATGGATACCCCTGTGTCCTGCACCCGGAGGGGCCTTTCGTGTGGCTGCGGCCCGGATCAGGGGCAGCCCCAGCGGTCGGCCAGGCTGCGGCGCTGGAAGGGGCTGTCGGCATAGACGGGCGGGGGCCGGGCCGCCTGAGCCCCTCGCGGGAATAGACGGAGCAGGAGGCTGCTGCGCGCTGGGCCTGGCGCTCGGGCCAGCATCGCCACCTGCTGGGCGGACACGTGCGCCGCAGCGGCCACCGCGGGCACCGGGTCACTCTGCAGCTGGTCTAGGTCTGCCAAGGGGCGGAGGGAGCGGTCAGGCAGGCCAGAAGGGCACCCCCCAGGCCCTGGGACAGGGTCGGGTCTCACCCTGCAGCAGGGAGTCCAGCAGGTCCTGGCTCAGGTGGTTGGGGCTGGCGTGATGAGCAAGGAAGCCTGGACAGAAGCCCTCCATGAGCCGCGGGGGCCCGGCCGGCCCCACCCCGGTGCCCCCACCCGCCGGCCTCACCTAGGAGCACAGCTGCCGCCCGTCGCAGGGGGTCCTGCGGGCTGCGCAGGTAGCCCTGGGTTTGGCTCAGGAATTGGCGCAGGTGGTCCGGGTGTCTCTGAACCTGGGAGTAAGGGAGCTCATGGTGGGATCCTCTCCAGCAGCCAGCCACGCCCTGGCCGCACACGCCCTGGCCCGCCACTGACCAGGCGATGGCAGACGCGGCTCAGGGCCTCGGGGCTGTCGTAGTGGGCCACGGTGACCACATCCTCCAGCAGGCCCCAGCGCAAGGCCTGGTCGCAGCGGGCCAGGGTCCACTCGGAGCTCTGCCACATGGGGGGGGAGAGAGAGGCTGAGGGCTCAGGAGCGGCGGACGTGGAGGGGAGCCCGGCCCAGAGAGGCAGGGCGGCTGACCTCGGCAGCGTCCCGGCTGGGGTCGTGCAGGCGCAGCAGCAGCGGCACCAGGCTCTTCAGCGCCAGCCTGCGCAGGGGACCGCGGAGCCCCAGCCGGAGCCCGCCGCGGCCCCGCCGCACCAGCGTCCCCAGCAGCCCCGCGGCCGAGGCGCGCACCGACTCGCGGCCCTGAGGGTGACACTGCGTCAGGGCGAGCAGGGAGAGACGGCGCGGGGCTGGGGTCTCCTGGGGGCGCTCCGGGGAGAGGGGGCTCACGTCGTCCAGCAGCGGAGGGAGGCGCGGCCCCAGCTCGGAGCTCAGGAGCTGCACCGGTGCCTGTGGCCGCAGCAGGAGCTTCCGCAGCGCGCCCAGCGCTGCACACACGAGCCGTGCGTCGCCCTCTCCCAGGGCGCCCAGGAGCGCGGGCAGCAAGGTGCTCACGTGCCGCACCTGCCGGGACGGACACCCGATGACCCCCCGCAAGCGCTGCCCACCGCCCCGCCCCACGCCGCCCTTCCCAGCCCTCACCTTCCTGCGACTCAGCGCCAGGTGGCCGAGGCCGAGCAGGCCCAGCCAGCGCACTGTGGGCTCCGGGTCGCCCTGCCAGGTGCGCAGCCGCTCCAGGATGGCCTCCTCGCGGAGAAGCTGTGCGGTGGGCCGGCTCTGCAGCAGCTGGGCCGGGCACCCAGGGTCAGCCCCGAGCGGCCGCGGCACCCAGCCCTAGGCCGCCCCACGCTGCCCACCTGGGAAGCGCGCTCACCCCGGTGAAGAAGGCCATGGCCGTGAGCCGCTGCGGGGCATAGGCGCTGCGCAGCCGGGGAAGCAGATCGGCGAAGAGGCCTCGCAGGTGGTGGTCGGCGTGCGCCACCATGGCACTGCGTGGGCGGCAGTGGGAGCACTCCCTCGGCTTGGGGGCCTCGGGACCCTGTCTCCCCTCCCACGCCCGCCCCTGCCCCCTGCTCCGAACCTGGCCAGCGGCGAGCCTCCTTCCGGGGCGCCGTCCAGGGCGGGGGGCCTCTCCTCACCTGGCCAGCAGCAGGACGCCCTCCAGGTGGGTGTGGGCTCCCACCAGCCTCCTCCAGCCGCCCGCCTGCTCCATGCACGTGACCACCATGCGGCCCCCGTCCCCAGTGAGCAGGGCCTTCAAGGCCTCCACAGCGCAGCTGCGGTGTGAGGCGGGGCCACGGGCGAGAAGGACAGTGAGGCCTGGGCGGGCTGTGGCGGCCCCAGCCGGCCCCTGTGCGTGGCCTCTCACCTGGCGTGGCTGTGCGGCGGTCCTCGGTGAGACGGGGCCCAAATCTTAGGGGAGTCGGGGGAGTGCACCCCCTGGGCCAGCTCGTGTAGCTGTGTGACCAGCGCAAGCAGCAGGTACGAGTAGAAGCCCCGTGTGGCTCCTACACAGCCCGACACGGTCAGCATCTCCCCGAGTGCGCGGGTGGCCTGTGGAGCAAGCCGTCGGCTCAGCTGGCAGGCCCCGCGAGCACTCGGGTCGCCTCGCATGGGACGTGGCCCAGTTGTCGGCCACGCGCTGGACCTTCTACGACTCAGCCCGCCCCTGCGCCCCGGGTCCGAGGAAGTGCCTCTGGCCACCTACCGCCAGCGCCTGCGGCTCCCGCCCCGGTGTCCCCTTCAGCGCCCGCAGCAGCTGGACCAGCACCTGCCCGTTCACGCGCTGGTTCCGGCTCAGGCTGCGCCAGAGTTCGGCCGCTGCCCTGAGGGTGAGATGGGGCTGCGGAGCGGTCCAGCAGTGCCCCTCATCCCGCCTGCGCGCTCCAAGGGGAGACCCCAACAAAGGCTCACGAAATAAACCTGGCATTCCATCACTTCTCCAGGACTCAACCGCCACCCTGCGCGCTCACCCCTCCAGAGTCGGACCGGGCATGCGCCAGCCGAGCTTGGGAGCTGGGGTTCCTGGGCCCCTGGGGCCAAGCGGGAAGGGGGAAGGAAGCCGCGGCGGGGAGCGGCGGGGCGAGGGGAGGGCGGCGGATTACCGGTCTGGAGGCAGGGAGCGAGGCAGCAGTGCGCACACCACATCCTGAGCGTGGTCCAGGGCCAGCGCGCTCAGCACTCGCAGCGCTGCCCGCCGGGGCCTGCCCTCGGCCAGGATGGGCACCTGCGCCAGCAGCCCACGTACCAGGGCGTGCACCTAGCGTGGAGGTGGGGGCGCCAAGGGCAGAGGTCACTGGCCAGGTCAGCCAGACCCCAGCACATTGCTGAGAGGCCAACATTCCACCGGGTCAATCCCTGACCCCCAGGGACACCCCACAGGTGCCTAGGGTGGGCGGGGCTGACCTGGTCCTCCAGCCGCTGCCCTCGGGCCTCCAGGGCTGAGGACAGGGTGAGCGCTGTGGTCTGGGTCCCAGCAAAGCCCGCCTCCTCCAAGCAGGCGGCCGTGTACAGTGCCAAGTCGGCAAGGGCCCCATCATCCCAGGAACTCTGCCAGGAAGGGCGCAAGGACAGAGACAGGGCTGTGGGAAGTCGCCAAGTCCCTTGTGCTCCCCCCACCCTAGCCCCCTCTCACAGCCCCTCTCCTTCCTGGCGCTGCCCACTGTCCACTGTCTCCAGCGCTTGGCTTCCAAGTCCAAGGGAATCGGAAGACTGCCCGGTTAGGTCCAGGCACAGAGGAGCCTCCACTTCACCGCTCACCTGGCAGAGCCGCTCGGGGACTGGTGCCTGGGCCGGCTGTGGGGAGCCGGACTCCTCGTCGCTGCCAGGGGTTGGAGCCCATGGTGTAGGCTCAGCCTCAGCTTCAAGCTCTTGGGGCGCAGGTTGGGGGCCTGTGGAAGGGGGCCCCAGGCTCCGCTCCTGATTGGCTCGGATCCCTTCAGCCACAGCTGTGAGACTTAGGGCACCTACAGGGGCACCCCGGGCCCGGCCCCACACACCCCCAGCCATAGCTGCTGAGCCAGCAGCAACCGCGGCTGCTTCTCCCCAGGGAAGTCGTGCCCAGGCCTGACCTACAAGTGGCCTGGGGCGGGCCGTGGGTGGGCGTGGCCAGGGAGCAAGTGCGCGTGCCCCCCCCCCCGTGGAGCCGGCTGAGGACCTGGCCAGGTGCTGGCTGTGTCATCAGCTGCCGCCAGCCCCTCCCGGCAGGAGCTGCTAAGGAGCTCCCGCTGGGGCCCAGGGATTCCAGCTGGCCGATTCAGCTCGAAGGAAGCAGGAAGGGCGGGGCCGTGCCTGGCCAGGCACGCAGGGCACGAGGACCACGGGGCAGACTGGCACTGTCCCATGTGCATCCAACCGTGGGCATAGGAGGCGGGAGGCTTCTGACCCCCAGAGTCTCCCCCGCAGGTGCCCACAGAGCTGTGGCGGAAGCCCTGGGAGTGCCCAGGGCAGCGATGTTGTGCCCCTGTGTGTTTATGAGTCTCCCCGAACGCGTGCACTCTGGGCCAGGCCTGCCCCACCCCCTGCCCTACTTCTCCACCTTGCTCCCTCAGCCGGTCACACAGGCGACCCTGCCCGCCCTGCTCCTGAGGAGCCAGACCAGCTGGTCCAGCAGAATACCTAGGCCCCAGGAAGTGCTGCTGGCAGCACCGCCAGCCCCTCCTGGCAAGCCCAGAGCCCTGTCCTGAGGGCTCCGGGCTTGGCCCAGGCCGCTCACCACCCTGCTGTGCTTGGCAGGGGGCGGGGCTGGCCATGGACCCACCCTCGGAGCCAGCTGCCTGAGTTCGGCAGCATCACGGCTGTCCAACCCCCTTGCCTTGGCGGTTTGCTGGGGGAGCTGCCGGGGGTGGCCGCCACTGTGGCAATGGACACCAGCGCCTCCCTAGGCTTGGGAAACCAGTAACCAGTGGTGTCCCCTCTGACAGTGGGCAGTGCCCTGGCAGTGCAGGAGCCTGGGTGGGCCCACTCGGACCCCTCATTGCTGGGGTCCGTGATGGATGTGGAAGACAGGAAGGTGTGAAGAGTACCGTTCCTTTGCAGGCAGGGCCGCAAGGAACTTCCCGCTGTGTGGCAAGGCCCGGCGGATGTCTCTACAACACCTGAATGTAGCTCTGCCTCCCTTTGCATGGACACCGGACAACCCCACTGAGAATTCTGTAATCTATTTAGGCATTGTCTGCCTCTGCGGAGTTACTGTTAAATATCAATGGGAGCTTAGAAGCTGATGTTGCTGTTGCCGTTTTTAGCCAAAAAGCTGTTATTGCTGTTACGGCTGCATCCTGTGGCAATAGCTAATCAAGGGTGCTAACTCCCCTTTTGATCCTATGCTAATCAAGGGTGTTCTGTCTTCAGGTGTAGTGGAATCTATTCTTTCCCTCTTTCTTTGATCTTTTAGGTCCCTTCCTTCCTTGACTGTCTCAAGACTAAGCTGTAGAGTAATTGTGGCAGGAATGTGTTAGTGATTGATATGCACTATCTATTGAAAACTTTTTGCTAGCCTTAGGTGAAACAAATGGCAGAGTTATCTTTAGAAACACCCACTTGACCATGACGTAAAAAGTCTGAGCCAGAGTTTGACTGGTTCTGTATAAAGCGGACAGCTTTCCCGTATTGTCCATTATGATGATCTAGAGTTCCTAGTGGTCCGTCTCTTTCTTTCTTTGCGCCTCATCCACGCACCCTTCGCGAGTTCCGAACTCAGCTGGAGCTGGACTCCGGCACCTCATGGCATCTCCTCTGGCCACAGCACCATCGCCCCAGTCTGCCTTCAGCAGGCAGAGGCCTTCTGCATGGGGGTAGCTCCCAAGTTCAAGGTAAACAAACCATCCCCCAGGGCTCCAGCTGCTGCAGCGATCCAGCCCTTGGAACCCGGGTGCGCCTAGGCCCTGGGCAATGGGGGAGAGTGTATGGCCAGCCACAGGAACAAATGACACGTGACACACCGTGGGGGCAGCAAATGAACATGTTGCTTGCGGTTACTGACCCCAGTCCCGGGGGCCTTCACAGGGAACTCCCGGTGCTCAGACTGCCCACCAGGGCCTGAAGCCGCTCCGACAGTGCCACCTGCAAGGACAGGGAGGAGCTGCTGGGTGGTTCTGGGGGCGGTGCCCAGGGGATTCCTCTAGCCACCTCACGCCTACCTGGTACTGCTCAGGGCTCTGCAGCCGCCTGTGAGCAGCCCTGAGGTTGCCCAGGGACCGCTGGGCAAAGGCTCGGGACTCAGCCAGAGAGGGGAGTGGCTGGCACAGCTGTGGGAAGGACACAGCATGGGATGGTCAAGAGGCAGCAGGAGCAAGGCGGGGGAGCTGTGGCGGGGTGCAGAGGAGTGGGGGAGCTCGGGCAGGGTGCAGAGGAGTGGGGGAGCTCGGGCAGGGTGCAGAGGAGTGGGGGAGCTCGGGCAGGGTGCAGGGGGGTTGGGGAGCTCGGGCGGGGTGCAGAGGGGTGGGGGAGCTCGGGCAGGGTGCAGAGGGGTGGGGGAGCTGTGGCGGGGTGCAGAGGAGTGGGGGAGCTCGGGCGGGGTGCAGAGGGGTTGGGGAGCAGAGGTGGGGTGCAGAGGGGTGGGGGAGCTCGGGCAGGGTGCAGAGGGGTTGGGGAGCAGAGGTGGGGTGCAGAGGGGTGGGGGAGCTCGGCTGAGTGCAGAGGGGTGAGGGTCGGAGTGGGGGGTGGTCACCTGTCCCCTGTGCACCCAGAGCCCCAGCAGCAGCTCCACTTGGGCAGGCCTCACAGTGCGAGGCTCCTGGGCCCCTCGAGGCCAGACCCTCAGCTCCTGCCCGGGCTGGGGGGAGGGCTCTTCTGCCAACTGCAGCAGGTCCAGCAGGGGGGACCCTGGTGTGGACAAACAAGAGTGACACGGGGAGGGGTGCTAGAGGCTTGAGGGGACGTCAGGGTAGTGGGCCCACCCACCGTCAGCGTCCAGGAGCCGGAAGGCAGCTTTCTTTCCAGGCAGTGTCTGCTTTTCAAGGTCCTCGGTGAGCTTCATGCGCGGCTGGCCCCCCACACACACCAGCTGTGGCAGCATAGGTTGTTGAGCCAGCTGGCTGTGGCCCCTCCCACCCCCAACCTGGGCCTGGGAAGCCAGCCCCACCTTGTAGACGCATCCCAGGGAAGGCTGCTGGGGGCAGGTGACCACGCTGGTGCCAATGCCAATGACATTGACCTCACTGCCCTGGCGGACATGGGGAGACGCTGAGCCCCCCTGGATGCAGGGGGCCTGGTGCTCTCCAAGGCACCCCCACACCCACCTCCTGCACCAGCCGTGCCAGCTCCTCCTCGTCCACGTTATTGCTGACGGTGATGCTGACCCGCTCCAGCCAGGGCATCTGGAACCTACGAGGGGAGCGTGGAGCCCCGTGACCCACCTCCCCAGCTGGTCACAGCCCTCGAGGCCCCGGAACCCCAAGAAGCCTCCTGGGCTCACCGAGCTGCGGTGCTCTGCAGGATACCCCGGATTTCCTGGGCCTGCCGCAGGAGGTCACCGCTGTCCAGCCGCAACCCCACTGCCCGGTAACCTAGCTCCCCCAGGGCCAGGGCCACCGCCAGGAAGTTAGGGAGGCCACTCCTGCAGGTACAGAAGAGGGGCTAGGGCTGAGGCTGCTGTGCCATGCCCCCCACCCTGGGAGCGGTGCTCCAGGCTCACCTGCACACACTGTAGGAGTCCAGCAGGCCCTGGAAGGCCTGGGGGAAGGCCAGCGCGTAGGCCACGAAGGCTGCCCGCTCCCCAGGGTGTGGCTCCTGCACGCCCAGCCCCAGGTGAGCACACACCCTCTCCAGCCACACCTTCACATGGGCAGGCAGGTTCACAGCAGGCCCCTCACCAACTGCCGGGGCCAGCATCTGCAGATGGCCAAGAGAGGATGGGTTTTGGTGCAGGTGCCATCCGTGCCAGCTGCCCAGGGTGGGCTTGGCACCGGGTCAGAACGGCCACCTGTGTGCACAGGTGGACCTGCCCCACCTGTGCGACAGAGGCCGGCCTAGTCTGTCCTGGGTGCTACAGTTGAGGGGAGTACTGACCGGCTCAGGGGGCACCTCACTGCCCGAGAAGGACGTGATGAAGGAGTGGGCCAGGGTCCCGGCCACGGGCACGCCCCGCAGCTGTCCAGCCAGCACATTGCTGCTACCATCGAAACCTGTGCCAGGGAGGCAGGTGGGCAGTGGCAGCAATGTGCTTCCTCTCTGCCCAGCACTGCTCCCGCGGCCCCCAGGACCCTCACCACCCAGGTAGCTGTAGGTGGAGGCAGTGAGCCCCCCATCTGGGCCCTGAGCACGCCGCAGTCCCAGCTCCAGCAGCCGCTTCTCGGGGCCTGCGATGAGGCGCAGCCGGGCAGCGTTGGTGGCTACAAGGCTGTGCGAGCAAGGGTCAACGACCAAGAGTCAAGGGTGTGGGAGCTACACAAGGTGCCAGTCCCAAGGCTCACACCGTGTCCCTGCCCTCCTCCCTTGCCCCTGCCTTCCTCCCATGCCCCCTGCCCTCCTCCCGTACCTGGCATAGCCCACCAGGCACAGCAGCGGTGTCTCCAGCAGCTGCACCACTAGCAGCGGCCCTGACACCTGCAGCAGGGGCACCTAAGGGAGACGGTCAGCTAGGAGCACCTGCCCCGTGTCCTCCGCCCCCCCCGACCCCCCCTCCCCGTGCACTCACGCCCGGAAAGGCGAGGGAGCCCTCGGGCAGGGCCCGCAGCGTTACGCTGGAGCAATCGAGACCCCGGAGGTGCTCAAAGAAGGCGGGATCCGTGTCTGGGGGCAGCTTGGAGGCCAGGAACTGCACGTCTGTGGGGGCACAAGGGCCGGGCGAGTGGCACGTGGGGCACGAGAGGGTCTCGTGGGGGGCGTGCCGACTTGCACCCCAGGGACGGCCTGGCGTGACGGGTACCTGCGTCCCGCAGGTGGAAGGCGCGCAGAAAGCGCACGCAGTCGCGCAGCCCCGCGAACAAGGCGAAGGCGCCTCCGAACGGGCAGCGGCGGAAGAAGAGCTCAAAGTCGGCGTGGTCGTGCGCCCGGCCGGCGCGCCAGTAGCCCAGCGCCATGGTGACCTGGTACAGGTCGGTGAGCAGCGGCCGTGCCGCAGCCAGCGCCTCTGCGTCCTCCTCGGCCGCCATCTCGCCCCGACGCCCCGCCCTGGCGCCACGTGCGCGCCCCAGCCAATGGGGCGCTGTAGGGACCAGAGGGCACCCCCGGCAGAGCCCGTCCTTGGGGCAAGGGGTGGGGTGCGCCGCCCGCAGAGCCCGGCCCGCGCCAGCCGCCCCTCCTCCGGCTCGGGGCTCCCGTGCACCCGCCGCTGTGCCGACGGCCCGGACTCCCGCAGGAGTGGACAGAGCCCGCACTCTGGAAGGGGTCTTGCTGGGCGCATCATGTGCGATGAGGGGTCACTGTGTTACTCCTGGCTGAGGCTGGGCTGCATCCAGGCTGTATGGAAACAGCCAGGGGCCAGCCAGCTCAGGCCCCAGGCTGCCCGTGGGCTCCCTGCCCCTACGGCCCCAGACCTTCACCCCTGCTCCTGCCGGCAGAGCTCAGCTGGGACAGGGTCTGGATTGCAGGAGAAACACGGTGGCTGGAGGGGGGGGCACCGGGCCCCCAGGATGTGGGTGCATGCTTCAGACAGAGGGGCCAGGGCGGCGCACAATGACAGACAAGTAACAGCCAGAGTCCTCTTTAATCACAGCAGGATCCCCCATCCCTCCCCCTTCAGATCTTGTTGAATGCTGCAATGTCCACGCTCTGCACCTAGGGAGGGATGGAGGTCTGAGCCCATCTGCCCCCTGCCCGGTCCTTGCCCAGCTTGCCCAGCCCTCGCCCAGAGGGATCCTTGACTCCGTGCCCCACCCAGCAGGCCCCTGTGCCCCCCACCCGGCAGGCCCCTGGACCCTGTGCCCCCCACCCAGCAGGCCCCTGGCCCCTGTGCCCCGACTCACGTGCTCCTCGAACTTGGTAATCTCCTCCTCCAGCAGGTCGGTGCCCACCTTGTCATCCTCCACCACGCACTGGATCTGCAGCTTGCGGATGCCATACCCCACAGGCACCAGCTTGGATGCCCCCCAGACCAGTCCATCCAGCTGCACTGACCGCACACAGGCCTCCAGCTGGGCCATGTCAGTTTCATCATCCCACTGTGAGGCACGGGGGTGGGGTGTTGCAGTCAGCCCCCAAACCCCACGCCAGCCCGCCCCAGCTCGGAAGGGCAGCGTCCACTCACCGGTTTGACGTCCAGGAGGATGGAGGACTTGGCCACCAGCGCCGGCTTCTTGGCCTTCTTCTCGGCGTACTGCCGCAGCCGCTCCTCCCGCAGCCGCGCTGCCTCCTTGTCCTCCTCCTCGTCGCTGCCAAACAGGTCGATGTCGTCCTCGTCGTCCTCTGCCGGGGTGGCCGCCTTCGGGGCCGGCGGCTCCACTTGGCGCATGGGCGATACATGCTGTGGGCAGGTGGGGGGCAGGCTGAGCCGGGTCTGTGGCAGAGAAGGGCCTGTCCCGCTGGCCAGCCCCACATCCAGGGCCTCACCTGGGTCTGTGGGGCCGAGCGGGGGGCAGGTGAGCCCCTCTCCAGGGCACTCAGCCGGGCCTCGAGCTTGGAGACGGTCTGCTGCAGATCCTGCACCACTGTGGGCAAGGGGCAGGCGGTCAGCAGGCGGTCAGCAGGCGGTCAGCAGGCGGTCAGCAGGCGGTCAGGGCTGGGCCGGGTCCCGCCCTGCAGGCCCAGGTCTCACCGCCTCTCAGGTTTTGGTTTTCCACTTCCAGGCTGGCGATGCGCACGGCCAGCTCGCTGTGGTCTCCGCTTGGCCCGCTGGAGGCCCCGGGGCCCGAGCTCTGGAAGGCAGGATGGAGGCGTTGACGCTGGCCCGAGGCTGGTCAGGAGGTCCAGCAGTGTCCCCAGTCCCATCACACCCACCACAGCCTCATCTCAGGGGTGTGTGAACCAAGCCCCACGGCTGAGTCTCAAATCATGTGCTGGCTGCTGTGAGCGCCTGCCGAGGGCCAGCGTGTGCTGCCCTGCCCTGGATCTGCTGGGAGAATTGCAGGCGCAAGGCAGGACAGGACGGGGTAGGTTGGCTGTCCTGGACAGTGGCCTGTGAAGGCCCGGGTCTGTTGGATGTAGGGGTGGGCTGGGAACTGGGTCTGCACTGTATCCAGAGAAGCTGGGGGGTGGGCCTCCTAGTGGGGTCCTGTCAGGTACACTCTAGCCCCTCCCCTATCACTAGCAGGTGCAGAGGAAGCCCATGACCATGGCAGAACAGGCAGGAAGGCTCATGGGTCTTGTAGCCCCAGTGACTGGGAAGCAGCCGGGGCCACGGTGCCCTAAGCAGCTGTCTGCAGCACTGGCGACCCACACCGGAACTAGCTCCACAGCTCGAGTGCGTGTGGCCCCTGCACCCACGCAGAAGGCCACAAGACGCTCCTGGCCTCGGCCCTGGTCGGCCCTGAGTGCTGCAGCCAGCAGGGTCCCAGAGGCCCAGCCCACCATGCCCTGCCCCCGGCACCGAAAACTTGGGCTTGAGGAAATTCTGCCCAGAGCTCCCAGCCAAGGTCGGCAGGGGACACCCTGGGGAGGGCGGGACCTGGGTGTGCACTCGGAACCCGTGGTCCTAGGAGTCACGCTCTCACAGGACCCTCACGATGGAGGGCTGCCCAAGTTGTCAGCACAGAACCTGTGATGCCACCCACCCCATGACCGGGGACAGCAAGGCCCGAGCGGGGAGCAAGCAGGAGTGTGCGCTGCGGGGCGCCTGCGGGCGGCGGCAAGCAGGCTGGGGCAGGAGGCAGGCCGCAGGAAGCCAAGCGGTACTTACTCCAGCCAGTGACTTCTGGATGTTCTCCCTGGCTCTCGCGATGTCGCGGAGGATCCCGCTGGCCCCGTTCCCCTGCAGGCAGTGCACACACACCGGCTTTCCTTGCGCTGGCATTTTTTTTTTAATTCAAAAACAAAAGCCCCCAAAGACCCTCAGAGAACAAGGGGCCAGAGAAGGGGGCAGCGCAGCATGGCAGCGAGCGGCAGGTGGCCCTGGCGTGGCAGACCCAGCACCCCCGAAGCCGGCCGAGGCAGCTTCCCAGAGCCTGCTGCAGGCTCGCCCAGCTCGCTGACCCATGGGCAGCACGGCCTCACCTGGCGAGGGGCGCCATCCGCGGGCCCGTTCATGCGCTCATAGAAGCTCCTCTCCGCCTCATCATACTTGAATTTGTCAAACCAGATCTTCTCGTGGACCAAGAAGTTTGTGGTCATTTTTCTGCTGGGAGGAGTAAACCAGGTCAACATGGCCAGCGTGGGGGGCCTGGATGGTCTCCAGTCCCTGGGAGCAGACACCACCGTCGGTCCTGTCATTCCAGCACGAGGCCCCACCCCTCCACGGCCTTGCATGGGCGCACACACACATGCGTACACCGATTCTCACACATACATCCCCCAATGGCCTTAAAGGGGCTGTGGTTCTGTAGTCCCACACTCCTCCACTGGCAGAACCTGGGACACACTGCCTCCCCAAGCCAAGGCCGTCCCCGGACGCCAGCGAACCCGGCTCCCCACGCTACTCAGCAACCCCTCCGACCCCCACGCTGCTCAGCGACCCCTCGGACCCTCGTCACAGTGCCATGCCCAAGCCCCGAGGCCAAGCTCTGCCACCCGTGGGTCCCGCACGTCTGCTGCCCAGATGGCTTCATCCCCTGGGACCTGGAATGCCCACACCCACCTTACCCCCAAGGTCAGATGGGCCCAGGCCTAACAGGAAGGCAGGCATGGGCTTCCCACACCCCCCACCCTGGCATACGAGTTGGGGAGTTGGCCACGAGACCCACTTGCCCAGCCCACCTCTGCCTCCAGCCTAGCAGGCTCCACAGCCACGGGGAGACCACCCCCAGGGAGGGACAGCTCAGCCCATGACCCAGAGCAGGCCCCCGGCCTTGTTCTCCTACTTGGGTCTCAGGTTGGACGGGGACGGGCCAGCCCGGTGTCCGGGCCGAAGGGCCAGGGAGGTGGCTTCGAGGCGCCAGGCCGTGCGCAGGGCCTCGGCGGCATGGTGGCAGCACTCGGCACTGTCGTAGGCGGGCTTGCTGAGCCAGGGGGCTTCCGCGTCCCTGTGCAGGAAGTACCAGCAGGGCCAGGCTGTGGAGCCCTCCCCGTCCGAGCGCCGTGGCCCCGGCCGCTGGCTGCCTTGGCCGCTGCGGCTACGCCGGTCCCTGCGGCCACGCCGGGCACCTTCGGCCTGGCCAGCCCGCTCCTGCAGACGCACCTTCCCCGGGGGGTGGCCGTCAAACAGGGCCTCGTAGAAGCCTCTCTCAGCCGCATCGTACCGCGGCTTGTCCAGCCAGACCTCCCGCACCAGCGCTTGCAGGTTGCCCAAAGAGGGTTGGCTGCTGGCTGGCAGGCTGGGCTGGCAAGCCAGGGCCAGCTCTGGGGTGGGCACCGGCGACCCCGTGTCGCGGGCTCCTTGACCACGGCTCTCCTCGGCGGCCAGCAGTAGGGCCTGTGACCACTCCACGAAAGCCCGCTCGGCCTGGTCAAAGCAAGACTTGTTGACCCAGACGCCCCAGGTCACGTGGTGGCAGGCCACGAGGTTGCCATGGACACAGGCACTGTGTGTGGCCCGGGCACCAGCATCGGCCAGCCTCTGGCGGTAGCAGGTCTCCGCCTGGTCGAAGAATGGCTTGTCCAGCCACACGTGGTCTGCAGAGAGGCCCACGAGGGCCAGGTCCGTGGGGTCCAGCCAGCCCCTGGGCGATCGCTTCCTCTTCTTCAGCAAGGGCCTCTGGCTGTCGTGTTTCCTCCTGGGGTCCGCGGCCTCTGCCTCCCTGGCCTCCTCTGGGCTGGGCCCGTTCATGGCCGGCAGCTCCTGGTCGCAGGCGGCCGCTGTGGCCTCAGGCCTCCGCTTGTCCTCCCACACGGTGTCCAGGGTGCAGGAGGCCTTCCCGCTCCTCATCTTGGGGTGCAGCGTTAAAAAGCAAGCACAAGAGCGAGTGGCCACACTGCAGACCACACAGGCTCCCGTGTCTCCGCGACCAGCAAGTGTGAGGGGGCCACAGGAAACCTCGTACTTCCTGGGCCACAGTGCCCTCATGGCACAGATGGGCTGCTGGTAGGCAGCCATTGCCGGCAGCAGCAGGAACCTTGGAGCCAAGGGTGTGGGGGTGCGCGCAGTGGCAATCCTGGTCGGGCATGGCTCACTCACTAGGGCCCAGATGACCTCCAAGGGGCAGCTGGCCCCGACGATGCTGTGGTCTCTGCCACCAAGTGCAGCCCCTGAACCAACCCTGGAGGGGGACACTGCCTGCCTGCCACACCCAGCGTCCACCTGCTCGGACCGCCGGCCCTTAGGCAGGGCCAGCAGATCTTTCTCACCACTGAGCCTCGGGGCCCTGGGTCCCCGCCTTGTACTCTCCTCCCACAAGGCACTGCTCAGTGAGGGGCTGGAGGGAAGTCTGGGGCCCAGCCGGCGTGGGACTCACCAAGGCCAGGCTGCTGGGAGAGAGGCAGGGGTGTGCTGGCAGTGGGAGCAGAGCCCAAGAGGGGGGCATTGTGACGTCACCACTGCCCCCAGCCCAGGGTCCTGCAAGCCCACCCCACACGCCCTGCCTGGCCGTGCCCAGGCCCTGTCGGGAGGTTACTTACTTTGGCTGTGACCTCCTGGGCAGCATGAAGGGAAAGCAGAGTGGTTAGAGATGGACAATGTGGTGGCCGCGTGACTGGGCAGCCCTCCCGGGTCAGCCATCTCCATCCGCTGCACCGCAGCCACACAGGTGCACTCCCAAGGGATGCTGGGTCCTCCCTGACCCTGCCCACCCGTGGCAGCAGGGACAGTGTTGTCCTTGGTCTCAAGTGTGCCACCCGACGACCCAGGCAGGAACGGTGCTGCACAGGCGCCTCTCCGGCCCCAGGCAGAGGGGCCTTTCCGCAGCCAGGCCCTGCCCTTGCCAGCACGGGCCAGGCCACCCCAATGACTCCCAACAGAGGACAGCACAGGAAGGCAGCTCAACGCCACCAAGGCAGGGACAGGGAGCTGGCCGGGGACGTGCGTCACACACCCAGCACCCAGGGCCCACCAGGCCTGGCCTGCTCAGGAGAGCAGAGCGCCATCAACCCCCACCCCAGCCCGAACCCGTGGGACCCAGAGCTCTCTGCGTCTTGCAGCATACAGAGCGGCCACTGATCCCTGACGGGCGAGGGTGCCCACAGAGGGGCTACCCTCAGCAGAAGGGACTGCACCCTGTCTCAGCAGGGTCCCTGCAGCTGCGCACAGCTGAGCAGCCCCACAGTGCCAGGGCCCTCCGGGCACTGCTTCAGGACCTGCCAAGGACTCCCCAACAGAAAAATGTTCTGTTAATTCCCCAAACCATCTTGAAATCCACCCACGGGCTTTCGCCAAAGTCCACATTCCAGTCCAGGCTCCATGGAGCTTAAGAAGTTTCCTTTCACTGTTTGGGAGGAAGCCCACGGGGGCTGCCTGGGGGGACAGGCGGCCGGAGAGCAGGGGGCACGGGGCCAGCCCATGGGCGCTCCCTGGGGGGACAGGCGGTCGGAGAGCAGGGGGCACGGGGCCCATCCTCTCGCGGCCATCCCAGCCGCCTCCCGGTCACGTTCGACTGCAGGCCACCGGGCAGCCCCTGCAGAGGCGGGACCCAGCGTGCATGCCAGCTGCGCAGGAGACGGCGCTTTCTCAGAGGCGGGGAGCCCACCGCACGGGCCTGCCCGCAGCGACGACCCCCGCCCCAGTTCTTGGCGGCTCCCCTCAGAATTGCACCCCGCGCTCGCCGGGTCCGCTCATCCAGCCCAGAACCCCGAGTTCTGCCTCTCGCTGGCTGGCTACCAGGGCAGCGCGCGTGCGCCCAGACACGCCAAGCGGCCCCAAAACGCACTTGCCACACGAACCCCAGACAGACGCGGCCGTCGCCATGGAGACGGGGCCGCCCCCCGCCCGCCACGTGGCCCGGCCACCCCGCCCCGCGCCCTCGGCCCAGGTTCCCCGGCGCGCTCCGGTGCCCGGCGGCCTCTCGGGGGCCCCTGCGGGACTCACACGCCAAGGCCGGACGCGGCGAGCAGCAGGCAGGGACTGCGCAAAGGGAGCGCCGCCCGGGCCGCGCACGGGAAATGAAGCGCCGGGCTGTACCAACCGCGGCCGCGGGGGAGCACGGCCCTCGCGCGCGCCTCACCCTCGCCGTGCCGACCCCGCGGCCGCGGGCGCCCCGGCAGCGCCCGGGCGCAGGCGACTCAGACCCGGTCGCGGAGCCGGCCGACCCGCGGCGGAGTGGGCGCGGCGCGCCCGCAGCAGGGCCGCCCCCCCAGCCGCCCCTCCCGCGCCACACCGTGGAGTCGCCCCTCCCGGTGGGCGCGGCGGGCCGAGCTGCGCGCAGGCGCGGCGGCGCGCGGCGCGGGGTGACCCTCCGCAAGGCCTGCTCCATCCAGGACGAGCTGCAGGCCGGCGAGCGCGTCCGCGGCGGCGAGCGGCAGGCCAGCGTGTGCCGCGCCTTCGGCGTGCCGGGCGGCACCCTGCGCGGCTGGCTCAAGGACGAGGCGAAGCTGCGCTGGTTCCTGCAGCAGCTGGGCGGCGAGGGGGGCACGCAGCGCAAGAAGATGCGGCTGGCCAACGAGGAGGCGATTGACCGCGCCGTGTACGCCCGGTTCCTGGCGCTGCGCGGCCACGGCGTGCCGTCCGGCCCTGCCGTCCAGGCGCAGGCCGAGGCCTTGGCGCGCCAGATCCACGGCCCCGCGTGCACCTTCAAGGCCAGCCACGGCTGGTCCTGGCGCTGGCAGAAGCGCCACGGCGTCTGCAGCCAGAGCCCGCCCGCCCCTGCGCCCCCGGCCCCGCCGAAGGCGCCTATGGCCACGAGCAGATCTACAGCGCGGATGTCACAGGCCTCTCCTGGAGGCTGCTGCCCGAGCAGGCCGCGCCCCCGGGTGAGAGGGTGACCGTGCTGCTGCCGGCCAACCTCACGGGCAGCCACAAGCTGAAGCCGCTGGTCATCGGGCGGCTCGCCGACCCGCCCAGCCTGCGCCGCCGCAACCAGGACAAGCTGCCGGCCTTCTCCCGCTACAGCCCGGGCGCGTGGCTCTGCCGCCCGCTGCTGCGCGGCTGGTTCTTCGAGGAGTTCGTGCCCGGAGCCAGGCGCTACGTGCGCTGCAGCCGCCTGCAGCAGCGGGCGGTGCTGCTCGTGTCCCAGCCGCCCTCCTCCTGGCTGTCCCTGCTGGACGACGGCGAGGAGGCGGCGGCCAGGCCGTGCCGGCCGCCCGGGCCGCTACAAACCCCCGGTGGCGCGGTGGCCGCCTTTAAGCGGCTGTACAAGCGCGAGCTGCTGTGGCTGGCCATGTTCTGCGCCGCTGGACTTGTCGCGCAGCTTCATGCTCAAGGACATGCTGTACCTGGCCGGCCTCTCCTGGGACCTGGTGCAGGTGAGCAGCATCGCGCGCTGCTGCCTGCTGGACCTGAGCACCGGCCTCGAGCCGAGCCAGCAGCCCGCGCGCCACGCCGAGGAGGCGGCCGAGCGGAGCCGCGTGCTCAGCGACCTCATGCACCTGGCGGCGCTGGCCTAGCCTGGCGCCCGAGGAGGTGGCTCAATGGCTGCACCTGGACGATGGGCCGCCAGGCACTTGCTGGCCACAGGCGGACCACACCGCCCCCCCCCCCCCCCCGGCAGCCCTGGCTGACTTTCGGGGCGGGGAGCAGGGCCAGGAGGCCGCTGAGGTTGAGCAGGAGCCCGGAGGAGGGGGAGGTGGTGCCTCTGTGCCCACTGCAGGGGAGGCCGTCCGGGGGCTGGAGAGCCAGCACCCCAGTGAGGTGGGGCCGCTGCGATGGTGCAGCTGTGCTCACTGATCGGGGTGGCCGCAGGCTTCCAGCGACAGTGGTGTGTGACCCAGCTGCCGCCCTGCTCTGAGAAGGGCTCTGTGGGGAGGGTCCCCTAGCCCCCAGTGCCTCGGGGCTGCTGGCTGTGGCTACCGTAGGAGGCGCTGGGCAGACGCTGAGCCTGCGGTTGAGGAACTGGGTGGCACAGCCGAATGGACTGACCTGCTAGGACCCCCAGGATGTGGGGCTGCTTTCTTGGGCCGTGCTGCAGAGCCTGGGGACCCAGGCCCCTGGAAGGTCATTCGGCAGGGCAGGGGCCAGCTCCCTGGGGGGTTGGGCTGTTTTAGGAAGCAGCAGCACGCTCACCCCACCAGCATCCCCCTGGGGGCGCGCGCACACACATACCCAGGAAGCCCTGGCCATGGCTGGCAGACACCCAGCTGGGCTTGGGAGAACTGAAAAGTTGGGGCAGGGCCTTAGCAGCACAGGACGTGGGCCTTGCTCCTGGACAGAGGGCAGAGAGGCTGACCATGCGTTTCATAAAGCATCCTTACTTTCAAGCTTTTTGAAGATTTGCTTTATTTGAGAGGTCTTCACCCATTTCAGTCCCCATGTGGCTGCAATGGCCAGAGCTGGGCTAGTCCACAGCCAGAAGCTTCTTGGCCCGCCACATGGGTGCGGGGGCCTGAGGACCTGAACCAGCGTCCGCTAGTTGCCCAGGCCACAAGCGTGCAGCTGGAAGGGAAGTGGGGCAGCTAGCACATGAACGGGCACCACAGACAAACTCAGCCCACGGCACTGGCCCTAAGCTCCTACTTCCCTCCTGAGAGGTTGGATGTGGCCCTTGCTAAGTACCCCTACCTTGAACTTGCAATCCCTGCCAGAAGGGCAGACAAGGATGGGGAGTGGGCGGGGCAAGAAACAGACGCAGCACGGCCTGCCAGGGTTAACCTCTAGCAAGGGGCTGGTAATGGCTCCTGTGCTGTGACTGCCAACTGCCCACCGGTCCTGACTGCCCAGGCCAGCTGAAGGGGCCCAGGGGAAGCATCAGCAGTCCTGAAGGCTGCAGGTAGGGGTGGGGGAGAGTAGGGAGCAAGGGGTCCTGCAAGGGACTCGGACCCTCCACCCCCAGGGGCCCCAGAGCTCTGGCCTGCACACCACAGCATCGCACCACCTCAATTCATGGCGTCCCTGACCATTGGGATGCACCTGGTGGCCTTGCTGGGCTCGGGGTCTGAGGGAGAGAGACCACGTCCAGCCTTCACTGCCCCACACCCAGCTCCCAGGCACAGCCCCCCAACCTGCCCAGCAGGCTAGTGCCCCTGGCCACAGAGATGGCCAGAGTCCCCGGCAGATGGGGGGTAGAGAGCCCCATATCCCTCAGGATGCCATTAGGAAACGAGCCAAAGCCTGACTGGGTCAGCTCAGCTCCTGGTCCCTGGGGGTCCATCCATCTGAGGGGTAGGAAGGGCGACATGGCAGCCAGCCTACTTCCTGCTGAGTTCCTTGGCCCGTGCGGTGGCGGCCTCCACGGCACTCATGGTGGCCGCACGCAGGCCGCCCTGCTCCAGAGCGTGGAGCCCGTAGATGGTGGTGCCCCCGGGAGTGAGCACGTCCGTCCGCAGCTGGGAGGGCAGCTGCCCCTCTTGCAGCAGCATCTTGGCAGTGCCCTGCAAGAGGGTGGGGGTCACGGGGCCTGCCCAGCCCCCGCCTCACACCTGCCCCCCTTCCCCTCATGTCCACCATGTGTGGCACAACCCAGCCTGCCCAGGGTTGCTCACCAGCAGGGTCTGGGCAGCGATGCGGTGGGCCAGTGCACTGGGCATGCCCATCTTGATGGCGCCTTCGGCCAGGGCCTCGGAGAAGGTGCATACCTGCCCGGAGGAGGGCGTTCAACACCTCTGGGACAAAGCAGCAGGCCCCGGCACAGCCCCTGGCCTCCGGCCTCCCACTGCCTGGCTCTGGGCAGCAGCCCGCAGGGCCCCAGGAGGGGGGACACTCACAAAAGCCACGCCGCTGCCGCTGAGGCCCGTGTGAATGTCCACGTAGGCCTCGGGCACCTCCTCACACCGGCCGCAGGCCTCCAGCAGCTCCTGCAGCATCCTGGCCTGGCCACTCCCCACGCAGCGGCCCAGTGCCATCACCATGGCCCCCTCCTGCACCGTGCAGGGCAGGTTGGGTGAGACCCGCAGCACCCGGGCATTGGGGGGCAGCAGCTAGCCAGAGAAAAGGGCAGAGTCAGGGCTGGTGGGCGGCACTCCCTGCCTGCCCTTCACCTGGCCCCCTGCTGGCCACTCACCTCCTCCAGGGTGCTCAGCGGGACCCCTGCAGCCACAGAAACCAAGATGTGCTCTGTGGTAACCATGGGGGCCACCTCAGCCAGGACACCAGGCAGCACATGAGGCTTGGTGGCGAAGATGACCAGCGAGCAAGCCTGTAGCACCTCCTGGTTGGAGTGGGTGGTCCGGCAGCCCAGAGCCTGCAGGACCCACCCAGCACACAGTCGGTCGGCACTCTGGCCCATCAGCCGACAGGGAGCACCCTGTCTGCCGGCCCAGCCCCCACAGACCCCCGGGGCCTGCCCCACTCACCTGGAAGTGGCAGAGGTTCCTGTCAGTTGGGGCGCTGGCCATCACATGCTGGGCTTCCACCTTCCCTGTTGGAAGGGAGAGGGCAGCGGCAGGTGAGGTGGGGGGCAAAGGGGGAGAGCCCGCCCGGCCTCTAACGCACTCCCTCTGGCCGGGGGCAGGGATGCTGTGCCCAGGAAGCGCCACCGCGCACCTGCTGCTGGGCACGGCGCCCCAGGCCGGGCTGTGGCCGAGCTGTGCTGTCCGTGGACGCAGCACCGGCTGCGAGAGGCTGGGCTGCACGGGCCCGGCAGTGGGGCCTCGCCTGCCGGCGTCCCGCGGGGCCTCGGGGCAGCTCGCCGCCTCCTCCCGCTGCAGGGCCCCGCAGAACCGTACCTGCCCGGATGAGGCCCTGCGCAATGGCCTCCGCCATGCGGCCCGCGCCCACGAAGCCCACGCGCTGCGGACTGGCCGCCATCTCTGCTGCGGGTCCGGCTGTGGCGGAGGGCGCTGGGCCCGCCCCTCCCGCCTCATGGTGAGGGCGCCGCCGAGCTCAGCCGCCCATTGGCGGAGAGAGGACGGGGGCGGGCCGGAGGGGCGTGGTCCTGGGAGAGGGGGCAGGGGCGCGGAGGAGGCGTGGCCGCAGCGGGGAGCAGGGGCGGGGCCCTGGGAGATGGATGGGCGTGGCCACGTGAGAGAGAGGCCGGGGCGTGCACACAGGTACTGCTCCTTTAAACTCGACTAACCCTAACCCCAACCACAACCGCAACCCCAACCGCAACCCCAACCCTAACCCCAAACCTAACCCCACCCCAACCCCAAACCTAACCCCTAACGCAACCGCAACCCTAACCCCAACCCCAACAGCAACCCCAATGCTAACACCAACCTAACCCCAACCCCAACCCCAACCCCAACGCTAACACCAACCCTAACCTTAACCCCAGCCCTAACCCTAACCCCAACCTTAACCCCAGCCCCAGCCTCAACCCCGACTTGGAAAGCCAGGTGGATCATGGGCTTGTCACACACTCCGGCCGGGCGCCACGTAGTGTGCTGTTACTCCGAGGTGTGAGCTGCCCCTCTCCACGCACCTTCCGGCAGCAGGGCAGGCCGTGCCCGACCCTGACCCTGCAGCCCCAGAGCTCATGGCGGCGGCCACTGCAGTGGACATGCACCGTGCTACAATGTCTTGGGAGGCGGCAGTGGGCAGTGCGGGCTCTGGCGGAGGCCAGGATTTGGCCTCCACCTCCCTCGCCTGGTGGACATGGGCAGAGTGGTTCTCTCTCTGGGGGGTGGGACAGCTGAGGATGCTGGCTGAGGCGGGGGGGGGGCATTAGGAGGGTGGCACAGGGGTGGGGGGACGAGCACACGGGCTATACAGACGGCAGTGACCCCCAGGGCCGCCGCTGGAACCATGCGCCAGGTTCCTGGGCAAGGGCAGTGTGGCCCAAGCTGTGTCGTGCATGGAGCTGGTCCTGCTCCCTCGGGCCTCCTGAGCCCGGACGGCCCGGCTGGGACAGCTGTGGTGGGGAAGTGGCAGGACCTGTGCCACCCAGACCAACATCAGGTAAACAGGAACAGAGGCTGACGTGGCCCGACACAACGCCAGCTGGCTGCCCAGAGTCCTAGAGTGTGCAAGCGCCACTGCCAGCCCCGCCCTCACTCGCCCCTCACACCCCCCAGGAGCCCACCTCCCGCCCTCACTCGCCCCTCACACCCCCAGGAGCCCACCTCCCGCCCTCACTCTCCCCTCACACCCCCCAGGAGCCCACCTCCCGCCCTCACTCGCCCCTCACACCCCCAGGAGCCCACCTCCCGCCCTCACTCTCCCCTCACACCCCCAGGAGCCCACCTCCCGCCCTCACTCGCCCCTCACACCCCCAGGAGCCCACCTCCCACCCTCACTCGCCCCTGCATTGCTCTAGCCACTGTACTTTCCCACCAGGGATGGCCGCGCTGTGCGCCGCAGCAGGTGCTGGGAGCGCGAGGCAGGGCATGAAGGCCAGGCCTGTGAAACACGCTTTATTGGAGGAACGGCAGGCCACAGTGGATACCCAGCACGGGGCCTGCCAGGGGTGTGGGCTCCCTGAGGACGAGCATGGAGGGGTGCACTGGACGGAGGCCTGGAGTGGGGACCCCAGTACTTGTGGGCGCTGCCATCCGAGCACTGCTGGCACCTCCCCCCCAGCAGCAGCTTCACTTCCGGGCCAGCTCGTAGTTGTCCACGAACCAGGTGCAGGTCTCCTTGACGGCTGCGGAGGTGGGTAAGTGGGGTCAGCAGGGGGGAGGAGCTCAGGAGGGGGAGGCAGAGCGCTTGGGGGGGCAGGCCTGCCCAGGCGCTCACCCTGCCGGAAGGGCGTGAACTGGAAGTCTGGCAGGTAGGCACGGAGCTTGCCGTTGCTGGCCGTCTTCTTAAACTGCCCGTCAGACTTGCTGGTGTCAAACTGGGCACTGGGTCAAGGCCGAGGCAGAAGCGCACCTGTCCCCCGCCCTGCCTTGTGGGGGGCCCAGGGAAGCTGCAGCCGAAGGATACGGTGACCTCCCCCCGGAAGTCCATGGCCTCCACCACAGCCTGCGCGGCCTCGGCAATGGACACTTCCTCCTCCTCGTCCACTGCAGAGGTGCCGGGCCCACTGGGTCAGTGGGCTGCAAGGTCCTGCCCCCAGTGCCACCAGCCCCCAGCGCCCAGTCCTCAGCCCTCAGCGCCCAGCCCCCTGCCCCCAGTGCCCAGCCCTCAGCACCCAGCCCCCAGCCCTTAGCGCCCAGCTCCCAGCACCCAGCCCTCAGCACCTGGCCCCCAGCGCCCAGCCCTCAGTGCCCAGCCCCCAGCTCCCAGCGCCCAGCCCTCAGTGCCCAGCCCCCAGCCCTCAGCGCCCAGCCCCCTGCCCCCAGTGCCCAGCCCTCAGCACCCAGCCCCCTGCCCCCAGTGCCCAGCCCTCAGCACCCAGCCCCCAGCCCTTAGCGCCCAGCTCCCAGCACCCAGCCCTCAGCACCTGGCCCCCAGCGCCCAGCCCTCAGTGTCCAGCCCCCAGCCCTCAGCGCCCAGCCCCCAGCCCTCAGCGCCCAGCTCCCAGCCCTCAGTGCCCAGCCCCCAGCCCTCAGCGCCCAGCCCCCAGCCCTCAGCACCCAGCCCCCTGCCCCCAGTGCCCAGCCCTCAGCGCCCAGCCCCCTGCCCCCAGCGCCACGCCTGCGCACCTGACAGGATGATGGGTTCCACCTCCTCATACTCCCGGAGCACCCAGACCAGGAGCCGGGCCAGGTCCTGTGGGCCACAGGGGCAGGGTGGATCCAGCCCCGCCACCCCACCAGCCCCACTCCCGCTCTGCCCCTGCCCCGGCTCCCGCACGAACCAGTGAGTAGATGAACTGTCTCCGCGGCTTGCCGGTGCCCCACACGGTCAGTGCGGCCCCGCTGCCTGTGCGTGGAGGACGGGGTCAGCGAGTGCCTGTGGGGCACACAGGGCTGGGCAGGCCAGGCGCGGGGCGGGCCCCACTCACCCTTGGCCAGGTGCACCTTGTGGATGAGACCAGGCAGCACGTGGCCGTCCTCGATGTTGAAGTTGTCATGGGGCCCAAAGACGTTGGTGGGGATGACGGCAGTGAAGGTGCAACCGTGCTGCTGGAAGTAGGCCCTGCGGAGGCAGCACTGAGCTGCCCGGCCCTGCCCGCAGCCCTCACCTGCTACCCCAGGAGGCAGCACTGAGCTGCCCGGCCCTGCCCGCAGCCCTCACCTGCTACCCCAGGAGGCAGCACTGAGCTGCCCGGCCCTGCCCGCCGCCCTCACCTGCTACCCCCGGCCCTGGGCTGACCTGTTCTGCACATCAATCATCCTCTTGGCATATGAATACCCGAAGTTACTGCTATGTGGCGGTCCCTCGTGGATCTGCGAGGTGCGAGAGGCGCTAAGGCAAGAGTCCTGGCACTGTGGGTGCCCGACGCCACACCCACTATGGGCCCCACCCTCCATCTCCCAGCCCCGCCCACAACTCCAGGCCCCGCCCCTCACCATGGTCTCATTGATGGGGTAGGTGGTCTTGTCTGGGAAGATGCAGGTGGACAGGCAGGAGACCACCTTGCGGGTGCCCAGTTCAAAGGCCGAGTGCAGGACGTTGTCGTTGATGTGGACGTTCTTCCTCTGTGGGGAAAATCAGGTTTGCAGGGACTGCGCTGGGTGCTCCCACAGGGCCACGTTCCCAGGACAGGGCCACGTTCCCAGGACAGGGCCACGTTCCCAGGACAGGCCACATTCCCGGGACAGGACAGCGTTCCCAGGACAGGCCACGTTCCCGGGGACAGGCCGGCGTTCCCGGGACAGGACGGCGTTCCCAGGACAGGACAGCGTTCCCAGGACAGGCCACGTTCCCGGGACAGGCCGGCGGTCCCGGGACAGGACGGCGTTCCCAGGACAGGGCCACGTTCCCAGGACAGGGCTGGGCACTGACCCTGCAGATCCCACCCCGCCCCTACCCACCTTGAAACTGCTGAGGGCACAGGACCAGCCCCGCCCCCACATTTCACCCCCCCCCCACCCAGACCCCACCTTCCATCCCGCCAGCCAGCCCCCCCCCCCGCCTTCCGGCCCCTGGCCGCCCCCCCCCCCCCCCCCCCCCCCCCCCGTCTGGGTCCACACTCACCCAGAAGTCCAGGTTGTACTTGATGTTCCGGAAGAGGCCCCCCACCATGGCAGCGAGGTGGATGACGTGCGTGGGCTGCACCTTCTCAAACAGGGCGCGGGTCTGCGCTGCGTCCCTGGGGTGAGGAGGGGTGTCAGCGCGTCCACCTGCGGGGCCCAGCCCAGAGGTCCCAAGGGTCCCGCACCCCCAACTCGCTCACGTGAGATCGGCATCCTTGGAGGAGACGAACACCCAGTCCTCTCCGGGCAGGCCGGCCCCGTCCTGTACCACCTTCTGGATGGCCTTGCCCACCAGCCCCGAGCCCCCTGTGACGAGGATCCGCGCCGAGCCCCGGGGCTCCCCCATGCTGGCTGCACCTGTGGGCGGAGGGCTGAGCTCCGGGTGCCATGCCCAGCGACCTGCAGTGCCCACTGCTCGGAGACGCCGGCCGCCAAGGCCGCCCTGCAGGCCACCTTCCGGACACCTGCTGGCTGCAGGGGACTCCCTGCCCGCTCCCCTGCCTGCTCCCCCGCCCCTCACCTGCCCGCTCCCCTGCCCGCTCCCCTGCCCCCTGCTCTTCCAGCTCACCTGCCCGCTCACCTGCCCCCTCCCCTGCCTGTTCCATGCCCCTCACCTGCCAGCTCACCTGCCCCCTCCCCTGCCCCTCATCTGCCCGCTCCCCCGCCCCTCACCTGCCCGTTCCCCTGCCAGCTCCCCTGCCCCTCACCTGCCAGCTCCCCTGCCAGCTCACCTACCGGCGGCGGGAGAAGCTTCCGGGACCGGGACGGATCTGGCCACGCGAGCTGTCCCGGTGATGGACGGGTTAGGCCCTCTTCCCGCTGCATCCTGGGAAACTGAGTCCTTGGGCCTGCGCAGGTGCTCAGGAAGCTTAGATCGGAGCTGCATTGCCCCCTGGGAGGTCCGGGGTGCAGTCCGCGGCCGCAAAGCCCACTGGGAAGTGTAGTCCGCTGCCGCATAGCCTCTTGGGAACTATAGTCCGGGGCCGCATCGCCCCCTGGGAAGCGTAGTCCCTCGGCGTGCAGGTGCAGGGGAAGGCCCAGGACTGGCCTTGCTGTCCAGGTACACAGGGCTCAGACGGCCGAGGCCAGCTGCGTCCTGGTGGGTTCACGTCGTGCCCTGGATCCAACACCTTTGGCCCCTCTGCTCCAGGTCGATTTCCCCAAATCTGAAGGCTGGGACGTCAGCCACGGCCGAGCTGGCCCCTGCAGGCCCGGGGCAGTGCAACGAGCAGGGCCTTCATTCCTCAGTCTGTGGGTCACTCTCAGCCTTCACTTGACAAGTCAGAACCCCGTTGTCGCCAGGAGAAACCAGGGCGTGAGCTCTTGCTGTAGTGGCCAGCAGCTGGGCCCCACGAGGGACGCCCACAGCACCTCCCTCCTTGTGGACACGAGTCAGCCATGTGGACCAGGAGTCCCAACCTGCCACTCCCTCCGGTTCTCCCGCGTGGACTGTCTCCTGGCCCTCTCCCAGGCTATGTAGCTGGGAGCTGGCCCTCTGGTGTGGGGTGGCCAACCCACTGCGCTTCATCGCCAGTCCGAGAAAATCCTGGTCTCTTAAGAAGTTGGGACAGTGGGCCCAGCGCAGTGGCCTAGCGGCTAGAGTCCTCACCTTGCGTGTGTTGGGATCCCATGGGGCACCAGTCCTTCTCTTGGCAGCCCAGCTTCCCACCCAGCTCCCAGCTTGTGGCCTGGGAAAGCACACACAATTTACACAATGCGCCAGAGTGGCATGGCACTCATTCCTCCACCTGCAGCACCGGCATCCCACACAGGAGCTGGTTCGAGTCCCAGCTGCTCCACTTCGGACCCAGCTCCCTGCTAACGTGTGGTGGAAAGGAGCGGAGGATGGCCCAAAGCCTTGGGCCCCTGCATCCTCACGCCCAGGTAGTCACCCACACGCGGATGAGGGGACATCTTCCGCCCCCACCCAGCCTGACAGCTGGAGTCAGGTGGCCATCCTTGGGATGGTTCTCTCAAATGGCCAGGAGCTCCATGCACCTGGTCCACCCTCCCAGGGGGCACCAGGAGGAAGCTGGGCACTGCCCGCCTGGGAGTTGGCCTCATCTCACGCTGGCCCCTGCATTTCCCGATGCTGACAAAGCCGGACTGGGGACACTGCTGGGCAGCGAGAGGCCTGGTCATGGCCGCGAGCCCCCCCCAGGCCGGGAGAGGGGAGCACCGGGGGCTGGACCCTGGCCCGGCTGACCCTGGTGTGCACGGCCCAGCTGGGTGGACACGACGCCCCTCGCGGCCCGTGGGAGCGGCATTTGGGATGGGGGCCATGTGTGCACGTGCGCCCCTCGGGTCGCCCTGGTCACCTCGTGCCCCCGTCCACCCGGGTCACCCCGCGCCGCCCCGGCCGGAACTCCGCACCAACGAGAGGGCCGCGCGGCCTCCCCGCACTCCTAGAGCGGCGCCGGAAGCCGGCCGGGCGGGGTCAGGCCGGGACTTCCGGCGCGGCGTGCGGGCTTTGTGGGTGGCTGCGCGGGTTCGGGCTCCGGGTCCCCGCGTCGGGTGAGTCGGTCGCCCGGGTGCTCGCAGGGCGCAGGGTGGGCGCAGCCCGAGAGGCTGGGTGGCGGCGAGCCCTTCCCGGGCGTGCGTCCCTGGAGCGCCAGGCTCAGCACGTCAAGCTGCGTCCCGGCTCGTTAGGGCTTGGAGCGGGCGGCAGGACCCACGCGCGGGTTCACTCAGCGCTGCCTGCCAGGAACGCCCGTGGGCTCTCCCCTCAGCGTCCTGCAGAGATAAAGCCGGGAACCGGAGAGAGGAGGCAAGGGGAGGAAGCAGGGAGAGGGAGAGCCCGAAGGTCTGGGGCTTTTAGTTAAAGCCTCCCGACCCCTCCTTGCTGGGCGGGCACCTGCAGGTCTCGACCTCGGCTGGCCGGGGAGGCAGCTAGGGCCCGGGGATACACCCCTGCACCCCGTGCGATGGACAGCCCCTGGAGGTGCCCAGAGGAGCACAAGCCCTGGGTTCCCACCGCGCAGGCACAGAGACCCACGGCCCGCTCGAGGGACAGAATGCTCTGTGGTGTAGACTGGAACAGCGTCCACCTGCAGTGGGGCCCAGGCTGGCCGTGTGCGTGGACGGGACCACAAGCCAAGCTGTCACCACTGCTTGCCGGGCCTGGTGTGCAGGCTCGCTGTGTGGAACTGGTGTCCTTAGGACCTTGGGGTGCAAGCTCGCCGTGGGGAGCTGGTGTCTTTAAGGCCCTGGGGTGGGGAGCTGGTGTCCTTAGGGCCCTGGGGTGGGGAGCTGGTGTCTTGGGCCCTGGGATGCGTGGCTGTTGTCCTTAGGGCCCTGGGGTGGGTGGCTGTTGTCCTTAGCGCCCTGGGGTGGGGAGCTGTTGTCCTTAGCGCCCTGGGGTGGGTGGCTGTTGTCCTTAGCGCCCTGGGGTGGGTGGCTGGTGTCCTTAGGGCCCTGGGGTGGGTGGCTAGTGTCCTTAGGGCCCTGGGGTGAGGAGCTGGTGTCCTTAGGGCCCTGGGGTGGGTGGCTGGTGTCTTGGGTCCTGGGGTGAGGAGCTGGTGTCCTTAGGGCCCTGGGGTGGGTGGCTGGTGTCCTTAGGGCCCTGGGGTGAGGAGCTGGTGTCCTTAGGGCCCTGGGGTGGGTGGCTGGTGTCCTTAGGGCCCTGGGGTGGGTGGCTGGTGTCCTTAGGGCCCTGGGGTGAGGAGCTGGTGTCCTTAGGGCCCTGGGGTGGGTGGCTGGTGTCTTGGGTCCTGGGGTGAGGAGCTGGTGTCCTTAGGGCCCTGGGGTGGGTGGCTGGTGTCTTGGGCCCTGGGGTGGGTGGCTGGTGTCCTTAGGGCCCTGGGGTGAGGAGCTGGTGTCCTTAGGGCCCTGGGGTGAGGAGCTGGTGTCCTTAGCGCCCTGGGGTGAGGAGCTGGTGTCTTGAGCCCGAGCACCACCCTTCTCTCATTGCTGGTTGTGGTCATGCCAGCAGAGTGGTGCTGCCTGGGTACGAGGACGATTCAGGGACGCTGGCTGAGATGGAAACCGCCTGTGCCCCCCAAAGAAGCTGGCTGCTCTGCTCTGCTCTTGGAGGCCCTGGCGCCCTGGCACATCACCCCGCCCTGTCTCTGCCCAGACTCCATTGACCACCTGGGGTCACATGGCTCACTGCACCCTTGGGCCGTTCTGGCCCTGGCTCAGGTCTGGGTGCCGGGAGGGTCCCATCTGGGTGCAGTGCAGCCTTGCGGAGGGCTAAGCTCAGCATGACCTGAGTCCCTGTGTTCAGCAGGGGAGACGGGCGGGGGCGGAAGGCAGTCTGTGGTGGGCACCAGGCTGGTGGGCGATGGGATCTAGTTCAGAGGAAGTCCCAGCGTGCCATCGGAGAGAGCCCCCTCATTCCACGTCCTGTGTCCCACATCCCATGCCTCCCATCCCGCATTCCACACCCTGCACTCCACGTGCTGCACCCCGCATCCCGTATCTCCACGGCAATGAGAATGTCTGTCTACCAGCAGACCCAAGCAGGCATGTTCAGACTGGGGAGCACAGGGGCCCCAGCTCGGGGACGGGAAGGGCTGTGCGGCGAGGCGTGTGTCGGAGAGCAGGATGGCCGCCCGCAGAGCCTGGGGAGGCCCGAGCGAGGAGCGCGCCCTTCCGGTGCTGGAGTGTGCAGCAGTCTAGTAGGAATCACAGTGAGTCTTATGATGCTGAAGAGTTTGCAAAGGTTTACATACATATTTGAAAGCAGATAAGCAGATTTACAGAGAGAAGGAGGCACAGAAAGAAAGATCTTCCATCTGTTGGTTCACTCCCCAAATGCTCGCAGTGGCCAGCTGAGCCAGTATGAAGCCAGGAGCCAGGAGCTTCCTGGTCTCCCATGCAGGTGCAGGGTCCCAAGGCTTTGGGCTGTCCTCCACTGCTTTCCCAGGCCACAAGCAGGGAGCTGGATGGGAAGTGGAGCAGCCAGAATTAGAACTGGCGCCCATCTAGGATGCCAGCACCACAGATGGCTGGTTGGCCTGACACAGCACCATGCCAGCCCCTGCTCTACCTTTGATCGGCTTCCTGCGTGAGGACTTGGGTGCCCCGGGTGGGGTTTCGGTCTGGGGCTTCATCCGTTGCAGCCATGGCCGTCAACACGTGGGAAGTGGATGAGCGTAAAGCTGCCACCTGTAGCACAGGCATCCTGCATGGCGCTTTCAGCGTAGCTCCCTGCCAGTGCTGGGCAGGAGGTGGCCCAAGAGGCCTGCGTCCGAGAGAGCCTTGGGGAAGTGCCTGGGCCAGCCTGGCCAGCCTGGCGCTGAGGCCATTTGGCGAGTGGACCAGCGGACGAGAAACCTCCCTGCCTTTGTTTTTCAGAAAGATCCAACCCGCGGCTGTTCTCCGTCCTGTCTGCAGCAGGGCTGGACAGGCTGATGCCTCCAGCTGCACCGTAGCGGGGAGCTGAGGGCTGCTGCAGCCCGCCATCGTAAAGGGCAGGCTGCCCCCTGTGGGCCGCAGCCGCCGGGCTACCTGCCGTCCACCAGCCCCGGCCCGCTGTCACACCTGTGGGCTCTGCTCTGGTGGCTGCAGGTCGCTGGAGGAGGAGGCAGAAGGTGCCCAGATGTCACGGGTTTGCGGGCGTGGGAGAATGGAGACTGGGGTGCTCCTCGAACGCCCCAACCCCAGAGGGCTCTGCTGGCCTCCTGCTGATGTCCCCTAGGAGGCAGGGCCACAGCACGAGCCCCACAGGTCGGGTGAAGGTTGGTCCGTGTCCCCACTTTGTGCTCTCGGACAGCAGCCGCGCGTCCTGAGGTGAGGGCCTGAGCACGTGAAGCGAATGTGGATGGTAGTGTTGTAGCTGCCGTGGCCAGGGTTTTCCTGGTGGGGACGGGCCAGGCGGTTAGAGCTGTGTGCTTGGAGGCCGTGTGGCCTGGCTGGACCCCTGCTTTTCTGTCCCTGCCTCACGGGCCTTCTTTCCCTAAGCTGTAGCTGGACATTGTCCCTGCGTAGCCCGGGGTCTGGGCGTGCAAGTCCCGGAAGTACATCACTGGTGTCTACCTCTCCTCACAGGTTACTGCAGATGCTGTGCAGCTGGTGGCCACTGTGTCCTGTGGGGGACCATGTCCCGTGGTCGCCGTGGCCGACAGCCGCCATACCTAGCACATTGATTGTCCACCTTCGAAGGGCTGGGGCACGGTGGAATGTGCGGCTGCAGAGCACTGACCATGCGGAGCCACTGGAAGTGAGCGGGGGCTAGGCAGGCAGGTGGTGAGGACCAGACAGTGGGGATGGTGAGGAGATGGCAGGGACAGTCCCTGGGTCGGTGGTGGGGTTGTGGTGCCACAGGCTGGTGTGTCCTGGTGGGGGGCTTCCCCATAGGGCACAGCGGGGCTGAGATGAGCCGAGACACGGCCCACGGGGCGGGGGCGGCCTGTCCCGGCTCCTTGAGGTGTGTCTCCTCCCGCACTGCCCTGGACGTGTCGGCCTTGCAGCCCAGGGCACACACGTCCTTCCTTTGTTTCAGGTGGTGACGCAAGGGTGACTTCATAGGGTTCCCGAGATGAAGGCTTGCCCGAGACCATGTCTGATCCACACACGGTGATGGAGGCCCCTGACCCGGCGCCTGAGGCCGGGCTGGGAGAGCTCCTGGGGGACCCGGGTGGCCAGGACCCAGCGCTCCCCCCCACTCCGGCCATGGAGACTCAGTGGAGGATCCGGGCAGAGGAGCCGGCGTCAGCGTGCAGTCAGGCGGCCGGGGGCGCCCCGCTGAGCCCCGATCTCGCCCTTCCTCCGGAGCTCAAGGAGGGGAACACCGACGCTCGCGATGTTTGCGCCCAAAGCTTCTCGTTCAGCTCAGACCTCGTCAGGCAGCGGGGAGGCCACGCCGGGCAGAGGCTGTGTGTGGGCCGCCTGTGTGGGGACCTGGCCGAGCAGCAGCACACCCAGGCTGGGGACAAGCCCTTCCCATGCGCGCAGTGCGGGAAAGCCTTTGGGCACAGCTCGGACCTGGCCCGGCACCAGCGAGTCCACAGCCGAGAGAGGCCTTTTGAGTGCCCGGAGTGCGGGAAGGGCTTCGGTCAGAGCTCGCTGCTCATCCGGCACCAGCGCATCCACACTGGCGAGCGGCCCTATGAGTGCACCGAGTGCGGCAAGGCCTTCATCCGCAGCTCCAGCCTCATCCGGCACTACCAGATCCACACGGAGGTGCGGCAGTTCGAGTGCCGGGAGTGCGGCAAGGCCTTCCGCCACCGCTCCGACCTCGTCGAGCACCAGCGCATCCACAGCGGCGAGCGGCCCTTCGAGTGCCCCGAGTGCGGCAAGGCCTTCATCCGCAGCTCCAAGCTCGTCCAGCACCAGCGTGTGCACAGCGGCGAGCGGCCCTATGTGTGCGCCGAGTGCGGGAAGCGCTTCAGCCAGACGTCCAACTTCACGCAGCACCAGCGCATCCACAGCGGCGAGAAGCTGTACGTGTGCCAGGAGTGCGGCAAGGCCTTCTTCCTGAGCTCCTACCTCATCCGGCACCAGAAGATCCACACGGGCGAGCGCGTGTACGCGTGCCGGGAGTGCGGCAAGGCCTTCCTGCAGAAGGCCCACCTCACCGAGCACCAGAAGATCCACTCGGGGGACAGGCCCTTTGAGTGCCAGGCCTGCGGCAAGGCCTTCATCCAGAGCTCCAAGCTGCTGCTGCATCAGGTGGTCCACACGGGTGAGAAGCCCTACGTGTGCAGCCGCTGCGGCAAGGGCTTCCTCCAGCGGGCCAGCTTCCTCCAGCACCAGAAGGCCCACTCTGAGGAGGGGCGCGAGGGCAGCTCGCTCGGGAATGCCACGGACACCCCACTGCAGGGCCCCCCTGCGGACGGCCCGTAGCAGCTGCTGCCCTGCTTGGGACGGTGCCCGGGAGGGTCCTACTGGCACATACGGTCTGCACGTCCGTTCCCTGGGTCCCAGCCAAGGCCGCTGTGCAGTTGGCACTCGCCATGCAGTACCCAGGACCTGCCCTCCTGGGCTACAGCTTGGGGGCCGGTGGCACAGGTGGCTGGACTGCCTGTTCATCCTGTGCTCTGAGTACAGGGCTGTGGCTCCAGGCCCAGCACCGTGGGGCTTACATGAGGACTGCCTGGTGTAGGCGGTGACGGGGGGCTCTCTGTGCCCCCAGGACAGCCTCCTGTCACACCGCCAGCGCCCCGCCCAGCAGTGCCACTTGCCCTGGCTGGTCCACCTGTGCCCTGCCGTGCCATGCTTCCCACCTGGCGTGGCTCCAGGCCTAGCCCATAGCTGACTGCGGCTGTCCCCAGGTCCTGGCATACTTAGCAGTCTGTCTCCGTCCCCCTCCGTGCTGCCTGTCCTGCTGTGGTTAGCGTGTGACTTGTACAATGTCAGTGTTGTGTGATCCTGCGTGGTCCTTGTCTAACTCGGGCGGCTCTGCTGCTGAGCCCAGGTCTCCCACCCCAGGCCTTCCCTCCCTCTCCAGTGCATCCGGGCTCTCCCGCTCATTGCAAAGAGCTTGTTCTCAGGGAGCGGTTCTGAGAGGGGACGGGCGCATGGCATGCTGCTGGTCCAGGAGCACCCCATCCCGGGGTGGCCTCCCAGGAGCACAGAACGGTTCAGCCAGGAGGCCTGGCAGGTGGCGCCCTGGTCAGGGCTGAGCTGTTCACCTGAATGGGCGCCAGGACGGCCACTTCTGGTCGATAAACTGCGTGTGTACTCAAGCCCTCCTGAGCCTTCGCGGACAGCAGTGACCCCTGGAAGCCTCCTGAGCGGAGGCTTGGGCCGCACGCGGCCTCAGTGCCCTGACACAGAAGGCACCATGCTGGGCATTCCCACACCACGATCAGGAATGTGCCCTGGCCACCCAAGCAGCCCCCCTTTGTGCTTGCCTGCCGGGCCCGCTTCACCCCAGAGCCACCCAGGTCAGCGCCCAGAGGTCCCACGTGGTGGGACCTCTCCACTTCCCCACCCAGCTCGGTGTGTTCTGGAAGTGTCCTGTGGTGGGAGAGCTTGTGCGTGACCTGTCGCCTGGGGTAGAATGGGGTCTCCAATTTGGGCTCATAATAAAACAGTGGCAAGCATTGTACAAAGTGTCGACACGTGTGTTCATGCCTCGGGTCTGCTCTGGTGGCTGTGATGGACTACCCTACCGCCAGCAGGCTTGTGAGCAGAGCAGCCCCTCCCTGCAGTGTGACGGCCCGATCCCGCCAAGGCCATCCCTGCATGGGCCTTGCTGTGTGACTGGTCCCGCCAAGGCCATCCCTGCGTGGGCCTTGCCGTGTGACTGGTCCCGCCAAGGCCATCCCTGTGTGGACCCTGCAGGGTGACTGGTCCCGCCAAGGCCATCCCTGCGTGGGCCCTGCCGTGTGCCTGGTCCCACCAAGGCCATCCCTGCATGGACCCTGCCGTGTGACTGGTCCCGCCAAGGCCATCCCTGTGTGGGCAGTTCCTGCTGTGACCTGGTGCAGCAGCTGGTGACAGAGACTTGCTTTGCCTGCTTCTGAGCCCATCTGGTGTCTGACACGTCCTCCTGTTCTAATAAATGCCCCACCTCCTGGCACCAGCATTTCAGGATACACTCTTGGGATAGCATAAATGGCTCATTGTTCAAGTTTCAACTTTGTGAGTCAAATCCCATGTGTCCAGTTGTGCGGCCATGAACCAGTTACTCAGCGTCTACAAGCCGATTTCCCTGTGTTGAAAAAGGGAGGGGTTCACTTTGGAACCCAGGTTCCAGCTTGTCAGGAGCCCTGGGGCACCACAGGTCACTCTGGACAGTGTTTAGGTCCGTCAGTGGGGCTGGGCTGAGACGGCCCTGTCCCTCGGGGCCCGTGGTGCAGGAGGCAGATTCAGACAGGCCCCAATCGACTGCCTTCATCTCTTCCCTACCCCAGAAACAACGAACGCCAAGGTCCGCTGTGGGCGTCAGTGTCCTAGCTGTTTGACTTCCCATCCCAAGTCCTTGCGTCCCTGCACCCATGTGGGAGACCCGGAACTTCCTGGCTCCAGGTCAGGTTGTTTCTGGCATTGCAAGCACTTGGGGAGTACACCAGCGGATGGAAGATCTGCCTGCTTCTCTGTAAATCTGCCTTCCCAATAAAAATGAATGTGTCTTAAACACACACAGCTCATTGAAGTACGTACATTAATTTTGAAGCATTTATTTGAAAGGCAGAAAGAGATCTTCACTTGGCTTACTGCCCCAATGCTCATAACAGCTGGGGTGGCTCTGTCCACAGTTCTCCCACAGCGGTGCTGGTACCCAGCTACTGTACTGGGCACTCACATGAAGCAGGTTGGCGCCAAGTAGCCCTCATGGCTATGATGGGCTGGCTGCTCAGCCTTCCCTAGGAAGTAGTTTTAGCTTGAGAATTAGCATACGGCCCTGCATGGCATATGGCCATACTGTAAGATGCTCCTACACAACACAGGGTATTCCAATTACAGCACATCCTGCCAGCAATCTTTTGCCATCAAAATGTCACTGTATGCAATGTGGAGTCACTGTGTGCAGTGTGTGGAGTCACTGGGTGCAGTGTGCTGAGTCACTGGGCGCAGGGTGTGGAGTCACTGCAGTGTGTGGAGTCACTGGGTGCAGTGTGCTGAGTCACTGTGTGCAGTGCGTGGTGGCACTGTGTGCAGTGTGCTGAGTCACTGGGTGCAGTGTGCTGAGTCACTGTGTGCAGTGCGTGGTGTCACTGTGCAGTGTGCTGAGTCACTGTGTGCAGTGTGCTGAGTCACTGGGTGCAGTGTGTGGAGTCACTGGGTGCAGTGTGCGGTGTCACTGTGTGCAGTGTGGAGTCACTGTATTGTGCTGAGTCACTGGGTGCAGTGTGCGGTGTCACTGGGCGCAGGGTGTGGCGTCACTTGGGCTGGTGCAGGTGCTGCCCAGGTGCTCTTTCCGCGCAGCTGCTGGTGCTCTCTGTCACACAGCGTACCTGCTCCTTTCTCCGTCCTTGCTGAGTTGCATGGCATCTAAGCCATTAGGAGTTCTTTCTGAGTTTCAAATGTAAAATTCCAAATGTATATTACCATTCTTTCCTTTCAGTATTTGCTTTGCATTTTCATTTTTTAAGATTTATTTTTTGGGTCTGGTGCCATGGTCTAACAGCTAAAGTCCTTGCCTTGAACACGCCAGGATCCCATATGGGCACCGGTTCTAATCCCGGCAGCCCTGCTTCCCATCCAGCTCCCTGCTTGTGGCCTGGGAAACCAGTCGAGGACAGCCTAAACCCTTGGGACCCTGCACTCGCCTGGGAGACCTGGAAGAGGTTCCTGGCTCCTGGCTTTGGATTGGCGCAACACCAGCCGTTGCAGTCACTTGGGGAGTGAATCATTGGATGTAAGATCTTCCTCTCTGCCTCTACTTCTCTTTGTGTATCTGACTTTCTTTTCTTTTTTTTTTTTTTAGATTTATTTTTATTATTTATTTATTGGAAAGGCGGATATACAGAGAGGAGAGACAGAGAGGAAGATCTTCTGTCTGATGATTCACTCTCCAAGTGAGTGCAACGGCCGGTGCTTCGCCAATCCGAAACTAGGAGACTCTTCCGGGTCTCCTACGTGGGTGCAGGGTCCCAAAGCTTTGGGCCGTCCTCGACTGCTTTCCCGGGCCACAGGCAGGGAGCTGGAAGGGAAGTGGGGCTGCCGGGATAGAACCGGCGCCCATATGGGATCCCGGGCGTGCAAGGCGAGGACCTTAACCACTTGCGCCATCACGCTGGGCCCGTGTATCTGACTTTCTAATAAATATAGATAAATGAAAAGATTTTTAAAATTTTTTATTGGAAAATCACATATACAGAGAGGAGGAGAGACACAGAGGATCCTCCGACCGCTGGTTCACTCCCCAAATGGCTCCAACAGCCTGAGCTGAGCCGATCCAAAGCCAGGAGCCCGGAGCTTCTTGTGGGTCTCCCACGTGGGTGCAGGGTCCCAAGGCTTTGGGCCCTCTGAGCTGGATCCTGCTACCTCCTTACACTTGGTTCAAGTCCACCATGGAAAGTCCTTGTGCCCAGCCCCTGGTTCTTCACACACCATCCTCCCTGGCTGCCTTTTCCCCATGTCCTCAGCTCTCCTGTCGGTGAAACCAACTTTGTAGGTCAGCCTGTGGGAATACCTACTGATTCAGGAGGGCAACTGGCACCACTCCGAGCTGCATCGCTGGCGCCCACACAGCTCAGGTGCCCACCTGAGGACTAAATGAACCAGTGAACATGGCCCGTCCCTAGCAGTCGGCTTGTAAAGGGGATGAAATCCCGCCTGCATCGAGGGCCCGTGTTGGGTGAAGGAAGGCCAACTCCTGCGGCAAATTCCACGTGGCTACATGTCCACCCGCTCCAGCTGGGGAGGGCCCGGGCGGCTCCTGGCAGGATGGGAATGGATGCAACCTGGGCAGGCCAAGGAGAAGGTGAGGGATGCCAGGTGATCAGAGGGGCCCCGAGACCCCACCTGGGTGGAGCACAGACGCCCACGGGCATCTGTGGCTCCCAGAGTCTAACATGACCTGCCGCCCGGAGACCTGTTCTACTTGCTGGGTCACTCTGGGGACAGTGGGGGAGTGCCCCCTTCCCACCCCCCGGGGACAGGGACGCCCTGTGGTCCCCTCATGTCCTTTCAAGTTCCCCTTCCCACCGTTTCCGATGGCCCCGTGTTGTGGGCTTCTCCCCAAGGGGAGCCCCACTGCGGGCTGCACTCCCCACCAGGCGGCTCCAGTCTTGCACTGCCCAGGGTGTACACCCTAGGCAGGCGCCCTGGAGGGCAGCAGACACTGCTGGTGCTGCCCTGCTCTCTGCTGGCCAAGTCCCGCGGAGGATGGCGCCCAGCCACAGTAGCCGCCTTTGTGTGGGGACCATGGGACAGCAAGTGCGGCCCGTGAGGGGTACACACTGCCTCCACACAGAGCTCCCAGGTGGCGCTGTCCTCGGACTGGGGGACCCTCTGCTTCTGGGGTCCGTTCTTTCTAGCAGCAGGACCCCAACACTGCGGCTGTCGTGTGGTGCTGGCCGTGCCCTGGGACAGGTGAGTGGAGTCTTGAGGGGACTGAGGGGCAGCTGGGCCCCACCACGTGGCTCTGCTTACATAAAGTTTGGCTCACCTTAAGGCTTTAGTGCAAAGGAGAAGGACCCAGCACTGGCAGAGGGGCTAGCGGTGGCAGAGCCACAGTGCGGCTGCCGCGTGCCCTGGCTCGTCTTAGCTCATGGGTTGTTGTGATGTTGGTAAGCACGGACCGAAGCCCACAAGACCATCAAACTCTACAGGCACGAGGCCTCCTGAAGCTGCCCATGTAGCCGACAACACAAACAGTATGGGCATGAGTCACAGGTACCCGAAACCTGAGCCAGGACCCAGCACGCTCTAGTCCAGAGGGCTCGGTGGCTCTAGGGGGAGGAAAGCCCACCACGGGGCCCTCCCCTGGTGGTGGTGTTCAAGCCAAGTGCCCCCGGAAGGCCCACGGGGGCGCTGGGGGGCAGCACTCGTGTGCGGTCTCAGTGCCCTGTACTGGCAGCTCCAGGTGGGACTTGACACATGATCCAGAAGCTGGGCTGGGAGGGGCTGCCAAGGACAACCTGAGGACTGGAGAGTGAGCCCACCTGCTGGGCCCCTTCCCCATGTCCCTGACAGCAGGGCTGGCCATGCAGAAGCTCGGCTCTCCCACACCAGCATGGGGAGCCAAGTCCAGGGGCCACTTCCGGGGTGCATGGCAGTGGGAGCCAAAGTTGGGAGGCAGCTAGCCCAGGCCCCCCGGGGGTCCTGCAGGGTCCTGCTGGTGGGTCACAAGCGCTTGTTACAGTGTGGTTACATGCTGGCCCCTCCCTGGAAAGCCTGGCCAGGTGGCCTCGCTTCCAGGCACGCTTAGCGCACAAGGAAGGAGGCGGGAAAGATGAAACCAACAGACAAATTCATCTCCCTGTTCAGAGCCGGGCTTGGGAATTAACAGGGGAGGGGAGTGGTAAACGGAGCTTCCACGGGTGACCGCGAGTGACAGAGTGAGATGATCAGGAGGTCGTCATGGTCCTTGCCGGCAGCTGACAAGCATCTTTATGGTGGCAGAAGTCCGTGGAGGGCGGGAGCATGGCCTGGCAAGCGTGCTGTGCCAGCCTGTGTCGCCCCCAAGCGCCCCAGCTCTGGGTGCCCTGCGCTGGGCTGAGATCTGGCTCCCCACGCCCAGCACCTCCTGTGCCCTTAGCACGTGCTGGTCCTGATCCACCTGGCCAGGGAGCGCACAGCCCCTCCCCCGGGGCGCTCTTGCCGCGCCCTCCTCCCATACTCATTGTTGGCTTCTTTCTAGGTTTCTATATAAACATATAATAATATTACATATAATATGTATAGCATTTATTTTATTTTTGGTGATGTTTTTATAATTAAGGACGCACGCCCGTGTGGACCACCAGTCAGGGTGGGGAGGGGCAGGAATGCTTCCAATCTCCTTTTTTCTTTCTCTGTATGGAGGAAGTGGGGGTGGGGGAGGGCTGTGCCTGGCGCCTAGCTGCCTCAGTACCCGGGGATGGAGGACGGACCCTTGACGTCATCCCAGGGTCCCCGCTGTGGAGCATGTTCCCAGGGGACTGCTTAAGTAGCTTCAGTGGTTCTGAGATGTTGATTTCGTTGCTCCAAGGTTGAGGAAATCCTTCCAAGATCCCTTGGTTGACAGTCCACCCTGGAGTCTCCCCCGCCCGTGTCCTTGCTGTCAGAGCTCGGCTGGGAGGGTTGTCGGATTCTCTGCCCTCCATCCTCTGCCGTGGTACTAGATGTCCCCTGCGGTCACTTCCTCCAGGGGCATCTGGGCGTGGCGTCCACTGCCCAGGCTTCAGCACCCGAGGAGGTCTCCACAGTCAGACCCCAGAGCCTGTGATGTCCCCCGTGGTTGGAGCTCAGAGTCCAGTGGTCCAGTCAAGAGGTCCCCAAAGAACCTCATCAGAGGTGGCCCCAGAACTGACGCCTGAATGTGGCCACCAGTGCGGGGTCCGGCTCAGTCCGTCCCCCACCAGTCTACGCACACTGATGGTTGCAGTTGCTGGGCCAGTTCTGTCTGCAGCCCCATCTTATATGCAAACTAATGGATGCTACGGCCCAGCCCAGCTCTGCCCACCACGCCCCTGGCCCTCACACACATCAGCAGGAATGGCAGCCCAGTCAGGATGACTCAAGTAACACCCACCGGGCTCGCCCCATCCCTGCTTCCTGCGCATGCCGGTGTGTGCGGTAGACTGGTCCAGTCTGCCGCGTCCCATTAGGCTCCCGTTGGAACCTAGCTCAGCCTGACCAACCCCACTGTCCAGCCCACACCCATGCCAGCACTCTCTGGGGGTTTAAAATTATTTACTTGAAGAACAGAGTGACAGGGAAGAGATGGGGAGAGAATCTTCCATCTTGCGTTCACCTTCCGAAGGCCTGAGACAGCCAAGCTGAAGGGCCTCCAGCCAGGTCTTCCGCGGCAGCGGCCGGAGTCCCTGGCCTTCACCTGCCCCCAGGCGCCTGAGCAGGAGCCCAGGACCCTCTGATGTGGGAGGCCTGCCTCGCAGCATCCAGTCACAGCCAAGGACCTTGCTTTCCTGCATGGCCCTGTTGGCTGCTGCGCTCCGTGGTCCGTGTGGCTCTCGGAGTTGCCTCTGTGCTTGCACTGTCTCTCTGCTTTCCATCTGGCTCCCTGCTAATGTGCCTGGAAACGCACAGCCAATGAGCCACGTGGGAGACCTGGAAGAAGCGTTTGGCTCACCTTGGCTGTGCAGCCATCTGCTAAGCAAACCAGATGAGATCCTCTCTGCCTGCAGAACCGGTCCATGCATAGTCCCAGCCACTTGTCAACCACAGCAACGCAAGTTCCTACACAGTGTCCAGCCCAGGGGCCACCGCGGGGTTCACAGCTGCTGTGCCACCATGCCAGTGACCCTGCACCCTGACTTTTCCTGCACCCCGTTCTCCGCCTAAGCCTGTGTGCAGGGCCACGTCATGGAGCAGCTGTTCTCACCAAACATGGCACAGATCAGACCCCGTGCTGTGGTCTGCGAGAGGCACCAATTCATTTGAAAGTCAGAGGCTGGCCTAGGCCTGCTCACTCCCCCACAGCCCCCTTCTGCCCCAGTGCCTCGGCTGACTGCTCACTAGCCATGCGTGGAGAGTCATACCAACAACCCCACGCTCTCCTGACCCATCTAGCGAGGGCACAGCCCCTAGGAGGCCTGGTCAGGTGGCAGTGGGGGCGTGGGAGGCAGCACCTCCCTCCACTCATGAGCACCCCGCTTGGGGCATCGCCTGTCCAGCATGGCCTGGTGAGCCCAAGGGCCACCTCAGGTGGCTGCAGGGACCAGAGGAGCTGGGGTCAGGAGGGAGGTGCCCTGTACCGTTCTCAAAACTTCTCCAAGTCAAAAAATAATACCGGAGATTAAAATGAGCAGGGCTGCCCTGTGGTGCAGCACCCGCCAGCATCCTGCCACTCCACCCCCACCCCAGTACCATGCACCTGGGAGGGCAGTGGGGAATGGCCCAGTCACTGGGTCCCTGCGCCTACAGGGGAGATCCAATGGCACTCCTGGCTACCTGCTTCAGTTGGCCCAGCCTGTCCACACTCCCGCCCCCTCTGCATCGGGGCCTGCGGAACTCCGACTCCACGCCAAGGCCCGGAGGGACACAGCCGCAGGGAACGCTACACAGTGGCCAGACCTGTGCGGGAGTGCGGAGACCTTGGCTTTATTCAGGGCCGCAGCCTGCAGATCAGTCCTGTCGGCTGCCCGCTTGCCGGGCCCTCTGGCACCTCAGCCTTCCCCAGAGGCGGGGGCTTCGGCCGTGCCCTCCGAGGCCAATGTGTCCACTGAGTGTGAGCTGTGAAGCTCCGGGTCGCCGGGCAGGCCTAGGGACAGCTTGAGACTGGACTTGACAGCAGGGAACACGTCCGGCAGCACTACCCGCAGTGAGGAGGGGCCAGAACACAAGTCCTCCTGTGGCCGCATCACGGACGGGGGTCGGGAGCCGATGTGCAAAGGAGTCGCCGACGGGACCCGGGGCACCGCGAGCGACGGAGTCACGGACGGGGCCCTGGAGGCCGAGTGGGACAGGGTCCGTGGGCGCGACAACGTCAGGGACTGGTCCCGGGAGGCCGAGTGGGACAGGGTCCGTGGGCGCAACGGGGCCACAGATGGGTCTCTGGAGGCCTGGCGCGACGGCGCCGGGGACCGGGCCTGGGACACCGCGCGTGACTGAGTCCCAGCTTGATCCACAGACGGGGCGCGGGAGGCCGCGCACGACGGTCCTTTGGGGGTCGTGAGGGAGCCAGGGCGCGAGGCGACCTGCGGGGGTGGCTGCCAGAGCGGGGGCCCCTCGGGCCCCCTGCGCAGCCAGCCGTGCACGTCTGCCAGGTCGCACGTGTCCTCGTGCTCGCGCCGCAGCTGTGCACGCTGCTCGAGCAGCTGGCGCCGCATGTCGTGCAGCAGCTGGGCCCGTTGCAGCAGCCGCAGCAGCTCCTGTCGCAGGCGCCCGTTGTCCGCCTTGAGCAACTGCGTGTGCGCCACGAGCGCGCGCGCCGCCTCCCGCTCGGCGCGCCGGGTCAGGGACTGCACGCGCTGCCGCGCCTCGCGCTCCAGTCCCGCCTTGTCCTCCAGGAAGCGCCGTTTGACGCGGTGCAGCACCTGCGTGTGCTCCACCCGCATGTGCAGCAGCTCGCGCTCCAGGGCCCGGATCCGCGCCAGCTGCTCCAGTTGCAGCTCCTGTGGCGGGACACAGGTCAGCGCCCCACATGCCCGGCCTCTACCGCGCCCGCCCCGCCGCGGGCGCGCCCTCACTGGCCTTGTAGGGCTGCAGCTCCTGCACCTGCCGCGCCATCTGCGCCGCGCGCTCCTGCATCTCCAGCAGCTGTGTGCGCACCCCGTCCTCGCGCCCCTGGTACAGCGACGCCAGCTCGGCGCGCTGCCAGTGCACCTGTGCCAGGTCGACGCGGTTCTGCTCCTCCAGGCGCACGATGGCATTGGCGCAGCGCTGCGCGCGTGCACTCACATAACTGGCGTACAGCCGATTTTCTTCGCGCAGGCGCAGCGCCTCACGGTCCAGGAGGGCGTTCTCCTGCAGCACGTGGTCCACGCGCTGCTCACAGGCCTCCAGCTGCTCCGAGAGCAGCGAGTATTCACGTTGCAGATACTGCGCGCGCTCCGACAGCTGTGGCTCGCCACCTTCGCCCGCCGGGCCCAGCCGACGCCCAGTGCTCGGCCCGCGCTTCTTCTTGGGAGCCATGGGGCGGGGGCCCTAGGCTGCGTGACAAGGCCACTCCTGCTCCTCCCCGGCCCAGATAGCTCAGGTCCCAGGTCAAGGGGCGCTGGGTGCGAATCAAGAGTAAAGGGTCTCCAGGGTCAGGGGCCGCGTCGCCAACATTCACTCGTAGGATACCTGGGGGTCTTGGCCGCCCCACATGTTTGTTCCTCTGCAAGTCTCCGTGGAGACGGAACTCGGCACCCTCGGTACCCCACCCCCACCCCGTTCGGCAATTCCTTGGTGCCCCGAATACGCGGGACGCCCACTACCGGGCAAAGTGGGGTGTCTCCCCAAAGCTTCTGCTCACCCAGGATGCCTTGCTTTCCTGTAGGCGTCTTGGTTCTTGTGAGGGGGTGGGGCCAGGTCATCCGGGGACCCTGGCCCCACCCTGACGCTCTCATCCCGACATCCCAGTGGCTGTACAGTGAGGGGCTGCTCGGGGGTCAGTTTGCTGTAACCTTCAGGAGCAGAAGCTGTGAGGGACGGGGGGTGCACAGGTGGGGTGAGCCTGGAACCCCCAGCCTCTGTCCTCGGCTGCTGTCCCCCTACCCAGGCTGTGCCCGTCTGCCAGGGCGTGGGCAGATGAGACAACCAATCCTGGCGGGAAGCGGCCTGCTGGACAGGTGTGACCGGGGCCTCTGACAGCACGGCGGAGCATCCCTGCCCCGCTCGCTGCAAAAGTTCAGCTTGTGAACAAAAATATAAGTTCTCAGACTTCAGCCTTTAGAGGACTCCTCCCCAAGCAGCCTTCGCCCGTCGGTGTCAACACGAGGACTTCTAGGGGGTGGCGGCGGGCACCCGGGAGGCAGCAGAGATGGCTCACGTAGCTGGTCCCTGATGCCCACATGGGGGTCCCAGGGACGTCCAGCCTGGGCTGTTGTGGGCTGTGACCCCCTGCTGCACTGCCCGCTCCCTTTCTGCCTTTCAAATAAAGTGACACCAAGTAACACGCTTGAAACAATGAAAACACACAGATGTGCCTGGAGTGGAGGAGTGGCACCGGCTTCTTGCAGATGCTGGGAACCACTGGGGAAAGGCCACTGGCTCTCTCCCTCAGCCCCTCCAAGGCCTACTGCCCATCCCTGCACACCAGGACCAAGGTCACCACGTGGCCCGTGCCACAGCCCTCCCTCTGCCAAGGCTACTCCTGGACTGGGATGCCAGGTCCACACGCAGCTCCTGCCCCACAGCCTGACTATGCACCTTGGAGGGCCCGCCCCAGCCAGGACAAAGCCCAGCACCTGACAGTGGGCAGTGTCGAGGGTCAGCCCTGCTCCCTGCGGCTGCCCCGGCGTGGGCCTAGCTGCGGCGCGAGGCTCTCCTCGTCTGCTCAGGCCCAGCCCTCCGTACATGGCCAGCACAGGTGTGCTCAGCCAGGCGCCCTCGTTGCCCATTCCAATGGGCGCCCATGGCCATGTCAGGTGCGTGGGGAGGAGTGGCTGCCTGGGACCATAGTTACCGCTGTGTCAAGGGGACACTGTGCCATCCTTGGTGCCAACCGCATGCCTGGGTTTCAGCTCCTTTACTCAGAGAGCCCCTTTGCTGCTCAGCCCGCCTTCCATTTCTGCTGCCTCTGTTCTGAACCCTGCGCTTCTTCCTGCCCCTCTGGAGCCTCCCCACTTTCAGCTTGCGGAGGTGGATGCTGACAGCAAGCAGATGAAGGAGCAGGGCTCCGACTGCCCACACTGCGGCCTCCTCGCCCCCGGCCGCCCCAGGCCGGCTTCCTTGAGGCTTTTCCCAGTCCTCCTCCTCTGCCTTCCCCTCAAAGACGTGGCTTTCTCTGAGAGCCGGGCTTGTCCCAGGCCTCTTGCTCCAAGCAGCCGCAAGGGCTCTAAGGCCACACCCTGGGCTGGCCCGCCCTGCGCCGCTGGGAACCTGCGTCTCCAGCCCCAGTCCCCTTCTCCGATCGGGCAGCACCTAGGGGTGCGGGGCCCCCGCGCTAAGGAGCGGCCCCAGCCACGGCCCGGGAGGGGCTGGGCCACCGGGGCGCAGGCGCACCGCAGGCTGCGCTCCCGGGTCGCCGGGCAACGCGATGCAACAGTCGAGCCGCCATGTGCGCCGCCGAGGTGGACTCTCACATAGCTCAGAGATTCCGCATCAAGCGACGACTAGGAAAAGGGGTGAGCGCCAGGGAGGGCCCGGCGGAAGGGCTGCTTCAGGCTGCGGGCAGCACCGGACCCTGAGCCCTGACATCTACACTGAGCCCCGCAGCCTGTGCCCTGAGCCCCACAGCCTGTGCCCTGAGCCCCACAGCCTGTGCCCTGAACCCTGCAGCCTGTGCCCTGAGCCCCGCAGCCTGTGCCCTGAACCCCGCAGCCTGTGCCCTGAGCCCGCAGCCTGTGCCCTGAGCCCCGCAGCCTGTGCCCTGAGCCCCGCAGCCTGTGCCCTGAGCCCCACAGCCTGTGCCCTGAGCCCCACAGCCTGTGCCCTGAACCCTGCAGCCTGTGCCCTGAGCCCCGCAGCCTGTGCCCTGAACCCCGCAGCCTGTGCCCTGAGCCCGCAGCCTGTGCCCTGAGCCCCGCAGCCTGTGCCCTGAGCCCCGCAGCCTGTGCCCTGAGCCCCGCAGCTTGCCCTGAGCCCCGCAGCCTGTGCCGAGCCCCACAGCCTGCCCTGAACCTCGAAGCCTGTGCCCTGAGCCCCACAGCCTGTGGCCTGAACCCCGCAGCCTTCCCTGAGCCCTTTGGGCCTCGGTTCCCTTGTGGGGGTGATCTTTCCTGGTCCCCACGCGCGCCAGCCCTGCTTCCAGGGGCCAGCCTATAGGCCCGCCCTACTCTGTCGCAGAGTGGGGAAGGGTGTGGGGGTGTCCTCAGCCCTGCTTTGCCAGGGGCCTCCCCTAGGATGCATGTGCAGGTTGGGGGAAAGCGTTGTGGGCAGCAGGCAGGCCCATGCCCTAGCCGCAGGCACCCCCAGGCCTATGGCATCGTGTGGAGAGCAGTGGACCGCAAGACAGGCGAGGTGGTGGCCATTAAGAAGATCTTCGATGCCTTCAGGGATAAGACGGACGCGCAGGTAGGACAAGGGCAGGGTAGGGGAGGAGCGCGGGCGTGCCTTGTGCCAAGGGAGGCGGTCAGACGGCTGACCGGGGGCTGCAGCTGGCCTGGGGCCTGCTCCTAGCACAGCCCCACACGCACGCCTGCCGTCCCCGCACGCATGCCCTGCTCACATGCCTGCCCTCCGCCTCCCACGCCTCCCTCCTCCCAATCCTCCCCCCTCCCCCCCTCCCCCCCCTCCCCCCCCCTCCCCCCCCCCCCCCTACCCTCACCCCCCCCCCCCCCACCCCCCCCCTCCACCACCTCCCCCCCCCCCCCCCTCCCCCACCTCCCCCCTCCACACCTCCCCCCCTCCCACCCTCCCCCCTCACACCTCCCCCCCTCACCCCCCCCCTCCCCCCCCACCCCCCCCCTCCTCACACCTCCCCCCTCCCACCCCTCCCCCCCTCCCACCCTCCCCCCTCACACCTCCCCCCCTCTCCACCCCCCCCCTCCCCCCCCCCCCCCCCTCCCCCCCTCCCCCCCCCTCCCCCCCCCCCCCCTCCCCCCCCCCCCCCCCCTCCCCCCCCCCCCTCCCCCCCCCACCCCCCCCCCCACCCCCCCTCCCCCCCCCTCCCCCCCCCCCCCCTCCCCACCCCCCCCCTCCACCCCCCCCCCCCCCCCCACCCCCCCCCTCCCCCCCCCTCCCCCCCCCCCCCCCCCTCCCCCTCCCCCCCCCCCCTCCCCCCCCCCCCCCCCCCCTCCCCCCCCCCCCCCCCCCCCTCCCCCCCCCCCCCCCCCCCCCTCCCCCCCCCCCCCCCCCCCCCCCTCCCCCCCCCCCTCCCCCCCCCCCCCCCCCCCCCACCCCCCCCCCCCCACCTCCCCCCCCCCCCCCCCCTCCCCCCCCCCCCCCCCCCCCCTCCCCCCCCCCACCCCCCCCCCCTCCCACCTCCCCCCCCTCCACCCCCCCCCCCCACCCCCCTCCCCCCCCCCCCCCCTCCCCCCCCCCCCCCCCCCCTCCCCCCCCCCCCCCTCCCCCCCCCCCCACCCTCCCCCCCCCCACCCCCCCCCCCACCCCCCCCCCCCCCCCCCCCCTCCCCCCCCCCCTCCCCCCCCCCACCTCCCCCCCCCCCCCCCCCCTCCCCCCCCCCCACCCTCCCCCCCCCCCCCCCCCCTCCCCCCCTCCCCCCCCACCCCCCCCCCCACCCCCCCCCCTCCACCCCCCCCCCTCACCCCCCCCCTCCCACCCCCCCCCCCCCCCCCTCCCCCCCCCCACCCCCCCCCCCCCACCCCCCCCCCCACCCCCCCCTCCCCCCCCCCCCCCCCCCCCCCCCTCCCCCCCCCCCCCCCCCCCCACCCCCCCCCCCCCCCCCCCCCCCCACCCTCCCCCCTCTCACACCTCCCCGCTCACACCTCCCCTACTCTCACACCTCCCCTCCTCACACCTCCCCTCCTCACACCTCCCCCCTCACACCTCCCCTACTCTCACACCTCGCCCCCTCACACCTCCCCTCCTCACACCTCCCCCCCTCACACCTCCCCCCTCACACCTCCCCTCCTCTCACACCTCCCCTCCTCACACCTCCCCTCCTCACACCTCCCCCCCTCACACCTCCCCCCTCACACCTCCCCCCTCACACCTCCCCTACTCTCACACCTCCCCTCCTCTCACACCTCCCCCCCTCACACCTCGCCCCCTCACACCTCCCCCCTCACACCTCCCCTCCTCCCACACCTCCCCTCCTCCTCTCACACCTCCCCTTCTCTCACAACTCCCCTTCTCTCACGCCTCCCCTCCTCCCACGCCTCCCCTCCTCCCACACCTCCCCTCCTCCCACGCCTCCCCTTCTTTCACACCTCCCCTCCTCCCACGCCTGCCCATGTACTGCCACGCCCATATCTGTCTCTTGTACCTGTTCCCTCTTCTCACTCTTGGATCTGCTTTTTCCAGAGGACCTTCCGGGAGATCATGCTCCTTCAGGTCTGTGACCCAGGACCCCTGGGGCGGAGGGGGAAGCTGGACCAGGGTGGCCGTCCAGCAGGAGCTGACTCTTCCCAGGAGTTTGAGGGCCACCCCAACATTATCCGCCTCCTGGACGTGATCCGAGCACAGAATGACCAGGACATCTACCTGGTATTGGAATCTATGGGTGAGGCCATGCATCCATTTGCTGCCTGATCGTCATTGTCCTGTGGGCCTGCGGACACTGACCATCTTGGCTTCCCAAACCCCGCCTGCTGTACCAGGACACAGCTGCCCACTCCCCTATAGGGACACAGCTGCCCACTCCCCCATAGGGACACAGCTGCCCACTCCCCCATAGGGACACAGCTGCCCACTCCCCCATAAGGACACACCTGCCCACTCCCCCATAGGGACACACCTGCCCACTCCCCCATAGGGACACACCTGCCCACTCCCCCCATAGGGACACAGCTGCCCACTCCCCCATAGGGACACAGCTGCCCACTCCCCCATAGGGACACACCTGCTCACTCCCCCCATAGGGACACAGCTGCCCACTCCCACCATAGGGACACACCTGCCCACGCCCCCATAGGGACACACCTGCCCACTCCCACCATAGGGACACAGCTGCCCACTCCCCCATAGGGACACAGCTGCCCACTCCCACCATAGGGACACAGCTGCCCACTCCCCCATAGGGACACAGCTGCCCACTCCCCCCATAGGGACACAGCTGCCCACTCTCCCCATAGGGACACAGCTGCCCACTCCCCCCATAGGGACACAGCTGCCCACTCCCCCCATAGGGACTCAGCTGCCCACTCCCCCATAGGGACACACCTGCCCACTCCCCCCATAGGGACACACCTGCCCACTCCCCCATAGGGACACACCTGCCCACGCCCCCATAGGGACACACCTGCCCACTCCCCCCATAGGGACACAGCTGCCCACTCCCCCCATAGGGACACAGCTGCCCACTCTCCCCATAGAGACTCAGCTGCCCACTCCCCCATAGGGACACAGCTGCCCACTCCCCCCATAGGGACACACCTGCCCACGCCCCCATAGGGACACAGCTGCCCACTCCCCCATAGGGACACACCTGCCCACTCCCCCCATAGGGACACAGCTGCCCACTCCCCCCATAGGGACATAGCTGCCCACTCCCCCCATAGGGACACAGCTGCCCACTCCCCCATAGGGACACAGCTGCCCACTCTCCTATAGGGACATAGCTGCCCACTCCCCCATAGGGACACAGCTGCCCACTCCCCCATAGGGACACAGCTGCCCACTCCTCCCATAGGGACAGACCCGCCAGTTCTCTGAGTCCCCTGCCCACAGTTCTGGCTCCCACACTGCTGACCGGCGCTGGGCCTCCGCAGATACGGACCTGGGCACAGTGATCGCCAAGGGCTCATTGCTGCAGGACATGCACAAACGCTACATCTTCTACCAGCTGCTGCGGGCCACCCAGTCCCTCCACGCTGGCCGGGTCATCCACCGTGACCAGAAGGTTGGAGCCTGTGCAACTGCCCCCACCCACCCTCTCTGCCAAGCACACCCAGCGGTCTCCTCCTCCCCGCAGCCGTCCAACGTCCTGCTTGACGCCAACTGTTTAGTGAAGCTGTGTGACTTCGGCCTGGCCCGGCCCCTGGGTGGTGAGGCCGAGGGGCCTGGGGGCCAGGCCCTGACGGAGTACGTGGCCACGCGCTGGTACCGCGCCCCGGAGGTGCTGCTCTCCTCGCCCTGGTAATCCCGCCTTCCCCCGGTCCCTTGGGCCCCTGTGCAGGCGCGCATGTGCACTGGCCTGGCCTTGTCAGCGCCCCTGCCCATGCCCTGGTGTCCAGGTACACCCCGGGGGTGGATATGTGGAGCCTGGGCTGCATCCTGGGCGAGATGCTGCTGGGGAGGCCTCTGTTCCCGGGCACGTCCACGCTGCACCAGCTGGAACTCATCCTCCGGGCCATTCCACCGCCCACTGAGGCCGGTGAGCCTGCGGTAGGGCCCTGGGATGCCGGGGGAGGGCCACCCTGGCCCGCTGTGCCTGCTTTCTGTTGCCCTCATATGCTCAGCCAGTGGGCGTGCTGGTGGTCGGGGTGAGGGTCTCCAGACTTCCCTGGGGTTCTGAGCCTCTGACGGGGCAGTGCCAGCCCCTTCTCCCCCTTTGCCCCCTCAGACCTGCTGGCTCTAGGCTCCAGCTACAGCTCCTTGGTTCTGCATCACCTGGGCGCCCGGTGAGTGGGCACTGGGGGTGGCTGGTGCTGGCCTGTGCCAGCCGAGGGCCGCCCTGCTCTTCTGGCCTCAGTCCCCAGCTCAGAGTATGTGCCAGGAAAGTCGTTGCCCCCCTGCCCGGCCCGGGTTCTCGGGATCCACCCAGCCTGGGAAGTGGGGCGGGCCCAGGCTTGGGGCAGCGGGGGCGGCTGCCATCGCGCCCTGAGAGGACACGCAGGTGGCTGCCCCAGATCTCGGCAGGACCTGCACGCCCTCCTACCGCCCGACACTCCCGCGCAAGCGCTGGATCTCCTGCAGCGGCTGCTGGTATTCGCTCCGGACAAGCGACTGAGCGCTGCGCAGGCCCTGCGGCACCCCTACGTGCAGAGGTGCGGTGCGGAGCGGCGGGCTGGTGGCCACAGGCCCCCGCACCCCCGGCCTGCCTTTCCTGTTCCGTGCAGGTTCCACTGCCCCGGCCAGGAGTGGACGCGAGAGGCGGCCGTCCAGCTGCCAGCGCCCGGAGAGCTCCAGCTATCGGCGGCGGAGTACCGCGACCGCCTCTACCAGGTGCCCCCGCGCAGTGCACCTCGCGGGCACGGACGCCGCCTCCCGCACCCCGACCCGCACTGAGCGCCCCTCCTCCCGCAGATGCTTCTGCAGCGCAGACATCGCGGAAGAGGCCGGACACCCGAGGGCCCGGGCTGCGCGCCGCCAGGGACAGAGCGCAGGGCCTCGCGGGCTCGGCCTGCGCAGGAGCCCGCAACCCTGCTTCAAGGAGGCGGCCATGACGGCGAGCGCGGTGCGTGCTGCGGCCCTGGCTCCCGCGGTGCGGGGCTGGGGGACGGCGAGGCGCCAGGCTGACCCACGGCTCTGCCTACTCCCCCAGAAGCCCCCGGGCGGCGCCCGGCCCCGCGACTGCAACTCCCAGCCCCAGCGAGCGGACAGCGGCCATTGGAGGTGCCTTGCGCCCCGGCAGGGGTAAGTGGCGGGGCGGAGAGCTCGGGCGGCGCCTCCCAGCCCACGCCTTCCATGACGCTGCGGTTGCGCCTTCCAGGTGAGGCCAGGCGCGGGGGCACCGGCGCCTTCCCTGACCTCGGAGGCCACAGCCCAGGCAGCTAACCGCGTTCTGCTCCGTGATACCCGGACGCGGGCCTGCGGCCGGGGCCCTCGGCGCTCTCCCCCGGGCCGCCCACGGCCATCACTGTGCGCCCAGGTGCCTCTCCGCGAGGCCACGGAGCCTAGGCCGGGACGGAAGCAGTTTGGCGCGGCCGCCTCGCAGGGGGCGCAGGGCGCCGCCCGGGCCGCGCTCGGCGGCTACTCGCAGGCCTATGGGATCGTCTGCGGCTCGGCGCTGGCCCGCCTGCCCCTGCTCCCGGGGCCGCGCGCCTAGCCGCCTCCGCGGGAACAGAGGGGCCCAGCCCCCCCCCATCCGTCCTCCAATAAAGAGCCACCCGCTCGTGCCCTGCACCACCTTGCCCTCCGTGTGTGTGTTCTGGGGCTCCGAGCACGGCTCCCCTCAGAGCCCATGGTGCCCAGGCTGGCATGAGCCCAGCGTCCCCTGGCATCATCATGCACAGCCTGGAGCCGCTGCGGAGTCCTGCAGGGGTGAGGCCCTGTGTGTGACCTGAGACCAAGACGAAAAGGGATGGGACCAGGAACACTCATTGGTCTCCAAGACTCCATGACCCTCCATGCGGCTAGACCCAGGTGGAGACTGGCACGCGGGCCCTGCCATTGAGGGCACAGAGGGGGCAGGGTACCCTGCCAGCAGGTGCCAAGGTAGGCTGGCTCAGTGCTTCTCTTCCTGCGGATCCTGGAATGGCCACAGGTCAAAGGTTGCTGCGTCAGCAGCCGACAGGCAGCGTCTTGGAGGCTGGGTGGGGCGGCCCCGGGCCTCACCCTGAGCCACAGGGCTGACCCTGGCTGCTCCGGATGCCAACCTGCACTGAGTCAGCAAGGCGGATGGGAGTCATCCAGCTTGCCCAGTTCCAGGTACCTGCTGGGGCCATCCGTGCCCACCACTGGGGGAAGGCCCGGAGTGGGCACCACGTGCCCAGGGGCTGTCCAGGCTCTGGTGCGGCGCGAAGCATCAGGCCCAGCAGACGACCAGCCTCTCACATACATGGGGGCAGGGTGAGGAAGGGTCTGCTGGCCTGGGCCGCATCACGAGGCCAGGCTGCAGTCAGCTGCCCACGTCACCTTTATTGCACCCCGAACATCCACCACAGCCAAGCAGGAATCGCCAGCTCTGACTCTGCCGTCCCTATAAGGGGCATCTGAGTGGCATGAGCTGCCCAGACTCCGGCAGCTGGGGGGGGGGGGGAAGGAGGATCCCCCAGCGTTGGGGCGGTGAGGAGCCCTGAGCAGGTAAGCCCGGTGGGATGCGGAGGGGGTCCCTGAGGCAGCCCGGGTGGGGGAAAGGCACTGACTGTGGGCGTCCTCACCCACAGGGAGGTGTGGTCACTTCTTGCCTTTCAGCGTGCCCAGGATCTTGGGCATGAACTTGCCCACCTTGCTGTCCCTGGCGTCGTCCGCAGGGCCGTCCCCGGCCGCCGGGCCACCCGCCTCCTCCTTCCTGCAGAACACCTCGAAGCGGCTGTAGACGCGCTTCTCCTTGCGCATGCTCTCCATGCGGCGCAGCAGGCGGTCGCGCTCCTCGGCGCTGGCGGGCAGCGTGCGGCTCAGCCGGCCCTGCGTCCCCAGGCTGTCTGAGCGGAAGATGGCCGAGCATTTGTCCTTGTCGGACATGTCTGGGGCCAGGCCACTGGCGGTGGCGACCGCGACCGTGGCGGTTGGCCGGCTGAGCTCAGGGCTGCTGTGGGACACGCCAGGGCCCGGTGGGGCAGGTGTGCGGTGCTTCTGCCCGTGGGCGCTGATCTGCTCCAGGATGGCCTTGGTGTCATCACGCAGGTTGCTGCTATACAAGGCGTTGGCCGTGGCTGAGGCCGAAGCCATGCGTGTGCGCGAGCCCTTCTCCTCGCTGGCTGTGGCCTCGGTGCTGTCTCCCCTGCCCAGCGAGGGCCGCCGGGGGCTCTCAGGCTGCCCGTTCTCCTGCGGCATGGGGAAGCCCCTGGTCTCGTCCTCTGCGCGGCGCGGGTCACCGCCCTTCGAGCTCAGCAGCTGCCTGAAGCGCAGGGAACCCTTGTGCGGAGCTTCGACGGGGCTACCTGCTGCCTCCTCCGGGGGCCCGGGCTTCAGGGTCTCCCCGGGGAAGGTGAAGGTGAGGCTGCCCCGGCGCTCGGGCACCGGCGGCACGGGGCTGCCCCGGCGCTCGGGCACCGGCGGCACGGGGCTGCCCCGGCGCTCGGGCACCGGTGGCACGGGGCTGCCCCGGCGCTCCGGACAGGGGGAGGTGGGACTCGCCTTGGGCTCATTGAGCCCGGCGGTCGGGCTGCCTCTCCGGGTGGGGCTGCCCTTCCGCTCGGGGTAGGCCACTGTGGGGCTGACTTTGGGCTCCGTGGGGGGTAGCTGCTGCAGCCGTGTGGGCCCCTCCAGCGGCGGGGAGGTAGAACGGCCCTGGGCAGGCAGGAAGCGGAAGGAGAGGCGGTCGGCGCCCCCGCGACCCAGCGTGTCCAGCAGCTGCGTGGCCGTGGCCGCCGCAGCACCCGGCTGCCGCTCCGCCTCCTGGTGCAGCCGCTGCGCAAAAGAGTCGCGCAGGTCGAGCAAGCAGCTCTCCAGGCTGCGCCGCTCGCCCCCCGCGCCCCCCGCGCCCGTCGCCTCTTCCCGCCACGCCTGCGACACCACCGCCTTGCTGTGGCTGGAGATGGCGACAGTGGCCCCTGCCCCGCCCACCTCACGGGCAGGGCCCTTGTACTTCTCCAGCAGCTCGGCCACTTTGGCCGAGGCAGCCGAGCGCACGGCCTCGCCGCCGGGCCCCAGGCTCTCGCTGACCGTCTGCTCCTTGTGCAGCACCTGCACCTTCTCGGTGGCCCCGCCGGCGCCCTCGGCCTGCGCGGCGAAGATGAGCGAGGAGCGCAGCCTGGAGCTGCGCTGGATGAGCGGGTTCAGGCGCGAGCGGAAGGAGTCCTGCTTGGCCAGCGCCTCTTCGGGGCCCTCGCGCTCCGCCTGCTCGCCAGCGGCGCTGCCACCGCCGGGCGCCAGCCCCTTGGGCACCAAGGCTGCGGGCAAGCGGAAAGAGGGCGGGGGCGCGTCCCGGGCGCCGGGCGCCAGCACGTCCTCGTCGTAGTCGTCCACGTCCATGGGCGCGGGGAGGCCCTCCTCCCCGGCGCCGTCGCTGTGGCAGCCACTGAGGTACGAAGCCAGACGCCAGCGCCGCAGGCCAGCGCGCCCCTCGGGCCCGGCCCTGTGCTCCGGGTCCGCCTCGGCGGCGGGGGTCTCCGGGCCCTGCTTGGCTGCGGCCTGGCACTGGAACCGCTGGCTCAGATTGGGGCGCGCGGCCCCGCCGGGGTCCAGGGCACGCGGGCCCTGCCCCAAGGCCGGGTCAGAGCCATGGCGGACTTCCCGGGAGGCGCTGGACGGCACGTACTCCAGCCGCTGGTGCGTGTCCAGGCCGAGCTCCGGGAAGCGCGGTCCCGCGCCCAGCGCCGGGTCCTCGTGGTCGGCGAAGCCTGGGCGGCCGGAGCGAAGCTTCTCGAAGAGGCCCTGCGGGCGCGTGGGCGCCAGCTGCGGGTCCCACTGGTAGTGCTGCTGGTAGAGCTGGTCCCGCTGGAAGTGGCTGGTCTGGAAGCGGAAGTCGTCTCCATGGCTCAGGTAGGTCTGCCGCGACACCTGCCGCGCCGCCGCGAAGCTCTCCAGGGCCGCACCGTCGGCGAAGCTGTGCCGCTTGAAGGCGTCCATCTCCAGCTGCCGCGCCTGGAAGAAGCCCCGCGGGCCGCCCAGCTCGGCGCCAGGCCGCAGCCCCGCGTGTGGCTCCAGGGCTCCCCCGGGCATCCTGGGCTCCTCCCGCCGGAACGGCGACAGAAAGTGCCGGTCGGGGTCCAGGAAGGAGGGGAAGCCCAGGCCCTCGTCGCGGGGCGGCGGGAACAGGAGGTGCGCGCGCTTAGGGAAGGAGAAGGGGGTGGGGGCTCCGAGCCCGGGGACGCCCACCAGAGGCCCAGCCCCGGCATAGGGGGCCAGGGCGTAGGCGTCCATTCGGGCCAGCGCCCCGGCCGACGGCACCAGTGGCTCCGACTGCGCAAAGAGGATACGGAACTCCTCGTCGAAGCTGGACACTAGCTCGCCCTGGAACACGTGTGCCAGGCTGCGGTGCAGCTTCTCGAAGGACCACATGAAGCTGCGGGAGAAGGGGCGGACCGTTGGAGGGGCAGGCGAGGGGAGGGCGGGGCTGGGGCTGCCCGGCCACGCCCCGGGCACCTGTAGCTGCCGCTCATGACCACGGCGCAGTCCACCAGCAGGAACTTCTCCTTCACGTGTCCCTGGAAGGACTTCCCAGTGCGGCAGTAGTAGGTGGGGCCGGCCACGGTGCGCACACGCAGGAACTGGGGTGAGAGCAGGAGTCAAGGCGCGCCCAGGCTCCTCCCCGCTGGCCACCTGCTCAGCTCCCTGCCCCCACTCACGTCCACGTGGTGCAGGTTCACGCGACACTTCTCCGCCATGTCCAGAAAGTGCTGTGCGTTCATCTGGTCCAGCAGGATGTAGACGGGCACGCGGCGCGCTGCCGCCTCCAGCACCTCGCTCAGCAGGTCCACGTCGGTGAACATGTCCATGACCACGGCCACCACCTGCGGGTGGTCAGGACCCACAGACAACTCCCTCTCAGTCCACGTGCCCTCCCGGCCTAACCACCCACAACCCTGAGGCCAGGGGTGGCCGCCAGCAGGCGTCAGCCTGGCCAGCGGGCGCCCTCCCTGCCCCAGCCCCACCCCTGGCCACACACCTGCTGAGCCGAGCGGATCATCCTGCGGGCCTCGTCCTTGATGCTGGGACTGTCCGGCGGTGGCGGCTGCACTAGCGTGGTCACCTCAGTGCCCTGGTAGCCGAAGGTCAGGGGCCAGCCCAGGTCCAGCTCGGGCACGGCCTGGTCTGAGTTCACGGGCCAGTAAGTGCCCGAGGAGCCGTCCATGTCGGGAGCGCTGCCCTCAGGGGCGTCTCGGGCCAAGTGCTGTGGGGGGCGCAGGTGGCGAGTCACATGGTCCAGCTCTTCGGGGCATAGGAAGTCGGGGGCCCCCTCCGCAGCCAAGAAGCGGTGGTAGGCTTCCGGCCCGCCCTCGGCCAGCGCGTCCACTGCCAGGCGGTAGTATTCCTTGTAGTGTGGCGGCAGGTACCCCGGGGCCAGTGGGTTGTCCCCCTGGGAGGAACTCTGGGAGCGACGCGCCATGTTAGGGCCAGGGACCTGCAGAGGTGGGGACACAAGTTAGACGCCCACCAGCACGCTCAGGCCTTCTCGCTGGCAAGCCAGGGACCAGCACCTGCACGGTACAGGCTGGGAGGCCAGCTGGGCACCTGGCAGCCCTAAGCCCCTCCCACAGCACCCCCAGCCCTGTTCCCTCCTTCCTAGGGTCTTCACCCTGCCCCCAGCGCCCTGCCCTCCTGCAGCTGGGCTCGGCTTCCACCCCGCCACGCCCTGGGGCAGTGTGTGAGCGCTTTCCTCTGGTCGTCGTCATCCGGCTCCACCCAGGATGAAGCTGTTTGCCCGTGGCCTTGGCGCTCCTGGTGAGCCCTACCCCCACCCAAGGTGGGCCCTGGCAGCTCTCACCAGGGCGCTGACCACTGTGCTGCCAGGTGCCCGCTGGCCTCTGCCCACTGCTGTCCCATAGCTCCTCTAAGCCTGCCTGGTGGAGGACCCCAGCTCCCGCAGGGCTGAGGTTCTGCCGGGAGGTGTGCCCGAGGGGAGCTGGCCTGGGACACCAGGTGGGACTGGCTGCTGGCACTGCCAGCAGACACTTCCCCCTCAGCAGCCTGCTAGCCTGGACAGCCGCAGGCAATCACTGGGCAGAGTGGAGGTGGGGGGACTCGGGGCTGCCTCCAGGAACCCGTGGATCCAATCCAATTGTCCCGGAAGCTGTTGGGGCACTTCCTTGTGAGCAGGCCGTGCTGGACAAGGGGCAGGAGCCGCTTGGGGCGGGGTCCCAGGCTCAGGCCCCAGGGTGTCCGACGGGCGCTGCCCAGCACCTCCAGGGATGACACCCTGCTTCCCCTGACTCCACCGGAAGGGGAGGGGGCAACGGGACACCCCAACGGCTGCGTGTGGCAGCACTGTACCTCCCACCCTGCTCTGCTCCCCTCCAAGGGCCCCATGCGGACCCCAAGCGGGGCGGGGGGGCGCACCATACCCCGACCCTGTACCCCAACCCTGCCCCGGAGCAGCTGCTGACCCCTGCCGGAGGCGGCCTCGCCTGGAGTCCCGGGCCCTAAGTTCTGCCCACCGGCGGCAACAGGACTGAGAATCTTGCGAGAAAATTCCCCAGCTCTGACACAAAGTCAAAAGGGGGAGCCGAGGGTGCGGCCCTGACGGCGAGGAAGGTGGGGTGGGGTTCGCGGGCCGGAAGTGGACGAGTTCACCTCGCGGGACGCGCACCGCAAGACTCCATGGGTCGGCGTGCCCAGGAAGTCGGTGGCGGCGCGGTCAGGTGTCCTGTCTGCCCACTCCTACCCGGGGACGCGAGGGCGAGGAGCAGGGGGCCTCGATGGGGGCCAGGGCGCGGCGTCCCCGGCCCCCTGCCCGGGCTCCAGCGGGGGGCCCTCTCCAGCTGGTCGGAGGGCGCGCCCGCCCACGGCCCGCACCTCGCCGCCCCGCGCTCCCCGGTCCCCGCCGGGGCCCTTGTCCCTCGAGGCCGCCGCCCGGCCCCTCGCTGGCCCCTGGTCCCCCCAGGCCCGGCCTCGCGGGGGGCTCCGGGCCCGGAGGCCGCCCCCCGCCGGCGCGCCCCGCGCGAGCCCAGGGAGGGGGCCCTACCTGGCCAGGTGTGCGGGGTCTCGGCGCAGGGGCAGCAGCAGCCGACCGCCGCCCAGCGGCCTCGCGGTCCGGTCGGTCCGGCAGCCACTCCCTGCGCGGCCCGCCCGGCCTGATTCACGCGCCCGCCCCCGCCCCGCCCGCCGCTCCTGCCTCCTGCCTGCCCGGGCAGCACCTGGGGGCGGGGCGGCCCCACCCGCGACGCGCCCGCATTCCTGCGCCCGACGCGCGGCCGCCCGCGCCCCCGGCCCCCCGCCCCGGCCCCGCGCCCTGGCCCCCCGCGCCCCCGGCCACCCCCGGACCCCCCGGCCCCCGCGCCCCCGCGCCCCCGGCCACCCCCGGGCCCCCCGCGCCCCCGGCCACCCGCGCCCCCGGACCCCGCGCCCAGGGACCCCGGCCCGGCCTGGCGCCGCGCGCGCCCGCTGAGGCGCGCCCCCAGCCCCACTTCGAGGGGCCCACGCCCCCCGGCGGCCATAGCTCCAGCCAGGGCTCAAAGTCCCTATCGCTGACCCCTGACCCTCGCCCCGGAAGTTCCGGCTCAGTCGCTAGGAAACGCTCCGCCCGCGTGGGGGCGGGGCCTTGCGGCGGGGCGCTTTGGGGGAGGCAGGTGAGGCTGCGGGGTGGGGTCCCCTCGGAGCCCCAAGTCGGCTGCGCCCTCAGGACCTCGCGCGCGGGGAGGCGCGATCCGCCTGTGTGGTCCCTCCCACCCCACACTTTCTTCTCAGAGTGGACGCTGTCACGCACCCCCGTGCCCGTGGGGACCTCGAGGGCGCACATGGAAGTGACCTAGGCAGACTCCGTGGGCACAACAAGCCCTTTGGAGGCTCCCTGGTCACTCTGCCCCCACTAGCTGGCTGCACACGGGCCGGCTGGAGCCCTCTGCCTACTTTGACCACCAGTGACCACCAGTGACCTGATGTCCCCATGGCCACCCCCGAGAATCACGGGTTTTGCCCCCCACCTGCTCAGGTCACCCCAGACAGGGGCATGGCAGGACTGTGGGGCACAGGGGTGAGGGAGGGGCCGGCTGGGCTGTCCAGACAAGGCCTTCTGGGGGGTGGGGTCGGTGCCAGGGACCAGGTGAGGAGGGGTGGGGGTGGAGCTGCATCTGAGAGCTGGCTTGAGTCTGGTCTGGACAGGGGACCTGCCCACCAGACCGTGAGAGCCCAGAGGGAGGGGCCAGCTTGCAGGGCAGAGGACATGGCTGGCACCCCGTGGGGAGCTTGTGGGGGTGTCTGCACCTGCTCTGCTCTGCTCAGCACCCCCTGCCTGGGCAGAGGACGTGGCTGGCATCCCGTGGGGAGCTTGTGGGGGTGTCTGCCCCTGCCCTGCTCTGCTCTGCTCAGCACCCCCTTCCTGGGCTTTCCCACCATAGGAGATGACCAGTGAACGGGCAGGGGCCATGTCCACATCCAGGAAATGGCCACAACTCCTGCCAGAGCCTGAGCCAAGCACCACCCAAGGTGAATGTCCACTGCCGGGGCTCTGGCTGGTGAGACCCTGGACCCCACCCAGGACCCTGTCCCGTGGAGCCCCTTCCCCAGGAGAAGCCTCAGAAGGTGTCAAGGGAGGTGGATGCATTGAGTGTCTGGACCCCAGGGGCCAGGGTACGGCCAGGGTAAGGCCTGGGGTGGCTGGGGTACAGCCTGGCAAAGGCTAGGGTACGGCTGGGGTCAGGCCTGGGGTGGCTGGGGTACAGCCAGGGTACGGCCAGGGTACAGCCTGGGTACAGCCTGGGGTAGCTGGGGTACAGCCTGGGTAAGGCCTGGGTACGGCCGGGGTCAGGCCTGGGGTGGCTGGGGTACAGCCTGGGTAAGGCCTGGGTACGGCCTGGGACAGGCTAGGATACGGCCAGGGTAAGGCCAGGATATGCCAGGGTAAGGCCTGGGGTGGCTGGGGTACAGCCTGGGTAAGGCCAGGGTACGGCCGGGGTCAGGCCTGGGGTGGCTGGGGGCGAGGAGTGAGTCTTCAGGCCAGAGCTGCCAGGTGCCTTCACTTTGGAGCAGGGGTGCCTGGAGGCGGCATTCCCTAAGCTGGTCCCAGCCTGGCAAGGCCGGCCAGAGCCTCCCGCTGTGTTCCACTGGTGGGTGGCTTGGGCCTGATGCCCCCTTTCCCAGCCCCTCAGCGTCCCCTGCACCTCACCTGGAGCAGGGCTGGGTCCCAGCTCCCCAAAATAGCCCCAGCAGCGTCTGAGGCGCCTCCTGGAATGAGGATGGGTGGGCCGCTTCCTCCTGCCCAGCCCTTGAGTACCAATCAACAGGGCCCTGGGCAGACAGCCCGGGAGCCAGGAGGGGGGGCCGAGGCCCCCTGCGCACCGCAGTCTCGCGCCAACCTGTAGCTCAGGGAGCCTGTGTCCACCAGCGAGTGCCCCCACGCACACTTGGCCTCATCCACCCATCATGCCCTGGGCTTAGCTTGCGCAGAGGCTGGGCTGTGTGGTGGACACCAGCCACCCCCAGGGGCTGATGGTGCCCCTAGCCAGTCCAGCCCCCCATCTCCCCACTCTGCCCCCTCCCTGGCCCCCAGGCCTTACCTGGCCCTGGGCGTACAGCACCTCCAGGCCCTGGTTCCGCAGCTGTTCCAGGGCCAGCGCCAGCTGCAGCCCCTCCACCTGCACCCAGGCCTGCTCCTCCTGCAGCTGTTGCAGCCACTGCTGCTCCTCGGACCAGGGCTGTCCCTCCGTCCACAGCGGTCCCCGCCACTGCAGGTCCTCCAGCAGCTGCTGCTCCTGGGCCAGGCACAGCTGGACCTCATGCAGGCTCAGCAGCTCGGGGCCCAGGGGCGGCATGAGGGCCCCTGCTCCACAGCCCGCCATGTGTTCAGGGATGACCAGCGCCTGCTCAGAGCCCAGGGCAGTGGCCTGCTCTGGCCTTGAGGCTGCCTTGGCCGGCTCTGGCCTTGCTGCCCTGGGGTACGGCTGGGGAGCCGGCTGGATGCTGGTCACGTGCCCCGCGGGGGCCACCCCTGGCCCGTCCTGAGGGCCCTGGGCGGCAGGGGGCGGGCGCTGGGCCACCCGCTGGGCCCTGCCCGCCCTCCTAGCTCGGGATCGGCGAGCCCGGCCGCGTTTCCCGGACATGGCCCCTGTGCCAGACTCCTGCTGCCGCGGGCCCCGGCTCAGTTGCCAGCTGCCTCGGTGGGGCCGGCTCAGTGGTGGGCTCCCGTGGGAGGCCCCGGGGTAGACCTCTCGCTGCCGTGGTCCCCTGCTGCAGCCGGCGCCCCGCTGCCACCCGCTGGCTCTGGGCCCTGGATCAGCCCGTGGGCCTCTCGGCGGCGGCGGCGCCTGGGAGTTTATGGGACCTCGGCGGCGCGGTGGCTGACTAAGGTGCTGACAAAGGCGCGGAGGTTTGGGCCACAGGCCTTGCTGGCCAGACGGGGAGGGAGACGCTGGGACTGGAGGCCGCCCTCGCCCCAGACCGTGCTGTGCAGCCACGCCGCTGTGCCTGGGCCTGCCCTGGGCGGCGCCACCTGGCTCCCTCCCCCGCCCCACCCCTGGTCGCGGGAAACTCAAACAGAGTTCCAGTCCCACGGATCGTGGGGACCCAGGCCTTTGCTGGTCAAGGGCCCCCAGCCTGTCCCCAACACAGCCTGTAACCGTCCCTGGGCCAAGGCAGACCCCGTTGGAGCTTGAGGGGGACGCCCCAGGGCCCTGGTGAGGACCAGGCTGGCTGGACTAGAGGCTGGCAGCCTGCAGAGGCCCCTGTGGTAGACGAGAAGTGAGCCATAGGGAAGGCTCCTTCCCAACGTGGGTGGGGGTCCTGCAAGGCCAGTCCCCCGGCCTCCTGTTGGGGGGTGCCGGGCTCCCCGGGGCACCTGGGAACATTTCCCCAGCCTGGGGCTGGAGTGCGGTTCCCATAAACGCCAGCTCTGCACACTGGCTGGACTGGTTTGCCTGGCCCAGCCCTGCCCAGGGCACCCCACCATCGCCCTCGTGCTTAGCCCTTGTTCCCCGGGAGGAGGTGGACAGCGCCTGGGCTGAGGGTCCTGTGCCTGGAGCTTGGCACAGTTTCCGGCTGGCTGGGCCACTTGCCTCTAGTGCTCCTTGGGGCCTGAACAGGCCGGCTGAGAGAGCCGAGGTTCACACAGACCCACACGCTCAGTCACCCCTTCCGCAGGGCAGCCCAGCGAGAGGCACAAGCCACGGACGAAGGCTGGTCAGCCAGCCAGGGCACCCATGCCAAGTGAGGGCTCACAGGCCCCTGCAGGTGAGAGCAGCATGCACACACGTGTGTGAGTGTGTGTTCATGTGCCTGTGCTGTGTGTGGTGTTGTGTAGGAGGGTCCCCTGCAGCCCCTGACCCACAGAGGAGCAGCACTTTGGCTCCTGGGTCTGCTTTCTGGAGAGTTCTAAGGTGCTGTCACCTGGAGGGGACAGCAGAAGCTGCGCCTGCTGGAGCCGCGGAGTCAGTGTTTGCTTTAGGATCCGAATGCGCAGCTGCAGGCTACAGAAGGTGCTGCGGCCCCTCCTGGTGGCCAGCCGACCGCATGCTTACCCTGACCCTGTGGATGGGAGGTCTGGAGACCTAAGGGCTCCCAGGGACCCTGCCTGGGTTGCAGGTGGGACTGCCACCCCTAGTGTCCAGGAAGGGACCCAGCCGGGGGCAGGAGAGGAGGACTTCCTGTCCCTGCTGAGGGTCGAGGCCACTTCCCGGAGTGCTCTCCTCTGGCCCCTGCCTGATTCTAGGGGCGCCTGGGCAACCTGTGACTGAGCCAGGGACAGAGAGCAGGGGTGATGGGGGAAGGGGCAGAGAGCAGGGGATGATGGGGGAAGGGGCAGAGAGCAGGGGTGATGGGGGAAGGGGCGGGGGCAGAGAGCAGGGGTGATGGGGAAGGGGCAGAGAGCTGGGGGTGATGGGGGAAGGGGCGGGGGCAGAGAGCAGGGGGTGATGGGGGAAGGGGCAGAGAGCAGGGGTGATGGGGGAAGGGGCAGAGAGCAGGGGTGATGGGGGAAGGGGCAGAGAGCAGGGGGTGATGGGGGAAGGGGCGGGGGCAGAGAGCAGGGGTGATGGGGGGAAGGGGCCGGGGCAGAGAGCAGGGGTGATGGGGGAAGGGGCGGGGGCAGAGAGCAAGGGTGATGGGGGGAAGGGGCAGAGAGCAGGGGGTGATGGGGGAAGGGGCGGGGGCAGAGAGCAGGGGTGATGGGGGAAGGGGCAGAGAGCAGGGGGTGATGGGGGAAGGGGCCGGGGCAGAGAGCAGGGGTGAGGGGGGAAGGGGCGGGGGCAGATGGGTCCAGTGTGTTTGGACTATGACCACTAGGGCTTCCCTGCTTCTGCCACCTGCTCCAGTTGAGTGTCCACAGTCCTTCGGTCACTCAGCGTCTCGTTACAGGGAGGGCTGGGGGACCTGGCCTTGCCTCCCTGCCCCTGCGCAGCTCCTGGCAGCACCTGGTGTCACGTGGGAGAGCTTCCCGCAGCCTGATGCACTGGCCCAAGCCCACAGGACACCCCACGGTTGCCTGCCCCGGGCTGCCCTGCCGCGGCTGCACGCTGCCCCAGGGGACCTTGGTCTACAGCATTGCTGGCTGTGTTTCTGTCATAGCAGATTTTTTCTATTTTATTTTTTAAAAAGATTTATTTTATTCTTATTGCAAAGTCAGATATACAGAGAGGAGGAGAGACAGAAAGATGTTCCCTCCGATGATTCACTCCCCAAGTGACCGCTGTGACTGGTGCTGCGCCCATCCAAAGCCAGGAGCTTCTTCCGGGTCTCCCACGCGGGTGCAGGGTCCCAAGGCCTTGGGCCGTCCCACTGCACACAGGTGGGGAGCTGGACGGGACATGGGGCAGCCAGTGCTGCTGGTGAGGCTTAACCGGCTACCCTTCAATGTTGGCCCCAACCCCGGAGGGTAAAAGTTTTGTTTCCTGACTTTAGCTAAAGTTTGATACTTTTAACTGCCAGGCTGTGCTGGGCTCTGACCCTATTTGGCCAGGGTGGCAGAACCCAGGCCTGACCCGGACGGCCCTGCAGCCGCTCCACAGATGCGGTGGCTTCTCTCCTTACCGGGGCAGGGGGTTTTCAGCTTGCTGGCCCCCGTGCTGTGGCCCCCACAGCTAGTCCCGTACCTCACTCATATCGCATCCACTCTGCTTTCTGGGTTCTGCCCCAGGCCACTGGCTGAGGGGCTGCCCTGTCCTCACCCTGCACTCAGAGCTGCACGCTTGCTGGTTAGCATTCCTCTGCTGTTTGCCCAAGCTTTTAATCTGGTGGTGTTCTGAAGTCAGCTTTCAGATGCCCCTGGCCCATGCCCCCAGGGTCTGAGGTGGGTTCAGGCTTCTGGCCCTCGCAGACCTGGAAGACAGCAGATCCCAGCTGGAGCGCTGTGTGTGTCCTGCCCCAGCAGGCCAACCCCGGGGGAGCTTCTGGCTCCAGCCACAGCAGGAATTTGGGGCTTGAATCGGGGGAGGCGGAGACACACACTTCCCAGTCCTCTGCCCTGCCGCCGCTGCTCTTTCTGCCTCTCAATAAATACATGTTTAAAAATATCTTTTATTTGAAAGGCAGTTACAGAGATAGGGAGCTTCCATCCAATGGCTCCCTGTGCACATGGCTGCAACTGGCAGACTAGACCTGGTAGAGGCCCCTCTGCGGCTGGGTGTCCCACGTAGGTGCTCCCGCCCTCGGGGGCTCAGCGGCAGGCAGCGTGGGGGTCCCTTGTCCGCTGCCTCCCCCCGCCTCAGGGCCCAGGAGGGTCCGGCGAGCGCCCAGTAGTCTGGGTGGGCTGGGCCCTGAGGGATGGCGCGCGCACACAGCCGGCAGTTGGAGCGGAAGAAGAGTCCACGGGCCTTCTCCCCACCGCCAGAGCCTGCCGCTGAGGAGCGCGCAGCCATGGTCATCCAGGGTGCCCTGCGGCAGCACCTGGCCAGGAGGGAGCTGGCCCGGCGCAGGCAGCGGCAGCAAGAGTACCAGGTGCAGATGGAGAAGCTGCAGCGGGAGGTAAGCGGAGAGGGGGAGGAGGGGGATGCCGGTGCAGTCCAGCTTGGAGGCTGAGCGCGGAGGAGGACCTCAGGGCTGGGGGACTCGGTCACCCCGCAATCCACCGGGGGTCACCCCGCGATCCACCGCAGGCCTTCCTGGCCGTGGTGCGGCGGGAACAGGAGGCGGCCCGGCGGCGGCGCGAGCAGGAGGAGGCGGCGCAGCGCGAGCGGCAGGAGGAGCTGCAGCGCCGCCGTCGCCTGCTGGACGCGGCCTTCGACGGGGACGTGGCGGAGATCCGCGCGGTGCTGGAGGAGGTGAGGGCGGAACGGGCCGGCGAGGGGCGCGGCAGGGCAGGTGAGCGCAGGTGAGCGCAGGTGAGCGGGGCAGGTGAGCGGGGCAGGTGAGCGCAGGTGAGCGGGGCGGATGAGCGCAGGTGAGCGCGGCAGGTGAGCGGGGCGGGTGTGCGCAGGTGAGCGCGGCAGGTGAGCGCGGCAGGTGAGTGGGGCGGGTGTGCGCAGGTGAGCGCGGCAGGTGAGCGGGGCGGGTGTGCGCAGGTGAGCGCGGCAGGTGAGCGCGGCAGGTGAGCGGGGCGGGTGAGCGGGGCAGGTGAGCGCAGGTGAGCGGGGCGGATGAGCGCAGGTGAGCGCGGCAGGTGAGCGGGGCGGGTGAGCGGGGCAGGTGAGCGCAGGTGAGCGGGGCGGGTGAGCGGAGCGCGCGGCCGGGGCGGGTGAGCGGGGCAGGTGAGCGCAGGTGAGCATCCCGGGCCGGCGCAGGCGGAGCAGCTGCTGAGCCGCCAGGGCGTGGGTCGCGACGCCGAGGGCCAGGCGCAGCGGCTGCAGCGGCGCGTCGCCCTGGTGGAGTGCGAGGACCGCCACGGGAACACGCCGCTGTCCGAGGCGGCCGCGGGCGGGCAGCCCCGCGCCATCCAGCTGCTGGCCGAGCTGGGCGCCAGCCCCAACAGCAAGGTGCGTGTGGGAGCGCGGGCCGGGGTGGGCGCCGGGGTCGGGGTCTGGCTCAGCCAGCCGTTCCTCGCAGGGCGCCTTCGGCCGGACGCCCCTGTACCGAGCGGCCTTCGCGGGGCATCTGGAGGCCGTGGAGCTGCTCCTGAAGCTCGGGGCTGACCCCCGGGTCTACGCCGATGACGGCAGCACCCCGGAACAGGTGTGGCCCTTCACCGCCAGGTGGTCTCTTCCCGCCCGTCTGGGGAGTCATTAAGACTCAGCCACAGCTGGCCGAGAGCCCGTGGCTGCCATGGGGGCAGCAGAGCATCCCAGGCTGTCGCATCAAGATTGCCTCGGTTTGCCTGAGATCCAGTTGACCTGCTGCCCATTTGGGTGGCGGCCTGGACAGGGGGGGTTCTCGCTCCTGAGCAGCAGTGCGGGCGTGGCTGCATGGGTGGGAGCTGGGGGCGCCAGGAAGTGTCTGTAGGAGGCATCACAGCCAGTGGCAGCAGGTGGACGTGGAGGGCTGCCTGCCCAGCGTCTCCCACCTGCTCCCAGGCCCTGCCACCTTGCAGGTTGACAAGGCGGGTGTATCCCCACCCCGGGACACAAGTCCACACAGGTGTGCCTGTGGTAGAGGGCAGGGGCCACCTCCACCACGAGCAGGGGCACCTGTGCCCTGCCAACCGGGCACCCACACTGCACCCAGGAGCCCCGCTCGGGATGCAGTGTCTTGAGCGGCCTGTGGGGCTCTGGCCACCCCTGCCCTAGGCTGCGGCCCCTGTGTGTTGGACCTGGTGTGACTGCTGGTGGCCACAGAAGGCGGGGTGGGGGAAGGTGTGTCCTGCTTCTGGATACTCCCCCAGGTACCTGGGAGTCGGGCAGCTGTGTTCTATCAAGGTTCTCCCTGTGGCTGGACCCCTATCCTCAGAGCCCTTCTCCTGTCAGGTGGCCTCTCTGGAGGCGGTGGCCAGTGTGCTGCAGTCGTGGGACCTGAGTCTAACCGAGGCCATGCTCCAGAACATGGACGCAGAGCACCAGCGCAGGGTCCAGCAGGCGCGGGGGCAGCAGCAGGCGGAGGCCAGGCGGTGCGGCCTGCGGGGTGGGGAGGGCAAGGGTGAGGGCAGGCGGGGTGGGGAGGGCAGAGCGTGAGGGCAGGCGGGGTGGGGAGGGCAGAGGGTGAGGCGGCAGCGGGCTCACCCTGACCCACTGCTCACTTCCACCCAGCCTGACCCTCAGGGTGCAGCAGCTGGCCAAGGTGCAGCAGCGCTGCCAGCAGGAGGTGAGCAGGGCCCTGTGGCAGGGTGGGGGGCCCGTGGGGGGCCTGCTGGGCACGACTGATGAGCCCCTTCCAGCTGCAGCAAGCGTACTGTGAGCTGAGCTGCAGGATTGCCGAGAGCGAGGCAGGCTGCGGCAGGTGCGTGGGCAGGACGGAGCTCATGGCACAGGTGTGTGTGCAGCCCTGCCCACTGTGCCCGCGGTTCCCATACCTGGGGGAGGTGGGAGGACCTTGGGTCTGGCCGCCCGGAGCTGGAGCCGGCCTGGTGCCTCTTCCAGGCCATCAGGGACGCGGAGGCCCGCGTGGACGGGCTGAGGCAGGAGGCGCAGAAGGCAGAGGACGCGCTGGCCACGGCCAGGCTGGAGCTGCGGGAGGAGCCCCAGGAGGGTGGGTGGGGCTCAGCCTTGGGGGCGGGCAGGTGCGGGCGAGGGCAGCTGTGCAGAGGGCTGGTGGCCGTCCCCAGGGGAGGACACCGCTCCTGGACTGAGGTGCAGCGTGGCCGAGCTACACGACGTGCTCCTGAAGGACGTGGGCGACCGAATCCGAGCTGACGGCCGGTCAGTGCGTGGGGACGCCGGGGCTCGTGGAGGATTGTGGTCCACTGGAGTGACACGATGACCGCCCCCAGGTGGCCTCTTGTCATCGACCCCTCGGGCCAGGCGGCCACCTTCCTGCGCTACCAGGACACCAACTATGTGGACGCCGTGAACCCGGAGCACATGAGGCCCGAGAGGGTCCGGCTGGCACTGCTGGGGGCGCTCAGGTGAGGGGGGGCCCGGGCAGAGGCAGCCCCCTGCGGCGCCCCACTCAGCCCGCCCCCTCCCCGCAGGTACGGGAAACCACTGGTCTTCGACCTGCGCGAGGTGGACCTGTTTGTGGCCGTGCGGCAGCAGCTGGAGGCCGTGCAGCCGGGGCTGGCAGGGGCACTGCTAAGCCGGGCACTCCTGCAGCAAGAGCGCTACCTGGGGCTGCTGCGGCCTGACGACGGCCCCGAGTACAGCCCCGCGCAGTTCCAGGAGGCGCGCCTGCAGCGCTTCCGTCTCCTGTTCGTCACCCAGGCCCGGTGGCCGCCGGCAGAGCAGCTGCGGGCACTGCTGCCCGTGCGCGTGCAGCTGCCTGGTGGGGGCCTCTAGTGCCAGTCCCAATCACTGGCGCCCAAGCGGGCAGGCCCCAAGATGGACAGGCGGCAGCTAAAACGTAGGCAATTTTATTCTCCTTAAACCACAAAATAGAGTCTTTGGTTGTACAAACGTTGCTAGTCACAGTCTTGCCAAGGAGGCCCGGCTGGGGCGGGGCGGGGCGGGGCTGGTAAGACCCCCCGCCCGAGTCGGGGAGGCAGGAGGGTGGCTCTAGGAGGGCACGGGGCCCAGGCCGTGACGCCCCGGGCGCACGGGCCGCCGGCACAGCGTCACGTCGTCGGGGCCCGCGGCGCCGGCCGTCCTGCCCAGCAGCACTAGGGCCACCTCTCTGTCTTCATCCTGTGCGCTGGGGCTGGGGGACGGCTCCAGGGCCCTCAGCTCCTCCGTGAAGCTGGGAGACTGCGAGGGGAGACAGCAGGCAGTCAGGGGACGCAGGGGGCTGCGGCTGGGGCGTGGGTGGCAGAGGCAGAGAGGGCACAGGGCTGCGGGGCTGCGGGCAGAGCAGCTGTGTGGTACCTGGATGGCACAGAGAGTTCTGGAAGAAGGGAGGGCCGCGAAGGCCCGGTAGTCAAACTTCTTCCCAGACAAGGACTGGACAGGACAGCATGAGGGGAAGAGGCAGAGAGACCGCGGGACAGCGGTGAGGGCTGCGGGGGGAGCCAGGCTCCCTCCCACAGGCCGCGAGGGGTCCTCACCAGCCGTCCAGGGGAGGTGCCACTCGGGGGGCCGAGGTCTGCGGGGACAGAAGAGGGAGTTAGAAGGGGTCGGGATCGTTGGCCGTAACCCCGACTCCAGCCTCCTCCTGAGACACGCACCTTCTGGCGGGGTGGGCGAAGGGGTGGGCGCCGGGGAGGGCGCCTCAGCCAGCCGCTCCAGGGGCCCGCGCTTGCTGCGGCTGTCCTGGGACCTGCTGAGGACCATCTGTGCACGGAGGGCGTCCTGCTCCAGGGACTTCATCCTGGCTGCCCGCCACAGCGCCCGCTTCTCGGCTTCCAGGGCACGGCGCTCGGCTGGGGACAGTGCGCGCTCCGCCGGCAGCTCAGGGCTCTGCACGCGCAGTCGCTCCTGGTGGCGCCGTTCGGCCTTGGCCGTCCGCACTGGGACACTGCCACCCAGGGGGGCGGCAGGGGAAGGTGGGCTGGGCCTGGTGGGGACAGGGCACCGTGTGGTTGTGGAGGCAGCATGCGTGAGGGTGGGGGATGGTGACGGGCAACCCCGGGGCCGTGGGGGACCCTCACCCTCCGGATGGCTCAGGGCCAGCCCAGGGCGGCGGCTCCTGCTCTTCCTCCTCCTCCTGCGGGGCCTCCCCGTCCAGGGCCGACCTGGAAGCTGCAGCCTCCTCTCGCAGCAGCTGCGCTCTCTTGTGCTGCAGCTTCCGGGCTGGGCAAGGAACGCTGGTCAGGCTGGGCCCACCTGGGCCCCACCCGGGTCCTGTCCCCAGGGCCACACCCGGGCACCCACTCACCTTCCTCCTCCTGCATCTTGCGCAGGTCATCAGCACCCACCAGGGACACGCGCTTTGGGGGGCCTTCAGCCTGGGGCATGCGCACCTCAAGCTCAAAGTACTTCTGTCGGTCACGGAAGGACAGCTGCTCCGGGGAGGCCAGAAGCCCCTGCGTGGGGGACTGGGGAGCAAGCGCTGAGCCTTGGCACCCCCTCACCAGTGGGGTCCCCAGGGAGGTGCCCACCCCCTAGCTAAGCCCCACAGGAAGGGCCAGTACCTGGGCAGGGCTGTCTGCAGGAGGGTGCGGGCTGGGCACAGCCGCGAAGGCTCTGTATGCTTGTTTGACGTTGGCAGGCAGCTCGTCGGGGGAGGGGGGCTGGGGAGTGAGCATTCGGGCCAGCTGCCCCGACTGGAGCCGCCCCCTGGCAGCCCGCTGCCCCGAACCCCACCACTCTAGCCCTTAAGTGGCCCGGGCCCTCACAGGGCCAGAGCTGCTGCCCCTCTGCAATGGGGACCCCCGGGGCCAGGCCGGAGCCAGTGGGTTCATGACCTCAGGCATGGTCTGCAGAGGGGGGCAGGGTGGCAGCAATGAGGGGGAGAGAGACAGAGAGGGAGAGATGGAGCAAGATGAAGAAAGGAAGAGAGAGAGAGATGGAGCGAGCCAGGTAGGGTGGCAACTGTGTGCCTTTGTGGCGAGGGCAAGGCTGGGAGCTGGTGCCGGCCCAGCAGGAAGAGGGCTGCCACAGCGTCACGATGCCCCAGTGAGGCAGGGCCAGTGGCCCTGGGCGCAGGCTGTGGCCCCACCCTGAGTGCCCCTGCCATGGGTGCTTGTGATGGGGGGTTCCTACCTGTGGGCCAGCAGAAGAGCAGAGGACCTCGGCCATCTTCCCACCGGTTGTCCCGGACAGAGCCTGGAGGGCAAGGTGTGAGGTGAGGGCCAGGCAGGCAGCTGGCAATAGCCCAAGGGACGCCCCCAAAGGCCAGGGCCTGGCAGAGCAGCAGGGTCGCAGGGGTGGGGACCCTCAGGACAGAGCTGAGCTGGCCAGGCGTGGGGCCTGAGCTGTCAGCCCAGGCTTGCCCTTCCTTGGCCTCCAGCTGGTCTCCACCCTCGCTGCATGTCCCTCTAGGGCTGCTCACACAGCTGCCCTCGAGCAGGTCTGTGTGGCTGCGTGTGCAGCCCAACTACTGCTCTCAGGAGGGGCACGCCCCCAGGCCGGCTGCCAGCCAGCCCTTCCCCCATGTCCTTGGCATTAGGCTGGGTGGGCAGGTGGGAAGGGCTGTTGCCAGGCCAGCTTGGGGCCTGGAGGGGGCGAGAAGGCATGGACACTCACGGCGGCCTCTGTGGCCTCCGGTGCCCACAGGCAGTTCCTTCTCCTGTGAGCAGAGGGCAAAGCCGGGCACTGCCAGCCTGGGGGTGTCTCACCTGGCTCCCTACTGCCCCCTGCCCGCCTCCTCCCTGCCCGAGAGGCTGCAGGGCCTGACCTCGCCCTCTGGGCTCAGCTCCCGGTCGATGGATGAGACACTGTCCAGGCTGTTCCGGTGGCCGAGGCTGGCCGCGAAGGGGTTGGCGATGACCCCTGGGGACACCTGAGAGGGGGAGTACGCAGGGAGCTGTGGCTGCAGCCCTGGGGGTGCAAAGACGTGGGCCCTGGCCCCACACCCCCAGCAGGTGAGGTGCAAGACAGGGTGTGGCCCCGCTCAGAGCTGAGGGAGTGCCAGCACATTGATGCGCCTTGCACCCCAGCAGCGGAAATAAGGTGGCTGTGTCCTGTGTGACTCGGTCACCATGCACCAGAAGGTCCAAGAGGAACAGACGTGGGGCCTTGCTGCATCCCGGGACCTGGCTCTGACAGCACAGGGTGCCTGGGTAATGGCCACCTTACAGCTGGGCAGGTGAAGGGGAGGAGGGCCTGTCCTGAAGCCTCTGCTGAGAGGTCGTGAGGTCAGGAGAGGAGGCTGTGAGGTCAGAGGGGAGGCCGTGAGGTCGGGGAGGAAGGAGTGAGACCAGGGGGGAGGCCATGAGGTTGGGGAGGAAGGAGTGAGGTCAGAGGGGAGGCCGTGAGGTCGGAGAGGAAGGAGTGAGGTCAGAGGGGAGGCTGTGAGGCCAGGGGGGAGGCCGTGAGGTCGGAGAGGAAGGAGTGAGGCCAGGGGGGAGGCCGTGAGGCTGTGAGGAAGGAGTGAGGTCAGAGGGGAGGCTGTGAGGTCAGGGGGGAGGCTGTGAGGTCGGAGAGGAAGGAGTGAGGTCAGGGGGGAGGCCGTGAGGCCGGGGAGGAAGGAGTGAGGTCAGGGGGGAGGCCGTGAGGCCGGGGAGGAAGGAGTGAGGTCAGGGGGGAGGCCGTGAGGCCGGGGAGGAAGGAGTGAGGCCCTGCTCCCGTTACCTGCCTCCCCGCCCGCTGCTGCCACTTGCTGGTTGATGCAGCCGACTGAAGGCCCTGCCCCCTCTGTAATTCTGCCTTGTACGTAACACGTAGCCCTCTCACAGCTTGGTCTCATATCTGCTTCCACTCGGAGGACAGATGCCCGCCAGCACCCCCTGCCAGCCTGACTCTGAGGGCAAGCCACAGTGCCTGGAGTTCAAAAACGGCTGTTTCATTTTGAAAGATCTTCTACCTGCTGGTTGACAGCCCAAATGGCCACAATGGCCAGGGCTGGGCCAGCCGAGGTCAGGGACTTCCTGCAGGTCTCCCACGTGGGTGCAGGGTCCCAAGGCCTTGCGCCGTCCTCACTGCCTCCCAGGCCACAGGCACGGAGTGATTTTTGAACCAGTGCCCATGTGGGAGGGGAGGGCAGGCAGCGCTCTACCTGGTGTGCAGAGCGCCTGCCAGCAGTGCCCCTGAAAGCTGAGACAGGCATGGATGCCAGCCTGCCCAGGCCTCCGGGTCTTCAAGGGGCCCAAGAGGCAAAACAGACACAGACATGCGGTCCGGAACCAGAGGACCCCAGAGAGAGAGCTGCGCTGGAGTGGGAGTGACCTCAGCCCGGCAGCGTGGAGTGGCAAGCCCGCTGCGGCTCTGCCACGGTGAGGCTCTCAGCCCATACATCAGGCACGGGGCAACGGCCTGCTGCGGCCACGCACACGCCAGGACAGTAACTGGGGCTCCCCTCGCCAGGCAAAGGACAAAACTGAATGAGTGCATGCTGGGCCCAGAGATGGGTCCCTGAAGTCACACAAGTGGGGCATATCCAGCCTGTGCCTGCCGCCCGCCCCCCAGAACTCCACATCAGCACCCTCCTGGAGCCCTGCCCCCCGCCAGCACCCTCCGGAGCCCCGCCCCCAGCACCTTCCGGAGCCCTGCCCCCCGCCAGCACCCTCTCGGAGCCCCACCCCCAGCCAGCACCCTCCGGAGTCCCGCCCCCCGTCAGCACTCTCCGGAGCCCCGCCCCCAGCCAGCACTCTCCCGGAGCCCCGCCCCAGCACCTCCCGGAGCCCCGCCCCCCGCCAGCACCCTCCGGAGCCCCGCCCCCAGCCAGCACTCTCCCGGAGCCCCGCCCCAGCACCTTCCGGAGCCCCGCCCCCCGCCAGCACCCTCCGGAGCCCCGCCCCCGTCAGCACTCCCGGAGCCCGCCCAGCACCTCCCGGAGCCCCGCCCCCCGCCAGCACCCTCCGGAGCCCCGCCCCCAGCCAGCACTCTCCTGGAGCCCCGCCCCCAGCACCTTCCGGAGCCCCCCCCCGCCAGCACCCTCCGGAGCCCGCCCCAGCCAGCACCCTCCGGAGCCCCGCCCCCAGCCAGCACTCTCCCGGAGCCCCGCCCCCAGCACCTCCCGGAGCCCCGCCCCAGCACCTTCCGGAGCCCCGCCCCCAGCCAGCACCCTCCGGAGCCCCACCCCCAGCCAGCACCCTCCGGAGCCCCACCCCCAGCCAGCACCCTCCGGAGCTCCACCCCCAGCCAGCACCTTCCGGAGCCCCGCCCCCTGACAGCACCCTCCCGGAGCCCCGCCCCCAGCACCTTCCGGAGCCCCGCCCCCAGCTGGTGCTCACCTCTAGGGCGGTGGCAGAGCCCGCCTGGAAGCCATCACACACCAGCACGGTGAGTGTGTCCCCCACGCCTCGCAGCAGCTGCACAGCCTCGGCATGCGTCAGGCCCAACAGGCTCTGCTGGTTCACCTCCAGCAGCCGCAGCCCCACACACAGCCGCCCGTCCCGGCCGGCGGCACCAGAGGGGCTCACCTGTGGAGAGATGGAGAGTTGCTGGCAGTGACGGCCTCAGGCTGGCTCAGGCTGGCCCGGGCAGGTCCTCACCTTGGATATGAAGATGCCTTCGTCTGTGGGGTCGCAGGGGTTGCCCGCGTGGCCCTTGGCCCCCCCGCGGATGCTGATGCCCAGCTTCTCGCCAGGGGCTTTGTGGATGCACAGCTCCCGCAAGCCCGGGGGCGGCGGGTCCCTCCGCACCAGCAGGGTCAGCTCTAGGCACGGCCGCAGCAGCGCGCTCACCGCCTCCTGATGCGTGGCTCCCCGCACGTCCTGGCCATTCACTGCCAGGATGCGGTCCCCCACGCGCAGGCCGCTGCGGGCGGCCACGCCCCGCGGCTGCACCTGCAGAAAGGTGTCGCAGCTGCCGGTGGGGTTGTGATGAACACGCCCAGCACCCACAGTGTGGCCAGCTCACCCGGAACCCACCTTGGAGATAAACACGCCAGGCTCCTGGACGCCAAACGGGTGGCTCGAGTGGTCGGAGCCCCCAACGATGCTGAGCCCCAGTGGGCCCCCCGCTCGTGGCAGGCGAACCTCCTGCTGACACAGGGCAGCCTGGTCAGGCAGGGACCCCAGGGCAAGCGGGGGTTCCTCAGGACAACTGAGTCTCACCTCCACAGGGTACGGGCCCTCCAGGGCCGAGGCCAGCAGGCTGGGGGCGAGCCTTGGCGGTGGCGCTGGCTCCGCAGGGGTGGTGCTGGGCGGTGGGGAGGGTGGCAGGGGGCCCCCAGCCTCCCGCTCGAGCAGCAGGGCGATAGTGGGGGAAGCGGCGGTGAGCAGGGACACGGCATGGTCGTGCCTGGCCTCTGTCACGTCCACGCCATTGATCTGCGAGACAGGGCACGGGAGTCACACGGGGGACCTCGCGAGGAACGGAGTAGGGCGTGCTGAGCGGCGGGGCCCCACTCACCGAGAGCACGCGGTCACCGACCTGCAGGATGCCGGCCCGCTGGGCGGCCCCGCCCTCGGCAATGCGCGAGATGAAGATGCCCTGTGTGGGAGCAGCGCCCCGTGAGGCCCGCAGGACACCTGCTGACCCCTGGCCACCCACTCCCCGCCTGCCCAGCCTTACCCCGTCCCCGGCGCGGTACGGTGTGGAGCCCTTGCCCCCCGCAATGCTGAAGCCCAGCCCCTTGTCGCTGCGGACCAGGCAGGCTGCGTGGCGCTGGCGCAGGGGCGAGGCCGGGGGCAGGCGCGCGCTGCCCCGCCGCTCCCGGGGGCTGTAGTCGGCCTCGGGCCGCAGGGGCGTGACGGTGACCGCGTTCTCCGGCTCCACCATGCGCTCCCGCCACACGCGCATCTGCACCGCTGCCCCCGCGCCACGCAGGGCCTCCACGGCTTCGTGGTGTTCCGCGTCTTGCAGCGCCACGCCGTTCACCTGTGGGGAGGGGCCGGGTAAGCGTGCAGCCCGGGGGGGGGGGGCCGCCGGAACCCCTGTCCCGGCCCCACCCGGTCCACTCCACCCAGGCTCACCTCGAGCAGCTTGTCGCCCACTCGCACGCCGGCCCGGGCCGCGGGACCCTCCTCTGACACCCGTGAAATGAAGACGCCCTGAAGGACAGGACCAGCAGTGGCTCCAAGCCCCCGGCCTCCCGCGGCTGCTCCCCGGGGAGGCCGGGTCGGCTCCCACGGTGGAGGGCCCCGTCTGGGGGGGCGGGGGCACGGGGCGAGCCGAGAGACTGCCGAAGGCCCCACGTGAGCCCGGTGGCTCCCCGAGGTTCTGCCAGCCTGATGTCCCTGCTGAGAGCCCACAGGCGCCCTCGGGCCTGGCTCACCTCGTCGTCGCCCTTGTAGGGGGTGGAACCCTTGCCCCCCGCGATGCTGATGCCCAGGCCCCCGGTCTGCCGCACGATGGTGAGCGTGAGCTGCAAACAGAGGCACAGGGTCCGGGAGGGCCAGGCTGCCCGCAGCCCCCTCTCCTGCCGAAGCCTTGCCCGGCAGCCAGGCTGGCAGCGCAGTGGGACACACCTCCTCCTCCTCAATGCGTGCGGGCTCGATCAGCAGGTTATTGGCCTGGTCGAAGGACACGCCCTGTCAGACGGGACCAGCGAGGGGGGTCAGCCGCCACCAGCCACCGCCGGGGACCGCCGCCACCTCAAGCACCACGCAGAAACGCCCTCAGCGAGGGGGTCAGCCGCCACCAGCCACCGCAGGGGACCGCCACCACCTCAAGCACCACGCAGAAACGCCCTCAGCTCCGAGGGCAGGCACGACGTCTCCTCCACCAGCCAGCGGTCAGGCATGCGTGGCTGAGGCCGTGGAAGTGGCCAGGGCGCAGGAGCAGCTGCTGCCTCCCCCGCAGCCCACGCACCAGGGCGGTGGCCACACTCACCTTGACGGAGGGTGCGGGCGGCGTGGCCTCCTCTTCCTTGTCCTCTTCCTCAGTGCTGGGCTCGCCCTCCTCCTCCTCCTCCTCCTCCTCGGCCTGCGCCCTTGGGGCCCAGGCCGTGAGAGGGCCGTTGTGCCAGTCGCCAGGCAGGCCGGGACCCTCGCGCGGCGTCCCCTGCAGCAGTGCCACCACAGCCTGGGGCTGGGGCAGCGCGCAGATCCTGAAGTGCTTCTTGTAGTGTGGGGTGTCCTTGCGGATCAGCCGCTGCCTACCACCCGTCTCCGGCTGCCCTCCGGGGCCTTCGTCCTCTGGGCCGGACAGCAGTGTGTCCTCGGCAAAGCGCACTGTGGGCTGTGCGGGTGGCGGGGTGAGACGGTGCCCCCCACCTCTGCGCCAAGGCACGGCCGGCGTGCGGCAGGGGCCCTGGCACAGCCCTGCCCCCACAGGGCGAGCCCCTCCTCCTGCCCCCTCACCTCCTCATACTCCTCTGTGCCATCCTGCGCCCCGGGCGCGCCGGCACTGGGCTCGCTGGCCGTGCTGCTGGCAGCCCCAGACTCCTGGCTCAAGGCGGACTCGGTGCTCAGGCGCTTCTCCTGCGAGGCGGGGCAGGCTGTGGCGCTCTCCCAGGCCATCTCCACCCCTGCAGACCCCTGCCTGTCTGACACAGGCTGCCACGTGCAGAACCACGGCAGCCCATCCTAGCTCTGGCACCGTGGCTTGGGAGGTCCCGGCCCCAGTGCCCACCTGCCCAGCTGGCTCAGGCCGGTCGGGGGCCTCAGCCCGACGTTCCTCTATGCCCCTCTTCATCACCTTCAGCTCGCTGGGGTGAGGCGTGGCCCGCCGCTGTAGGCCCTGCAATGGGGGCAGGGGTGAAGGGTGGGGGCCGACACGGGGGTGAGGGGTCGGGAAGGACCCAGGAGTGCCCCCGTACCCGCTTCTCGGCAGCAGCCTCCTCGGCGTCCTCGCTGCCCACAGGCGCGTCCAGGAACTGGATGACACTGGTGCGGCTCAGGGGAATGTCGTTGCTGCTCTCCGAAGGGCTGCTCTGCCCGGGGGCCTCTAGGGGAGGCAGGTGTGGGGGTCCAGTCTGCTGCCTTCTGCTCCCTGGCCCATGCCGCTGCCCACGCCCACGCGGCCAGGGACCTACCGCGGCCTGACAGGGGCTGCTGGGGCAGCAGGTAGCAGGTGAGCACCTTCTCGCCGGTCTGGCCGTCCTCCTCCGTCTGGAAGTGCAGCATGGGCTGCGCCTGGTTCTCGGCCAGCCACAGCGCCTTGAGGCGCAGCTGGGTGAGCGCCAGCGGCAGACTCCGCAGCCTGTGGGCGGGCATGGTCGGTGATCAGCCCGAGGCTGGCAGGGCGCCGCAAGGTGGGGTGGGGGGGCACGCACCGGTTCCCGGCCACGTCCAGCACGTGCAGCTCAGTGGAGTGGGCCAGCTCAGGTGGCAGGGCGGCCAAGCGGTTGTCTCTGAGCGAGAGTACGCTGAGGGCCACGCAGCCCCCGATCTCGGGGGGCAGGGATTCCAGGTGGTTCCGGTCCACGTTGAGGTTGGTCAGCTTCGTCAGCCTCCCCAGAGAGCGGGGCAGTGCCTGGGCGGCAGCGGGTCAGTGAGGGCCGGGCTCCGAGCTCCATCCCGCCTGCTCCCCAGCTGATGCCCAAGCAGGGTCGGCTGCGTGGGGCTCAGGGTTAGCGAACGCCACCCAGGTGCCAGCTGCTTCCACTGGCCTGTGGCCTGGGAGAGCAGTGGACGCTAGTCCTGCCCCCGTACCACTTTAGACACCTGGACAGAACTGCTGCTCTCTGCCAGACACAGTCCCTGCTACAGCAGCCACTCACGGCCCCGTGCCACTCTCCCTTCCACGTAATCTGGGAAGGCTTCACAGATAAAGCAGGACTGCCTACCAACAAGCCCCCTCCCCCATGGGTGCAGTCCTTCCACAGGCCACAGGACCCCACCGTCCCCTGGGCCTCGCCCTCAGCCAGCGCCCACCCCTGCTAGGCTCCCCACCGCCCCTGGGCCTCGCCCTCAGCCAGCGCCCACTGCCCCCAGGCCTCGCCCTCAGCCAGCGCCCACCCCTGCTGGGCTCCCCACTGCCCCCAGGCCTCGCCCTCAGCCAGTGCCCACCGCCCCCTGGGCCTCTCCCTCAGCCGGTGCCCACCCCTGCTGGGCTCCTACCGTCAGCAGGTTCTCGGTGAGGATCAGCTCCGACAGGTTCTCGCAGTCTCCGATCGCCTCGGTCACTTCACACAGGCGGTTCTGGTCCACCTTCAGGATGGACAGCTGCTTCAGCTGGCCTGGCGGGTGGGAGACACGGAAACAGGGTTGGGGGGTCGGACGCAGGCCTGGGCCGGGCCCAGCTGCCCCGGAAGCAGGCCCACTGACCGATGCCGTCGGGCAGCCGCTGCAGCAGGTTTTGTGAGAGCAGCAGGTCCGTGAGCAGTGCCAGCCCGCCCAGCTCCATGGGCAGCTGCTGCAGCCGGTTCTCCGACACATCCAGACATACCAGGCGGCGCAGGTTGCCCAGCTCCTGCCGGCAGGCGGGCACTCAGACCAGGCAGGACCTGGAGAGCAGCAGCCAGCAGGTGCAGGGCCTCACTTACCGGGGGCAGCGCAGACAGCTGGTTCCGGTCCAGCCACAGCTCCCGCAGGTTGGGCAGTGCCCCCAGGGTGTCTGGCTGCAGGTGAGAGAAGGCAGATGAGGCCATGGGTGGGGCTGTGGGCGGGGCGAGCTCCCCGGCTGTGGGCAGGGTGGGAGCTTAGCCTGTCCGTCCCAGGACCTATCCACCCACCACACCCTTGGCACCCCGCACCAGCACTTCCAAGTCGTTGCCTCCCAGGTCCAGCTGCTCCAGCTTGACCAGGAAAGACAGGGACCTGTGGAGAAAACATGGCTGCTAGTGCTGCTCGGGCTGCGGCTCCGACACCCGCGGGCGCCCGGCACACTCACGCAGGCAGAGACTTGAGCAGGTTCTCCCGCAGCTCTAGGGTCACCAGGTTGGCGAGGCTGCGGGAGAAACCAGGGTGGACATTAGAGCAAGCTGGGGAGGCGGAGCGTGGGCCAGGGCGTAGCTTGGCACGGGGCCGGCGGGGGCCACTCACTTGCCCACGTCCCCAGGCAGCGCCTGCAGCGACACGTCATTGAGGGCCAGGTGAGCCAGGCTGCGCAGCTGCGTGAAGCCATCGGGCAGCCTGCAGAGAAGGCCAGGCCGTTGGACTGTGCCCGGGGCTGCAGCCCGCGCATGGGCAGCCCACGCCACCCCCGGTGCCCACCTGGAGAGCGGGTTCCCGCTGAAGTCGGCGATCTCCAGGGCCTTGCAGAACTTGATGCTCTCAGGAATCTCCGGAATGTCTGAGGAGGCCCGGGCACAGTCAGTCCTGCTCTGCTCCCCGGGCACAGTCAGTCCTGCCCTGCTCCCCGGGCACAGTCAGTCCTGCCCTGCTCCCCGGGCACAGTCAGCCCGGGAACCCTGCTCGCCAGCCCTCCAGCCCTGCCCAGCCTCCACGGGCCTGCCCAGCTCCCCAGGCCCTATGCAGCACCCCAACCCTGCCCAGCTCCCCTCTCTCTTCCCTGCCCGTTTCCCAGGCCCTGTCCATCCTACCCAGCTCCCACTGGCCTGCCCCAGCGTCCACGGGCCTGCCCAGCTCCCCTGGCCCTGTCCATCCTGCCCAACCCCGTCCCGGGCCCCGTCCACTCCCCCAGCACCCCCAGGGGCCCGCCTCGACCGCCCCGCCCCCCGCCTCTACCGTTGCGGGACACGTCCAGCTCCACCAGCTGCATGAAGTTGGCCACCTCAGGGGGCAGCCGCTGGATCTCGTTGTCGCTCAGGCCCAGCTTGCGCAGGTTCAGCAGCCGGAAGAAGGGCTGTGGGCAGGGGTGTGGTGGGGGGGCGGGCTCTGCAGTGGACGCCCCGGGGCCGGCCACACCGCGTCCACCCGCCCCTCGGCCTGGACTCGGGCCACCTGGCGCCGACAGGTGCCGGCCCCAGCGGCCACGCGGGCGCGCCCACGCGCGGCCGGCCACGCCCTCCGCGGCCCGCAGGGAGTCCCCGGCCCGGAAGCCCACCTTGGGCAGCTCGCGCAGCTGGTTGGCGTCCAGCAGCAGCTCCTCCAGGCTGCGGCTGTAGCGGTAGATCTCCTCGGGCACGGCCTGCAGCGAGCAGTGCCGCTTGTCCACCGACTCCACGTGCCGGTTACAGCGCCACAGCGGGATGCACTTGAGCATGGTGCGGGCTGGGCCGGGGTCCGGCGGGCTCGGGGCGCGGGCGGCGGCGGGGCGCGGGGCGCATGGGCGCCGGGCAGGGGGCGGCGGGCCGGACGCTCGGCGCGGGGCGCGGCCGGGGCTCCCGGGAGGCCGGGGCGCTCAGCAGGCCGGGGCGCGGCGGCCCCGCATGGCGCAGCCGTCCGCTCGCTCAGCTCGGCCCGGCGCTCGCAGCTCCGCCGCTCCGGAACCGCCGCCGCTGCCCGCCGCTGCCCGCCGACTGCCCCGCCGCCGCGCGGCCCGCCGGGAAGCCGAGTCCCGCCCTCGCCGCCGCAACTACAACCCCCAGAAGGCACCGCGGCGCCGAGGCCCGTGCGCGCAGCCTGCCGGGAAGCCGGCGCAGGTCCCGTGAACCCCGACCCTCCCCGGGCGCCGGGACCGTAAGGCGCCCCCAGAGAACCCGCCCCGAGCCCAGGACCCCAAGACGGCGCGACTAGAGCCGTTCCCCAGCCTCCCCTCGGGGTGCTGCCGCACGGGGACCAGCACACACACACACACCCTTGGGACGTGCTGTCCCTGTGTGCACACACACACCCCTGAGATGTGCTGTCCCTGCACACACACACACACACCCCTGAGATGTGCTGTCCCTGTGCGCACACACACACCCGGGACGTGCTGTCCCTGTGCACACACACACACACACACCCCTGAGATGTGCTGTCCCCGTGCACACACACACACACACCCCTGAGATGTGCTGTCCCCGTGCACACACACACCCCGGGACGTGCTGTCCCTGTGTGCACACACACACCCTGGGACGTGCTGTCCCTGTGCGCACACACACACACACACACCCGGGACGTGCTGTCCCTGTGTGCACACACACACACCCCTGAGATGTGCTGTCCCTGCGCGCGCACACACACACACACCCGGGACGTGCTGTCCCTGTGCACACACACACCCCGGGATGTGCTGTCCCTGCACACACACACACACACACCCCTGGGACGTGCTGTCCCTGTGCGCACACACACACACACACACCCGGGACGTGCTGTCCCTGTGTGCACACACACACCCCTGGGACGTGCTGTCCCTGTGCACACACACACCCTGGGATGTGCTGTCCCTGTGTGCACACACACACCCCTGGGACGTGCTGTCCCTGTGTGCACACACACACCCTGGGATGTGCTGTCCCTGTGCACACACACACACACACACACACCCGGGACGTGCTGTCCCTGTGTGCACACACACACCCCTGGGACGTGCTGTCCCTGTGTGCACACACACACCCTGGGATGTGCTGTCCCTGTGCGCACACACACACACACACACCCTGGGACGTGCTGTCCCTGTGCACACACACACACCCCTGGGACATGCTGTCCCTGCGCGCACACACACACCCCAGGATGTGCTGTCCCCGTGCACACACACACCCCTGGGACGTGCTGTCCCCGTGCACACACACACCCCTGGGACGTGCTGTCCCCGTGCACACACACACCCCAGGATGTGCTGTCCCCGTGCACACACACACCCCTGGGACATGCTGTCCCCGTGCACACACACACCCTTGGGACGTGCTGTCCCCGTGCACACACACACCCTTGGGACGTGCTGTCCCTGCGCGCACACACACACCCCAGGATGTGCTGTCCCTGTGCGTACACACACACCCGGGATGTGCTGTCCCTGTGCACACACACACACACACACACCCCTGGGACGTGCTGTCCCCGTGCACACACACACACACACACACCCTGGGATGTGCTGTCCCTGTGCACACACACACACACACACACCCCGGGACGTGCTGTCCCCGTGCACACACACACACACACACACCCTGGGATGTGCTGTCCCTGTGCACACACACACACACACACACACACACACACCCCGGGACGTGCTGTCCCCGTGCACACACACACACACACACCCCTGGGATGTGCTGTCCCTGTGTGCACACACACACCCTGGGATGTGCTGTCCCCGTGCACACACACACCCCTGGGATGTGCTGTCCCCGTGCACACACACACCCCTGGGACATGCTGTCCCCGTGCACACACATACCCCTGGGACGTGCTGTCCCTGTGCACACACACACACCCCTGGGACATGCTGTCCCCGTGCACACACACACCCCTGGGACATGCTGTCCCCGTGCACACACACACCCCTGGGACATGCTGTCCCCGTGCACACACACACCCCTGGGACATGCTGTCCCCGTGCACACACATACCCCTGGGACGTGCTGTCCCTGTGCACACACACACACCCCTGGGACATGCTGTCCCTGTGCACACACACACCCCTGGGACATGCTGTCCCCGTGCACACACACACCCCGGGACGTGCTGTCCCTGTGCACACACACACACCCCTGGGACATGCTGTCCCCGTGCACACACACACACACACACACACCCTGGGATGTGCTGTCCCTGTGCACACACACACACACACACCCCTGGGATGTGCTGTCCCTGTGTGCACACACACACCCCGGGACGTGCTGTCCCTGTGTGCGCACACACACACACACACACACCCCTGGGACGTGCTGTCCCCGTGCACACACACACCCCGGGACGTGCTGTCCCTGTGTGCGCACACACAGTGCTGGCTGCTGATGTTCCCAGGTTGGACACGCAGGCTGGGTTGGTGGCTCCTGCACCTTTATCCACACTACAGACAGGCCGGGCAGTGCGCCGGGCAGAGGCGCGACTGTCCTCACTATGTAAAAGCAGACAGGACAAACACGAGTCCAGGGAAGGGGCCGAGGTCACGCAGAGAGGTCGCTGTTGTCGAAGCGCTCCTGGTCGTAGACCTCGGCCACCACCTTGCGGCCGGCGAACCAGCGGCCGTTGAGGGCCTGGATGGCCTTGTGAGTCTCTGAGGCCACCGAGAACTCCACGAAGATCTTGACAATGATCTCGGCGTCCTCCTCCTCGCCCTGCTTCTCCTGGTAGATGATGACCCGGTTCACGGCGCCGAACTTGCCGCACTCCTCTGTCACCTCCCCCTCCAGGTCATCGTCTATGTCCTTGGGGTCCACCATGTTGCGCAGGACCATCACTGTGGACTGGGGGGGAGCGGACCAGGTGGGGCTGAGTGCTGGGGGCTCCTCTGGGGGCTCGACCGCCACCTCCCCCGCCTGCCCCGACCGCCCCCTGCCTGCTCCCCGCCCCGCCCACCTCCTGCTTGCGCAGCAGCTTCTGCATGACCATGTGGCGCGCACTGCTGCCGGAGATGCTCATGTGCTCCTGCTCGCTCAGCATCTCGGGCCGCTCTGACTCAGGGAACAGCTCCTCCTCCTCCTTCTCCTTCTTGGGCTCCAGGAGCCCCAGCGTGGGTGGGCTGGCCAGGATGGGGTTCACCACCCCCACCGAGGGGATGGTGACAGGAATGGGGGGACGGGCTGGGGTCACACCTGCAGTAAAACCCAGCAGGCCCTGCGGTCACCAACAGGGCCTGAGGCAGCACAGGGCCCGCCAGTGCCTTCCCCCAGGCACTCACCTGTGATGACCCCAGGGGCCTGGGCAGCCATGACCGCCTGGGGCAAGGCTCCCAGGGGCTGTGCCAGGGTGAGGGCTGGGGACACCAGTCCAGGTGTAGCCAAGGTGCCCAGGACGGCTGCTCCCGCCACGGCTTCCTGCAACCCGAGGCCACCGACACTCAGCCCTGCTCCTCCCTGCAGACACTAGCCCGACGTCCCCGGGGCGGCTCCGCTGGGCGCCAAGCCACCCATCACCCACCTGAGCTGTGATCTTGGCAGTGGCTGCAGCTGCGGCCACAGCAGCTGCTGGCGGGAGGCCTCCTGGCGTGGCAGGTGTCAGCAGGGGCATGGGGGGTGTGACAGCCTTGCCCACACGCAGGTACTGGCCCCCCAGGTCGAAGAGGTTCATGGAGGACACGGCGTCCTGGGACGACTGTGCCTTCTCATACTCTGGAGGACGGAGCAGTGTGAGCAGCAGCCTCGCCAAGGCGCCCCAGCCCGCCTCAGCCACCCCAGCTCACCGATGAAGCCGTAACCCTTGTGCTTGCCAGTCGTGGGGTCCCGGGCCAGGGTGCAAGATTTGATCTTGCCGAAGGCCTCAAACACACTCTTGATGTCGTCATCCGACAGGTCCTGGTGCACAGAGGCCACGTAGATGCGGTTGAAGGCCCGAGCCTCCTCAGCCAGCTGGTCTATGATGGGCTGGGCCTGCCCAATGTTGCTGGGTCTGCCCACCTGGAACACAGGGGCAGCGGGACCAGGAGCCCATCAGTCTGGCCGTCTGCAAGCGCGCACAGGTAAGTGCTCTGGGCTCCAGGCTCTGGCGCAGCCCGCCCTCACCTTGATGTTCCTGCCCCCTAGCATCACCGAGTTCATCTGCTCCAAGGCCAGCTGCGCAGCTTCTGGGACCTCGTATTCCACAAAGGCAAAACCCTGGATGCAGGGAAGCGGGGGTGAGCTCGGGGCCCCTGGGACGGGGCAGGGTGGGTGGGCGGGGGGGGCCCCATCACCTTGTGCTTCATGGTGACCGAGTCCCAGGACATGTCGATGCTCTTGATGGGGCCAAACGGGGCGAAGGCCTGGCGGATCGTGTCCTCCCCCAGCTCATAGTAGATGGAGCCCACGTAGACCCGACACATGATGGCCAGTGCCCGCTGTCGCTGAGCTGCCATCTGGAGCAGGACAGGGGAGAGACCGACCGGCTGGTCAGGGGCGCAACAGGCTCGGCAGCCCACTCCCTTCCGGGCCCACCCACCAAGCACCACCGTGGGGAGAGCTCCCCACGGATGGCAAGGTGCAGGTTCGGCCCACAGCCCCAGGAGAGGGGCAGCCCGGTGGGAGGCCAGACAGACCCAGCTCGCCCACCCTGGCAGATTGCAGCAGCAAGGCTGGCTAGCAGGTGGGTGGGGGCGGGCTCCGTGCCCTCCTACCCAGCCCCCCTCCAGACTGGGGGCAAGGGGCCCCGGCCAAGCCCCACGGCAGCAAAGGGGAGAGGAGGCATCTGAGGCGGAGGGACCCGCTGCTCTGGAGGGCAGAGGAGAGGAGGGCAGAGACAGGGCAGCGCTGCCCGCAGGAGGCCCGACAGGGGCTCCCTAGAGAGGCAGGAGGAGGGGCAGCTGGAGCAGGGCTGACTGGCGGGTGGGGGAGCTCGATGCTCAGCACACACACCCCTCCCCTTCCCCCCAACAGAGCTGCTTAGAGCCACGCCAAGGCTGCTGGCAGGGTCCCCAGGTGGCAAACTCCAACGGGAAAGGGCCTGGGGCCTGGCAAGCCCAGGGCCGCAGCTGTGAGCCCCAGGGCCAGCAGAGCCAAGAGGGGAGTGGCAGAGGCCAGCCCATCCTCACCCTCACAAGTCCCAGGGGTGAGGGCCACTGGCCGGCCTGCGGGGACCCTCTTCCCTCCCTCAGAGCTCTTCCTTCAACTAGGAAAGTCTTGGGAAAGGCTATTCCCCTCCAGGGACTCTCAGGTAAGCTCCTGCTCAAAGGACCCCCAAGTGCAGCCTTGGCCCCCTCTCCCAGACAGGGGGCACAGCTGTCCCCCAAGATGGGATCTCTCTATGTGGGGCTTCCAGGGCCAGCGGCTCCTCACAGGGACCGTGGGGCCTGCCTCCCATTAAAGCAGCCCCTGCAGACACAGCCCAGCACAGGGGCCGTGCTGCACCCCTCCGCTCCTCCCAGGGCGCTGGCCATCGCCTCGGCCTCCAGGAAGGGAGGGGGCGTCTCCCTCCCCGTCCCCCGCAGGCCAGGGCCAGGCGGCCTCTACCCCTGCTGAGAGCCTGACGCTAGGCCAAGTCCCAAGCCCCTGCCCAGCCCTCACTCACTCACTGGAGTCCCCCCACCGAGCCCCCCTCCATCCAGCCACCCTTGGGGTCTGCTGGGGCCGTGGGCGAGGACCCGCCTGGAGCCCGGCGGGGCTGGCGGCCCGGCGGACGGGCTGGGCGCAGCAGCTACCCTCCGCTCCGCAGTTACCTGGCCGGTTAGTTTTAAGGCGGGCCCTCAGAGCAGACGGAGGCCTCCCCAGGGCGGGCCCGGGGTGGGCGCCCACACACCGGCCGCACTGCCCCCCCTAGCCTGACTAAGGACAGAGCCCCGGCAGGAGTGAGCAAGTCTATTGACCGACTGCAAAGGTGAGAGAGGATCTCCAAAGCCCATTGTCACTGCTGCCATCTGAAAGACAGTAAAGACAGAGTTCAGTCTGTTGGAGCCGGGCAGGCCCGCTCTCGTCAGCACCTCACGCAGGTGGCCGTGCGCCCCGCCGGGGAGGCCCACCTGCCGGCCCATGCTGCCCGGCCGCCGGCACCTGCCCACGGGGGCTGCAGAGCCCAGGAGCCCTGCCCGCGGCCTCGGCCGGAGGAGGAGGGACGCCCGGGTGGCCGCGAGCAGCCGGGCTCCTGGCAGCATGCCCCTCTAACGAGGGGCGGGCGGGCGGGGGTGGGAGGCGCGAGGCCCAGGAACCCGTGGGCCTCGTCCACGCCCAGTGGCCTCACGCCACCACGTGCTTGGGGAAGGCTCTGGGAGGCACCCCAGGCTGTCCCTCGGTCCAGACCGTCGAAGGCCTTAACTGGTGGGCCTCACGGCAGGGGTGGGACGGGACCCTGACCGCCTGGCCCCAGGCCACGGGGTAGCAGATGCATGCCTGCGCTCCTCCTGGGGGCAGGGGCTGGGGAGGCCCGCAGGCGCGAGGGGAACAGGGCGGGAAGGGGTGGGCTGCTCGAGCCCCGGGGAGGACCCTAAGGGCTCCGAGTTGCAGTCCCTGCGAATCTGAGAAGGGGCCCCGCAGCACAGCAGGAAGAGAGCGAAGAGGAGCAGAGGGCGCAGTGGCGGGGAGGGGTGGTGAACGCTGCCGGGCCAGGTGGGCGCCTCTGGCGGCGCGGCCCACTCACCTGCAGGTTGGTGAGCTGCTGCTGCTGGTGGGCGATGGTCTGTTTCACCAGCACACTCTTGATGCTCTGCTCCATGGCGTACTTCTTGGCCTGCAGGACACGGTGCTCGTCAGCCCCAGGGACCCCGGCAGCCGACCCGCAGCCCTCAGCCCCCCACAGCACTCACCTTCTGGAGGGCCTCCTGCTGCTCGGGCGTCAGGGGAGGCAGCCCCAGCTTGGCGGCTGTATTCTGCCCGTTCTCCATCTTGACAGTCTCCGGGCCCTGGAGGGGCAGGGGGCGGTTCAGCAGCGGGAGGGTGGGGGAGGGAGCAGGGGGCATCGCAACCACACCCGCCACCTCAGAGCCAGACCAGGCTCCAGGGCTGCCCCGCCCCAGCACGGCCGTGGGTCCCAGCAGCAGGCAGCAGAGGCAGTGTGGGCCTTGTGCTCCCTGACCCTTCACCCACAGCCAGCCTTGGGGGCTCCGAAGGATGGCAGACTTGGACCATTCTAGAACTCTCAGTGTGAGGACACGGCCTGAGGGGCTCAGGGTGGCCCAGGGCAGCACAAGGCCCCCAAACAGGAGCCAATACCAGGACCAAGGCCACCCAGCCCAGTCCTGGGCATCCCCGATCCGGGTGCCCCCCGCCCCCAGGATCGCCGAGGCTGGCTGTGGCTCACGCCAGCCTGGCCCCGCCACTCTCCCATCTGGCCCCAAGCCCGGGCCTCCCCAGTGGGAGAGGGCAAAGCAGGCGTCACCATGGTAATCAATGCCAGCCCCCTAGAAACTTCTCAATCTGCTCTTTGTCTTGGTAAACAAAAGCCCTTCTCCCACCAACCAGCGGCTAGCCAGCGAGGGGGTCCTGAGCCCCACACTTTCTCGGGTGAAGGCTGACACCACAGCCCTCCCCTTGGTGCCTGGGGAGCAGGAGGAGGGCCCAGCTCCAAGGGGCCCCAGGCCACCTCCTGGAGGCTACTAGAACCTTCTGAATGTGGCTGCTGTCCTGCAGCAGCACAAAGACCTGGCATTTTGGCTCCAGCAGGGCTAAGTGCCCTTCCACGGCTGGGACCAGGGCAGGCAAGCTCTCCTGCAGCCAGCAGCCAAGGGTGTGCCCCGTCCTGTCAGCCGCCACAAAGCCTAAGCAGGCCCTCCCTCCTGCGACAGAGCTGGCCGAGTGTGAGCAGCCCCGCTTCCTGGCCTGGGGTGCACAGCCTGCTCAGGGGAGTACCTGTGGAGGCTTCCATTTGTCTCCTGCTGCCACCACTGTCGCTGCTGCTGCTGCCGCCGCCGTCGCCGCTGGCTCAGACCCCCCTCCTTGCTGGCCATTCACCTGCTGCAAGCAGGAGGATATGTTGTCATGGGTGGTCCCACAGTCACACCCCAAGACCCTCCTCTTCCCAAGCTAATGGCCGAACAAGGGAGGCCAGGCAGGGCCACAGGACCCTCTGCAGTCCACACTGCCTGTGCCCGGCCCACCCAGACAGCTACAGCAACCCTAGCCCTGGGACCAGGCGAGAGGCAGCAGAGGATACAGCAGCTGACCCGATGTCTCCCACACCCTCGCAAGGCAGTCATGCCTGCCTAGCGCCCACAAACTATGCTGGCCCAGTCTCGGCCAGGCCCGTGCAGAACATGCCTCCCTGGGCAGCGGGCGGCGGCTGTCTGCAGCCCCACCGTGCACAGCACTGCGGCAGGCCAATCCTCGGCCTGCAGCACAGGCCTCAGATGGCACAGTCCCAGGCCGGCTGCTCCCTGCTGATGCACCTGGCCTGCAAGCTGGGGGCCCTGCACCACATGGGAGACCTGGAAGAAACGCTTGGCCTCAGACCGTCCTTTGCGTGGGCTCTGTCTCTCCCCCTTTGTAATTCTGCATTTCAAATAAATGTTTTTTGAAAAGCACAGCTGAGGGCCTGGTGTGGTGGCCTAGCGGCTAAAGTCCTCGCCTTGAACGTGCCGGGATTCCATATGGGAACCGGTTCTAATCCTGGCAGCTCCACTTCCCATCCAGCTCCCTGCTTGTGGCCTGGGAAAGCAGTCAAGGACGGCCCAAAGCCTTGGGACCCTGCACCCGCGTGGGAGACCTGGAGGAGGCTCCTGGCTCAATTGGCTCAGCTTCAGCCACTGCGGTCACTTCGGGAGTGAACCATCAGATGGAAGATCTTCCTCTCTCTCTCCTCCTCCCTGCGTATCTGACTTTGTAATAAAAATAAATAAATCTTAAAAAAACACAAAGCACAGCTGAGAGACTGCTCCCTGCACCGGGCAGCACCCAGGGCGGGGGCTGGGCAGAGGCCAGGGCAGTTGGACGGACGCTCAGGGGAGGCCGAGACACCCAAGGGCACAGAGGACCTGCTCCCACCCTTGTGGCTGCTGCAGCAGACTGTGCTGCAGGCTGCGGGGCCTGGCAGAGCTCTCCCTGCCACTGGTATGGGCTGCTCCAGGTGCCCCATCCCTGGAGGCTCAGAAACCACCCCGGGACAGCAGCACGACACACTGAACTAAGCTTCTGCCTGCGGTGCCAAAAGAACACCAGTTCCTGCCCCAGCTGCTCAGCATCCAGCTCCCTGCCTGTGGCCTGGGAGAGCAAGAGGACGGCCCAAGGGCTCGGGACCCTGCACCCACATGAGAGACCTGGAAGAGCTCCTGGCTCCTGGCTTCAGACTGGCTCAGCTCCGGCCGTCGTGGCCACTTAGGGAGCGACCCAGCGGACGGAAGGCTTCCTGCCTGTCCAGCAAAGTCAATCAGGCTAGAACAAGGGCACGCACGTCTGCCAGCACGCGGAGGGGAGGTTCTGGAGCAGGCCCTGGGCGCCGGCAGCTGTGTACACACCATCCGGGCACCTCCGTGAGGCTGTGCAGCAAGGCGCCTGGGAGGGCCCTGGCTACTGCGGGCACCTGGGAGTGACCCGTGGGCAAAAGCTCTTCCTTTCTCAGACAAAAAAAATAAGACTTAGTTTGATGGAGAAAAGTGGATTCGCGCACAGTCTTGCATCTTAATAAACTCCCCTTCCGCGGGACTTGTACCCCCACCCCTCGGGCAGTCTGTCCCGCCCTAAGAAGCAAGGGACAGCCAGGGCAGGACTGGCCCTTGCGGACAAACACCACAGCAGGTCCCTCCTGTGACGCTACTGACACAAAGGCCCAGAGCAGGAAGAGCAGGCAGCAAAGGCAGGAGGGCGCTGAGACCCCCGCCCCCGGAAATGGCCCAGTCAGTCCTAGAGTGCCTCCTGGGAAAGGGCTGGGGGAGGGTCGGGTCTCCCCTGGGAACGGGCTGGGGGAGGGTCGGGGCCGACCAGGTCTGATAAAAGGGGCTAACCCTAACCCTGACCCTGAACGCAGCCGTGCTGCAGGCAGTACTGGTGCGGCCAGGCCAGCTGCCCCCTGCCCTGCCCAGAGTTCCAGCAGCCAGGCGGCAGGAGGGGCCGGGCCGAGCCCCTTGTAGGTCAGCCCCCTTGCAGGTCAGCCCCCTTGCAGGTCAGCCCTCTACCATTCCCCGGCCGAGCCCCGTGCAGGTCAGCCCTGGCCGCTCCCGGGGGCCGAGCCCCGTGCAGGTCAGCCCCCTTGCAGGTCAGCCCTGGCCGCTCCCGGGGGCCGAGTCCCGTGCAGGTCAGCCCCCTTGCAGGTCAGTCCTCTACCATTCCCTGGCCGAGCCCCTGGCAAGTCAGCCGCCTGGGGGCGAGAGCCTCCCAGGCCGCTGTGGGACCGACCGGGGGCCGGGCAGGAATCCCTGGGCGCGCGACCCTTCGCCGCCGCCTCCCCGGGCCCGAGCCCCGAGCCGCGCCTCGGCATGCAGCCCGCCACGGGCGCTCCAGGAGGACCGGCCTACCTCGCCCGCCGCCCGCCCGGCCCGGCTCACTTACGAGCGCGATGGTCGCGGTCGCCATCTTGCGTCCGTCGCGGCCCCCGCGCGCCGTACGCTCCTGCCGCCTCCGCAGTCTCGCGAGATCTGGATGCCGCAGCACCGCACTCTCGCGATACCAGAGCTCCGGCCCAGGACGTGGAAGCGGAGGGAGCTCGCTTCCGGGGCGGGGCTTGCCTGAACGGGGGGAGGGGCGGGGCGGGGCTTGTCCGGGCGGAGGGCGGAGCTATGGCAGCGGGGCGGAGCTTGCCGGTGCGGGAGCGCGCCTGGCCGGGCCGGGCCTGGAGGACGCGGGGACGGCGGGGACACGAGGCACCGACGACGGAGGACGTTTCCGACCCAGCTCAGCTGTGGAGGCACTTGACCACGTCCATTGCGGGTCCTGCCCCGGCTGCCCACGGGCCTTCTCTGGCCCGCGACCCCAGCCACGTCGTCTGTGGGCAGGGCTCTTCCCTGCGCACACAGTCCCGCGAGCCCCCCAGGACCACAGGAAAGGAGCTGCGTGCAGCTCCCGGACGGGCCGGCCCGTGCAAGGGGCTGCCCAGCGAGTGAAGGCGGCAAGGTGCTACCGCACACGAGGCTCCCCAGAACGCCGAGCCCACATGCTGGCCCACGGGCAGTGGGGCCTCTTCCCTCTAGCGCCTGCCAGGCCTCCTTGTATGCGCCATCCGGACTGGATTCAGAAGGAAGGATGGGGCCTGGGGCTCCCACAAGGACCCCAAGGCCGGGTGGGCACTGAGCAGGCCCATAGGACTGGGGCCGTGGAGGAGGCAGCGACAGGAGGCTGGGAAGCTCGGGTCCCAGGCCGCAGCCCCACAGCTGCCCTCCGGTGGCAGCTCCCGCTCCCTGTCCTCCGTGGGATTTCATGATGGAGGACAGAGCCTGGGGTCTGCTCAGGGACCCCCCCCCACGACACTCACTGCAGTGGGCTCCCGATCCCCTTCGGCGGCCGAGCACCAGACTCACATGACAGGAAGCCGGGGGCGAGGCCGGTGGGTTCCGGCTCCAGCATGCTGCCAGTGCAGAGCTGGGGAGGCAGGTCTGCGGACAGGGGCGGCTGGCTCCCTGTCCTCTGTGGGACCGGACGACGGGCGTCCCTGGCCCTGGCTCGCCTGCTGCTGGCAGGCATCTGGCAGTAACCCAGTGGCAGAGAGCGCATCTTCTAATGTAAACATACACATATGTGTTTCAGGATATGCTCGATGTATAGAAGAGGGTGCTGCAAGACCCCGGGAAGGTCCAGCTTCAAGCCCAGCGCAGCCCCGCCTGCTCCCCGCGGCCCCGCCTGCTCCCCGTGGCCCTGCCTGCTGGGTCAGGCCCACCTCGCGGCTCACGCGGTACGTGGGTGTCAGACACACACAGATAAGGCGGGGGGGGGGCGGTGATGTGTGATCATTAACTCCAGAGAAAACAGCAGGTGCACAGCGCAGGACACCGTGTCCCTGACCAGATCCGTGGGGGACAGGGTTCCTGGGCTGTGTCTGCTCAGGGATCGAGGTGCCTTGCCCCACTCCTCCAGCACTGCCAACTGGGGACAGCGAGCAGAGACGCCGTGGGGCCAGCCGCCCACTTCCCGTCCAGCTCCCTGCGGGTATGCCTGGGAAAGCAGCAGAGGATGGCCCAAGGCCTCAGTTCCCTGTACTCACATGGGAGACCTGGAATGGGCTCCTGCCTTCAGCCTGGCCTGGCCCTGGCCACCTGTGGCCATTTGGGCAGTGAGTCGGTAAATGGCAGATCTCCCCTCACCCTGTAACTCTGCCTTTCAAACAGATAAGTAGTAACACCTTGTTTTATTTAGAAGAGAAACAGCCATAAACACGCGTGTGCTTTGCGGGAGTATTCAAGTGGGCGGGATGGGGCCGGAGGTGGCCTTCAGCTGACTCCGTCATTAAGACCGTGTGTGTGAGGAGACGGCAAGCACACCGCACTCGGCGTAAGGACAGTGAGGCGGCTGTGGCGCCTGCAGAGATGTGCTGGCCGCAGGGACCCTGAACTTGGCAACTCCGAGCGCAAGCTGGGAGGAGCTGGGCTGCGGAACATTCCAGAGAATGACAGATCCTCCGCAGGGAGCATTCCCTTGCAGCCCGCCACTGAGTGGACGCACCCTTGCCAGCCCAGATGGGCACCCCAACCTTGGCTCCTAGGGTGGGGCTCCCGAGAGGCCTGGGCCTGGGAGGACCCGGGCAGCTAAGTCAGTGGTCAGCCCTAACGAAGCCCCTGGGCACGATGCCCACACAGTGTCAGTGTTTGGCGGCGGGAGGACCCTTGCACGGCACTTTGTCACACAGGGAGCCCACGTTCTGTGCCTCCTGGGGGCCAGGCGGGCCCGGCGGAGAGCCAACTGCTGGGCTGCTACCTTCCTCCGGATCTGGCCAGACACCTGCAGGCCACCGGCGGGGTCTCCCGGGGTGCAGACCGAGGGCTGGGCTGCCGAGGTCACCCGGGCAGCCCTAGGCCCCGCGGTACTTGAGCAAGGTGCTCTCCAGGAAGGTGGCCAGCTTGGCGCGGTCGTCCTGCAGGCAGGAAGGTGGCTTGGGGGCACCCGATGAGACCGGCCCGGCCCGAGCCGCCCGCCAGCCCGTTGCCCACCCCGCGCACCTCGCGGACAAAACCATAGTGCACCAGCTCGGCAGCCAGGTCCTGGGCTCTGTCGGCTGTGGGCCGGAGGGCGAGCAGCAGTGAGGCTGTGCAGGGTGCTCGCCAGTGCCCGCCCGCCCCTGGGCCGGTCACAGTGCCCACCAGTGCCCGCCCAGCCCCCCGGCCGCTCACAGTGCCCGCCCAGCCCCCGGTGCCCACCAGTGCCCACCAGTGCCCGCCCAGCCCCCCGGGCCGCCCACAGTGCCCGCCCAGAGACCGCCCAGCCCCCCGGCCTACTTGGCAGCAGCTCGTAGGTCAGCTGCCGGTGCAGCCGGTCCTCCAGCACCAGGAGCAGGGTGAGCTGTGGACAGGAGGGGTGTGGGCGGGGCGCAGGGCCACGCCCCTGCTGATAACCCCGCCCACCGGCAGTCACGCCCCGCCTCTCCAGTGGACACGCCCCTCCCCACTCCTCCGCCTGCTCACGTGCCAGCGCGCCTTGTCCTCGCTTCTCTCCAGGTTACACTGCATCTGGATCACCTGCAGGCGGGGAGGCCGCGTCACCCCAAAAGGCCGAGACGCAGCGACCGGGAGCAGGCGGAGATGCTGCCCCCAAGGCCATGCAGGCAGGCTGCCACTGGAAATGGACGCTATTTCCCAGGAAAGCTGGGGGCGCCTCTCGGCTACCAGCTGGCCAGGGGGTCCCCTGCACAGCAAGGCTGGACACAGGAGACAGGGTGACTGCAGAACGGGGCCAGCCTCTGTGACAGCAGTGCCCGGAGCAAGATGCAGGTGCTCAGGGCCCGAGGGACGGGGCAGGCTCCCAGCAGGAGGCTCTCCGGGGGGTCCCCGGCCCCCTCACAAGTGGACAGCCTGGGGGAGGCATGGCCCGGGGGGGCGGGGCACTCACCTTTCTGGTCTCTGAGTCGAAGGGCTCCGGCGTAGGGGTCTTGGTCTTCTGGGCCTCCTCGGGCTGTGGGGCCAGCACCCGGGGCAGGCCCAGGGGCCGGGCCGCAGCGAAGTTCATCAGTGGGTAGACGCCATTCCTGAAACACCGCAGCGTACGGGTAGCGAGCCCCAGCATCTCTGTTCCCCGCCCTCGGGCCACCTCTCACCTGACGTCTTCTAGGAACTTGTCCAGCTCCAAGAAGGATACCTCCGAGTACCTGGCCAGGGTGGAGGTCCGTGAGCGGGCGGCCAGCCTGGGCTCCGGGGGAGTGGGCTCCAGGGCCGCCCTGCTGCTCACCGCCACTGCACCGGGGGCTGGGCGGGCCGCAGCACCTCGGCCAAGACGGCCTGCAGGTCCAGGGCTTTGGTCTTCTCCTCCACCACATTGTCCGGCATGAGGTCTGCTGGTCACAGAGAGTGGGGTGGGCAGGGCCCGCGGGCTGTGGGGACCCCGCTCCAGGCCGGCCTGCCACTCACACTGGTGCTGGACGAAGCAATGTGCTGCCAGGAGCTTCAGCGAGTGCACCTCGAAGAGCACGCGGTGGAAGAGCAGGCTGTGGGCAGAGGGCCGGCACGCGGGGTCCCGGGCCAGGCAGGACAGAATGAACTCCTGGGGGCAGGGAAGAGCCGCTGTGGGGGGCCCTGCTCATAGCCTGGCCTCCACGCAGGGGCCTGGCCTCCACGCAGGGGCCTGGCCTCCACGCAGGGGCCTTGCCACCACCCCTCACGGGCACGGCACGAGCGGCAGAGCCGAACCTTGGACTCTGACCCCAAACACTTGTGCCGTGGACCCCCTCTGGCTGTCCCGCTGGAGCCGTGGCCCCTGGCCGCAGAGGGGCAGGAACCTGAGGGGCAGACATGGCTGCCCGTGCGTGTGCCCTGCTGACATGCCTGCAGCACGCTCTCTAATGCCCCTGGCTTCCGAGGGCCTGGAACCAGAGAGGCGGCCAGCACCTTCGCACGGGGCACACTGCTCACCCGCATGTTGGGGTCAGTCAGGGAATGTCTGGCCCGGGCCACGGCCTCGTCCGTGACTCGGGCGTCCCCGTTGGCTTGGATCTCCAGCACGGCCATCTGGGTGGGGGCAGTGGTAGGTGAGTGCGCCGGAAGCCGTCGGGTGTGGCCGGGGTGGGCGCTCAGGGGCTGAGGGACCTACCTCCAGCGCGCACATCCCGAAGGAGAAGATGTCCAAGGCCGTGCCGTCGGCCACCTCTGCAAAGAGGAGCGGGCTGGGCAGGCGGGCAGGCGGGCAGGCAGGCAGGCGGGCGGGCGGGCGGGCAGGCGGGCAGGCGGGCAGGCGGGCGGGCTGGGCCTCACCTCCGTACTCCGGGGGAAAGAAGTGCAGGTTCCGCAGCTCCTCGCGTTCCGCCAGCACCGGACTCCGCAGGTCGTCAGGGAGAGCTGGGGGTGCAGCGCGGGGACTGAGTGCACCCAGCCCCGGCACGGCCTCGCCCCCCACCCGCTCACCCCAGAGACCCCCGCACCGTTGGAGAAGATGCGGTACCACACTGAGCCGGCGCGGGCGGAGAGAGAGCGGCGTCAGCGCGCGGCGGCCCCGGCCCCCGCCGCCCCCGCCCTCGCCCCGGGCCGCCCGCCAGCACCGGAGCCGATCTTGACCAGGCCATTGTGTTGGATGAAGATGGTGTCGCTGGTCAGGTTCCCGTGGATGATCGGGGGGCTGCAGGCGTGCAGGAAGCTGCGGGGCGAGGAGAGGCGGCGCCGAGTCAGGGGTGCTGGTGGCGGGCGCAGGGCCAGGGCCAGGGCGCAGGGCGCAGGCTCACCTGAGCGCCGACAGGATCTGTGTGCACCAGCGCTTCCAGGCCTGGCGACGCACGACGCCGTCGGGTGGGCGGGGGGCGGCCGGGCCCGAGAAGCCCGCCCCCGCCCTCTCCGCCGGCCGCCCGCCCCGGGCCCGAAGCCTCCCCCGTCCCCCCGCCCCCTACCCGGGCGTTCATGGCCTTGTGGTTCTTCTTGGTCTTTTTCAGGAACTGCTTGAGGCTGCCGGACGACACGTACTCGGTGATGAAGACGACCTGCGGGGCGGGCGAGCGGGGTGGGCTCTCGGCTCCCGCGCCCCGCGCCCGCGGCTCAGCCCTGGCCTGGGGCTCACCCGCGCGCGGGTCTCCGAGGCGTCCAGCCAGTAGCGGTGCAGCTTCACGATGTTGGGGTGGTCGACGAGCGCCAGCTGCTCGAACATGGTCAGGATCTTCTCCTTGGGAAGGGGGCGCGGTCAGCGGGAGGCGTGTGTTGGGGGGCCCGGTGGCCCCAGGCCAGGGCGCACGGGCTCACCTCGTGGGCGGCGAAGGCCTTCCTGTCGCCGAAGTGCAGCTCGTTCCACACCACCTCCACGCCCTCCTCCGCGTCCATGGCCAGGAACGTGCTCTGAATGCCTGGCATGTTCCCCTGGTTTACCTGGGGAGGGCGGGCGCCGCTGGGACCTGGGCCAGTGCTCGCCGCTGCCCCCAGCGCGCGCCGGGCCCAGGGGCGCCACGCACGGACCGGGCTGCGGGGGCTCCGGGCGCTCGCGGGGAAGCCAGGCCCGCGGGGCCCCGGGCTCGGGTGCCCAGCCCCGCGCCCACCTGCTCCCGCCGCTTCTGCCAGCGGCCGCACGGGCTCTCCTCCAGGATGTCGCTCTCGTCCTCGCTCTCGTCCTCCCGCTCGCGGCCCCTCCTCGGCGCCGGTTCCGGGGCCGCCATGGCTCGGAGGACAGGCCCGCGCCCGCCCCGCGCCCCGCGCCCGCCCGCGCCGCCTCCGCCCAGGACCCCGGGCGCGCTCGGGAATCCGGAGGCGCGGGCGCGCGGCGGCCAGGGGAGGAGCGGAGGGCAGCGTCCCCGCCCGGCCGAGCAGGGCCCTGCCCCTTCCCGCTCCAGGCCTCGCCCGCTCCCCGGGGCCAGCCTGGGCCTCCTGGGCCTGCGTGTCCGAGGCCTCGCGGCTCGGCGGGATCCGCCCCTGCCCCGCGTCCCTCCCCCTCCCCTGCCAGGCGCGTCTGGAAACCGGGCCGGATGGGCGGGTGCGGAGCTTGGGCCTGAGTAGCCCGCTTTGCGGGGAAGGCTGGCCCCGGAGGGCACCGGGCAGAGCTGCTCTCAAGCTCCTGGCCGGAATGCTGCGTCCTTCACCCCAGCCCGGCCTCCCCTGACGGAGCACCTTCGCCCTTCAGGGCTGCCCTACCTGGACCTCTGGGTCTCCCAGTGATGTCAGCTGTGTGTGGGAGGACCCCCCCCCCCCCAGGGTCTGGGAGAGCAGCAGAGGGGAGCAAGAGAGCTGACTCTGCACCCACACGGTTTGCAGCAGGCGTGCCTGGCCAGCTCTTGCAGCCATTTGAGCCAGAGGGTGGGAGGTCCGTCCATCTGCCTCTCAAACGAATTGGAAGATATTAAAAGGGGCCCAGTGCAGTAGTCTAATGGCTGAAATCCTCCCCTCGCATGGGCCGGGATCCCATATGGGCGCCAATGTGTGTCCTGGCTGCTGCACTTTTCTTGCAGCTCCCGGCCTGTGGCCTGGGCGAGCAGTCCAGGACGGCCCAGAGCTTTGGGACCTGCACCCGTGTGGGAGACCCAGAAGAGACTTCTGGCTCCTGGCTTCGGATCAGCTCAGCTCCAGTCTTTGCAGCCATTTGGACAGTAGACCAGCAGCTGAAAGATTTTTCTCTATCTCCTTTTCTCTGTAAATCGGACTTTCCAACATAAATAAACTTTAGAAAATTTTTGAATTTTAAATTATTTTATTTTGATAATCTTTACATTAATATTTTTTCTGTATCTGAGGTCAGGGGAGATAAAGGGAGCAGCCCCCCAGCCTCCCCCACCCCAGGTCCCCGACGTGGGGCGCGCTCCGAGGGTCCTGCTCAAGTGTTCTCACGGTCCCATAGCTCTGAATTGCTGCCTCTCCAAGCACGATTAGCAATATTCAGAATCCACTGGCTGGCATAGTCCACCTTAGTGTCTCTGCTTGCCCAGACTGTCACTGCCAAGACATGGCTGGGGTAGTTGAAACTGGCAGGGGGCATCTAGGCTCCCCTGCTGGACAACCACTCACCGTGGAGACTGAGTTGGGATGCGGGCAGACCAGCCAGGCAGGGCTACAGCACCTGTGGGACCAGAGAAAAGCCAGGCTGGGCTGACTGTCCCTGCTGGTGCAAGCATAAGCCAGAGTGGGTGAAGGTTGGTTGGGCTTGGCCGCAGCATCAGCTGACAGAGGCTGGCACTGGGGGCTAATTCTATGAAGCTAAACTGCAGAACCACCTGGAGAGTGCAAGATCTGGGAGTGGGAGAGGCCTGGGAGGGAAATAGTGGGCTCCTCCCTCTTGGGTGCCACTCCGGCTGGTGAGTATGAGAACCAGGACTGGGGCAGGCGTGGTTAGACAGAATGGCAGTCACTGGCACGTGTGTGGGCTGGCTAGTGGGTTGGTTGGGTAGAACAATGGGTACAGGCTCATTGACATGTACAAGAGCTAAATGGAATGCGGGACAGACCAGTCGGCGGTACACACTGGCAAGCACGGGAACCAGGGTAGGGGGCAGGCCTGGTGGGGGTCATGGGGAGCTTCCCCAACTAGGCTGCAGCTCCCACTGGTTAGCGTGAGGGCCGAGTATGATGTGGGCAGGATCGGGCTGGACTGTGACACCCACTGGGTTTAAAATGATTTATTTCTCAGGTCTGGAATCACCTCAGGGATAAATCTTTTTTAAAAATTAAAAGAAAAAGCTCTCATCTCAGACTACCCCCATCCCTGGCACCGGCAGACTCTCCTGGGACTCTGCTCCAGCTTCCCAGCAGCCTGGTTGGTCCCTGAGGCCTCCCGTACTCACAGCCGGCCAGGGCTCAGATGCAGCACCATCCCTAAAACCTAGGGCCTGGGAGTGTGACGTGACCGTGCAGGAGAGCCTGCACTGCCAGCAGAGGGGCTCAGCCCCAGGAGCACAGCTGACACCGCCGCGTGAAGTGCTCCTGGGGGGTCAGTGCTGGGGCCGCAGCGTCCTGCCATGCCATGCACCGTGGCCTTGGGGGCCTCGCCGTGGGCCCCCTTCTTCTTCTTTTTAAAAATGGTTCTATTTATTAATTTGATAATCTTTCTTTGTTGATTAGGGTACAAAGACTCACGGGCTACAGGAAAGTGGGTAGGACCATTGTTTCCACATTAATGCCATCATTTCTGCTCCCGTATCTGGGGTCAGGGGACATAAAGGGAGAAGTCCCACCCAGCCTCCCCCGATCCCAGGTCCCCGACGTGGGGCACGCTCCGAGGGTCCTGCTCAAGCAGTGTTGATAGTTCAACGGTTCTGAATTGCTGCCAATCTCGCCGTTCCAATCGCGACAAAATCTATTCAGAATCCACAGGCTGACACAGTCTCTTCATGGTTGGGGTTCTGAGACCAGCAGTTCAGTTGGAGGGATCTCCAGACAAACTTCGTCTGAGGATCCCAGACCTGATTCTTGTGTGAGTTTGCCAGTACAGGATCGGCACAGTCCATCGTCCCAATCAGCTCATGCACATGCTGGTCGTTGCAATTGCTGGGTCAGTTCCGTTTCCAGCCTGGTCTTCAACATGAACCAATGGTTGTTGCAGTCCAGCCCGATCCTGCCCACTTCATTCTCGGTCCTCACGCTAACCAGTGGGAGCTGCAGCCTAGTCGAGGCGACTCCCCATCACCCCCACCAGGCCTGCCCCCTACCTTGGTTCCTGTGCTTGCCAGTATGTACCGCCGACTTGTTCAGTCTGCCCTGCATCCCATTTGGCTCTCGTACATGTCAATGGGCCTTGAAGCCTAGTTCAACCCAACCCACACACATACTGGTGGGTGCCTTTCTGTCTAGCCACCCTGCCCCTGTCCTGGTTTCCATGCAGTCCAGTGAGAATGATAACCCAAGAGGGAGGAGCCCACTATTTCCTTCCTGGGCCATCCCACTCCCAGATCTTGCACTCTCCAGGTGGTTCTGGAGTTTAGCTTGACAGAATTAGCCCCCAGTGCCAGCCTCTGCCAGCTGATGCTGCAGCAAAGCCCAACCAACCCTCACCCACTCTGGTTTTTGCTTGTACCAGTAGGAATCATCACCCAGCCTGGCTTTCCCCTGATCCAGCTCACATGAGGCACACGGGTGCTGTAGCCCTGCCTGGTTGCTCTGCCCCCATCCCAACTCACAGTCTCCACGGGGAGTGGCTGTCCAGCAGGGGAGCCCAGATTCCCTGTTCGGGCGCTGCAACCACATCTGGTACAGGCAACCTCACCTTGGCACTCTGTATTGTGCACTGGTTTTTATCATGACTGAACCTGGCCCGACCCACACTCTGTTATGGTGCATGGATTTATCAATGGATGACGTGGACAGATTCAGCCTGGTCTGCCCCCAACCCCTGCCAATTGTATGCCAGTGGGTAACTTTCCATGGCCTTTTCTGGGCTGTTTCCTATCATGTTTCTTGTGCTTACCTGCCGGGTCTGTGTCCTGCCAGAGGAGTTGCCCAGGCTCCTCCATCAGAACCTCCCCCAATACCAGATTTCGCGCATACCAGGGGGTCCATGAGTCAGCCCTGCTCAGTTCGCCTCCTGTCCTAGCAGGAACAGTGACTGTTCCTGACTGGCCTTCAACCCAAACTGGTCCTTGCTGTTGGATGTTTCAGCCCAGCCATGGTTTGTCCATACCCACGTATGGCTCACATATGGCTCAGTTGGGGTTGAGACCTAGCCTAGTCCATCCCACATCTGCCCTGGTCCTCCAGGACCCCAGACGGTGTTGGGGTCCGGCCCGGTTCGGTTTATCCAATCCCAGTCCACACTTGTGCCAAGGGAGACTACAACCGTTTCCTGTTCAGAATACAGCCCCCCTTCCAGGCCACGCGCCACTTGGTGGGAACCTCAACCCAGTTAGGGTTGTCCCCTTAGCTCCCCAACCGGGCCTATTTCCAGCCATAGATCACACGCATGCCAGTGCTTGCTCTGACTCAGCTTGGCTCAGCTGCTCAGCTGTCCCGACCTCTGCCTTAGACACTGTGGCTTAGCATCCCTGACTCACACACACCAGTAGGTGCAAGAGCCTAGCTCAGTGTGACCTGTGCTCCCTCCTGGTCTCTAGTTTCACTTGTGGGCTAAGGTTTGCTCAGTCCTGCCCAGTACATCTCATTTCTTTTTTTTTTTTTAATAACATTTTATTTTGACATTCTTTACATAGTTAATTAGGGTAAGAAGGTTCAAGGGCTACAGGAAAGTGGATAATACTAGTATGTTTTCCATATTGTTACCTTCATGTTTAAAGGGGGGTATTAAGGGAGAAGGCCCACCCAATTTCCCACCCTCCCCACGTCCCGGATGTAGGGCATGCTCTGAGGTTCCTGTTCAAGTGGTTTTGATATTGCCACAGTTATGAATCGCTGTCAATCTTGCCACTCCAAGCACTATGAGGTCTTTGAAAAATCCACTGATTGACATAGTCCATCATAGCTGAGATGGTTGGTTGACCTGTTCTGTCTTCTGTCCTTTCTTGGTTAGGGTTCTGAGTCCAGCATTTAGATTAGGAAGGTCTCCAAAGAAACTAGCAAGTACAGGGCCCGGCTCAGTCCATCGCCCTGATCAGCTGGTGGTTGCAATTGCTGGGTCGGTTCTGTTTTCACTCCCGACTGCCACTGGAACCAATGGGTGTTGCAGTCCAGCCTGGTTCTGCCCAGCACATACTTGGCCCTCACATAAACCAGTGGGAGCTGCAGCCTAGTTGGAGCGACCCACAATAACCCCACCAGGCCTGCCCCTCCCCTGGTTTGCCAGTAAGTGTAGCAGTAGTTCAGTCTGTCCCACACCACATTCCACCCCAGCCGCTGTCTTAGTTTTATGTCCTCCTGTGGAAGTGGCAGCCTAAGAGGGATGAGCCCACTATTTCCCTCCCAGGCCTCTCCCACTCCCAGATTCCAGCTGATGCTGCGGCTAAGCCCAAACAACCCTCGCCCACTTTAATTTTTTTTTGCACCAGTAGGAATGATCTGCCCAGCCCGGCTTTTCCCTGATCTAGTCCACATGAGGCGCACAGGTGTGGTAGCTCTGCCTAGTCTGGTCTGCCCCCATCCCAGCCTATGCTCTCATGCGGAAGTAGCTGTCCAGCAAAGGAACCCTCCCTTATTCTCCTGCCGGCTCTGCCCACTTCCTTTCTTGTTCTCAGGCTGGTTGGGCGCTGCAGTCCCTTCCGGTACAGGCAACCTCACCTCGGCATTCCATATTGTGCACTAGTCTTTGTTGCGACCGAACCTGGCTCGACCCACACTGGCGCCTGGATTTGTCAGTGGATGACGTGGACAGATTCAGCCTGGTCTTGTCCCCACGTCAGCCAATTGTATGCCAGTGTGTAGCTTTCCATGGCTTTTTCTGGGCTGTTTCCTATCATGTTTCTTGTGCTTACCTGCTGGGTCTGTGTCCTGCCAGAGGAGTTGCCCAGGCTCCTCCATCAGAACCTCTCCCAATGCCAGGTTTCACGCTTACCAGTAGGTCCATGAGCCAACCCTACTCAATCCACCTCCTGTCCTAGCAGGAACAGTGACTGTTCCTGACTGGCCTTCCACCCAATCTGGTTCTTGCTGTTGGATGTTCCAGCCCAGCCATGGTTTGTCCATACCCACGTATGGCTCACATATGGCTCAGTAGGGGTTTTAGACCTAGCCTAGTCCATCCCACATCTGCCCTGGTCCTCCAGGACACCATGGGGTGTTGGGGTCTGGCCCGGTTCGGTTTATCCAATCCCAGTCCACACTTGTGCCAAGGGAGACTACAACCGTTTCCTGTTCAGAACGCAGCCCCCCTTCCAGGCCACGTTCCTCTTGGTGGGAACCTCAACCCAGTTAGGGTTGTCCCCTTAGCTCCCCAACCGGGTCTGTTCCCAGCCATAGATCACTTGCCTGCCAGTGGATGCTCTGACTCAGCTTGGCACAGCCCCTCTCCTGTCCCGAATGCTGCCTTAGACACTGTGGCTTAGCGTCCCTGGCTCCCACAGACCAGTAGGTACAAGAGCCTAGCTCGGCATGACCTCTGCTCCCTCCTGGTTTCTAGTTTTACTTGTGGGCTAAGGTTTGCTCAGTCGTGCCTGATCTACTCTGTTGCATTACCAGTTGACACATTAGCCAGCTGTTGGAGCTACTTTTGCAGGACAAGCCCCAAGCCCAGGCTTCTGCATGGACTGGTATTTGGTGCTCAGCATTATTAGTGATTACAAGTTTTACAAAGGAAGAGTTACTGCATGTTTCAGGTCCAAGAAGCACAATGGGTTCAACCTGGAGCTAATTAAGCAGCGACTCAAAGAACCAAATCCCCAGAGCTCCCTGGCTGGGCGGCCAGCAGGCGAGCCTGGCACGAAATGGCACCCGGGAACAGCTCACCATGTGCACATGGCGGCTGTCTGGGATGCAGGCATGAGACGCCCCGTCCTGAGACCCACCCTACATCCCGTTTCATTACCAATTCACACATTAGCCAGCTGTTGGAGCTACTTTGCCCAGCTTGTCTGACCCCCCAGGTCTGGACCACATGTTCACCAGCAGGAGCTATGACTTGCCAGGGGAGTTTCCCAATTTCCTCCACTTGATCCGCTCCCAGACCCAGTTCTCATACATGCCATTGGGTTTAGGCCAGTGCCCGGCGCAGTCTGGCCTTCCATTTGGCCTTGTATGAGTTGGTGAACTTTGCAGCCCGGCCCACCGCACACCCTATTCAGGATGCACATTCGGGTGCTGCTGCCCTGACCAGTCCAGACTATTGGGGATTCCTTTACCTGTAATTGATGGCAGGCTCCTTGGTCACACCTAGCTTAGTCGATCACCACACCAACTCTTGAGATAAACAGTGGGGCTAGAATTATCACAGGATGTGGCCCACACATCCCTCACAGAATTTACCCATGGATATGGTTCCCGAGTGCTAGTTAATGTCACGGCCCTGCATAATGTGACCTGTCTGCTAATCCATCATCATGTCAGGTAATAGGATATAAGCATGCTGGACAAGCGCCGACCCTTAGCTTTCGCATGGACTGGTGTTCGGTGCTCAGCAATGTTCAGTGATTACAAGTTCTTCAAAGGAAGAGTTACTGTCATTGGGAATCTTTAGGATTGATTCACATCCCAGAAGCACAGTGGGTTCAACCTGGAGCTACCTAGGCAGCGAATCAAAGAACCAAAACCCTAGAGTTCCTGGGCCGGGCAGCCAGCAGGCGGAGCCTGGCACCAAATGGCGCACTGGCTGCCCGGGCACAGCTCACCATGATCACAGGTTGGCTGGCATCAGGGATCCAGGCTTGAGACGCCCCGTCTGGAGACTTACCCGCAGCTGGGAGGCTGCTGGAAGTTTAAACCCCCAGGCCCAAGGTCGCACCCCTCCCCAATCCCATCCACAGCTCAATGAGGGCGGCGGGTGGGCCCCAGGCCTGCCCAGTCATGCAGACCTCCCCCCTTGGTGTACTCACCCTGAAGGGAGCAGCTCCGGAGCCCAGGCAGGACCGGGGACAGCTCACCACGTGGTGGCTGTAGTTGGAATCTGAGCAAGAAGACGCCCCATCCGTTTGGTTCTTGCACTCACCTGCAGGGACTGTGTCCCAACAGAGGAGTTTTCCAAGCTTCTCCATCAGAACCTCTTCCTATGCCAGAGCTTGTGCATACTGGTGAGTCCATGGGCGAGCCCTCCTTGCTGGCCTTCAATCCATTCTGGTTCTTACTGTTGATGTTTCAGCCCAGCCAAGGCTCGTCCATACCCCAACACTGCTCACACATGGCTCAGTAGGGGCAGAGACCTAGCCTAGTCCATCCCACATCTACCCAGGTCCTCCAGAACACCAGATGGTGCTGGCGTCTAGCTTGGCTCAGTTCAGCCAGCCCAAGTTCACACTTGTGTCAAGGGAGATTGCAGCCATATCCAGACCAGAACGCACATCCCATTCTGGCCCTGCACTCTCCCATGGGAATCCCAACCCAGCCAGGTTGTATTCTCAGCTCCCCAACCAGGCCTATGCGTAGTCCTAGATTATGCGTGTGCCAGTGGTTGCTCTGTCCCAGTTGGCATAGCCCCTCACGTGTCTTTGTCTTCTATGCTGTGGTCTAGGATCCCTGGCTCATGCAGACCCATCGGTGTACGAGCCTAGCTCAGCATGACCTGTGCTCCAGTCTGTTTTCTGTTCTTTGTAAGTTAAGGTTTTCTTAGCCTTGTCTGGCCTGCCCCCTTCCAGTTGCAGGTCAGCCCACCCACGTCCTGTTTTAGGATGCACCTTCCGGTGCTGCTGCCTTGACCTGCCCAGACTGTTGTCGCTTCCTGTACCCGTAAGTGATGGAAGGCTCCGTGGTCACACCTAGCTCAGTCCATCACTACCCAGCTTGCGAGCTAACCAGCAGTTTTTTTACACTTCCACAGAATCTACCCCTATACCTGGTCTCTCATGTGCTGGTTAGTGTCTTGACCCTGCCAAGTGTGACCTGTGCACTGTTCCACCACGGGGTGCCAGTGAGGTGCTGGTACCCAGCCCTGCCAGACAGGCCCCCGGCCACAGATTTCGTGTGGACTGGTGTGTGGCAATATGCTCTAGGCCAACGGCCCGCCACAGGATTTCCACTGGGGCTGGTGATTCAGTCTGACCCAAATAGATCTTATGGACTCTCCCTCCAAATCACCAGGTCTCAGTCATCATGCTTGCCAGAAAGTTCTGTGACCCCGTTTCTGGGAATTGCCCAGAATTCTGCAATGACTTTGGCCTGAGTGCCCAGCATTGGGTTCAGTCTGACTGGAGCACTGCCCAAAGCTGCCACACTGTAGGGAGCTGCTTTTAGCCCAACCCCATGGGTCCTTCTAATTCTCAAGATGGAAGGCCTAGACCCCCAAGCCAACCTCCACCCAGTTCCTGGGTACTGATACAGAGTCCACAACATGTGCTCTGGATCCCCTCACTCAATTTGCTCACCAAGGCTACACAGGCCCCTTACCAAGATTCGGTCCAGCACCTGCTGACTCAGCCTGCCCTGGGCAGGGGTTGGATCTGCCTAGGTGCTGGTCTTGGAGGGTGAAGGCACTCGGGGGTGGGGTGCAAGAAGCGGCCAGCATTCATCCCGGGTCCCCTAAGACCAGTCAGAGACCAACTGCAGAGGATGCTGGCTTGGGCAGGGGTGGGACGGGACAAAAGAGAACACTCTGTGCAAGATGCTAACATTCCATGCAGGAAACCAACCCTGGCCGAGCAGTGGCGGGGTGCAGGCTGCATGCCAGGAGCTTTAGCCTAGGGTGCCTGACACGTGCCTCTCGGTTTAACCCTAACGTGGAGACATAGGTAGGGGTAGTGAATGGATGTGCACAGTTAAACACAAAGAAAAAGACTTGTGTGAAAAACGTTTTTTATTTGTAAGGCCACAAATCAGGGCAAACTTGTAAACAGCAAGAGGCAGATCTCCAAAGACAACTAAAACTAGAAAGCCACAGAAGACTCCCAAAGCGCATTCATTTCCGATTCACAGCAAGGAGGAGAAGACCTGTCTCGGGGTCACGCACGCAGCGCTCCAGCAGCTGCACGTAGGTGAGGTTCTCGTGCGTGTTGGGGTCGAAGAAGCCCTTGGTGTCGTCGCTCGGGTCGGCCAGCACGCGGTTCATGTCCTCGTCGAAGTAGCCGCGCTCGTAGGCCACGGCCACGGGCACGCGGTGGCTGTGCACCGGGTCGATGACGCCGCCCGTGGCGATCTGCGCCTCCAGCAGGCGGATGCCGTGGTCGCGCACGATGAGGTCCTTCTGCATGGCCTGGAAGAGCGAGATGCGCTCGCCCGAGTAGGGGTCGGTGTAGCCGGTGACGGCGCGCTCGGCCGACAGCAGCTTCTCGCGCAGCTCGCCGCCCACCACGCCCGCCGCCACCGCCTCCTCCACCGACAGCCGCCGGTTCTGCACGGGGTCGATGACGAAGCCCGTGGCCGCCTGCGCCTCCAGCAGCACCAGGGCCGTGCCGGGCCGCAGGACGCCCTGCCGCATGGCCTCGTAGATGCTCATGGTGCGTGGCGGGGGCGCGTCGCCGCCCGAGGCTGGTGGTGGCGGTGCCAGCACGCCCGCGATGCAGCTCGTGCCCTCCAGGTAGCGCCGCACCGACTCCATCTCCGCCACCTCGCGCAGGCTCTTGGTGCCCTGGGCCAGGTCCCGCAGCGTCTCCGCGCCCAGGATGCCCGAGGCGCGCAGCTCCTCCACTGACACCTGGCGCCGCAGGCCGCGAAAGGACGCCTGGCTGAGCCGCTCCTCCGCCTCTTCCACCGCGCGCCCCAGCAGGGCCGCCAGCTCGGGCAGGCCCAGGGCGCCGGCCGCGTGCTGCGCCAGGAGCTCTTCTCGTCGCGCCTCGCTCACGTAGGAGGAGAAGAGCACGTCCCACAGGGACACGGGCCGGCCGCGGAACTGGCCGCGCTGCACCTCCATGGTGGCGGCGCGCAGCTCGCGCAGCTCGCGCTCGCGCTGGCGCCGGGTGCCCGGGGACTCGGGGTCGCCGGGCGCAGGTCCCGAGCCGCCGTCCACGGCCCCCTCGGCCTCCTCGATGAGGGTGGTCAGCCTGCGGGTCAGCGCGGGCAAGGCCAGCGTCCCCGAGCCGAACTGGGCCGTCAGCTCCTCCCGCGCGGCGCCGCTCACGTAGCCGGACTCCAGCACGTCGAGGACGGGCACGGCGCGGCCCCGCAGGCGGCCCACCTTGACCTCCATGGTGGCCGCTCGCAGGGCGCCACGCGGGTCCGCGGCCTCGGCCTCGGCACGGTCCCGGGCCGGCAGCGAGGCCAGGGCCGAGCCCACCTCCTGCGCCGTCAGCGCGCCCGCCGCGTACCTGCGCAGCAGGTCCTGGCGCAGGTCCTCAGGCACCTCGCGGTCGAACAGCAGTTCCCACACCGACTGGCTCTGGCCCCGGGCCGCGCCCCAACCGGGCGAGACGCGGGCGTCGCGCAGGGCGCCCCGCAACCCCTCGCTCAGCTGGTGCACGGCCGACGCCCTGCCGGCCAGCGGCAACATGAAGAGCCCGGTGTCGGGGTCGCGCACGCAGCGCCGCAGCAGCTGCACGTAGGTGAGGTTCTCGTGCGTGTTGGGGTCGAAGAAGCCCTTGGTGTCGTCGCTCGGGTCGGCCAGCACGCGGTTCATGTCCTCGTCGAAGTAGCCGCGCTCGTAGGCCACGGCCACGGGCACGCGGTGGCTGTGCACCGGGTCGATGACGCCGCCCGTGGCGATCTGCGCCTCCAGCAGGCGGATGCCGTGGTCGCGCACGATGAGGTCCTTCTGCATGGCCTGGAAGAGCGAGATGCGCTCGCCCGAGTAGGGGTCGGTGTAGCCGGTGACGGCGCGCTCGGCCGACAGCAGCTTCTCGCGCAGCTCGCCGCCCACCACGCCCGCCGCCACCGCCTCCTCCACCGACAGCCGCCGGTTCTGCACGGGGTCGATGACGAAGCCCGTGGCCGCCTGCGCCTCCAGCAGCACCAGGGCCGTGCCGGGCCGCAGGACGCCCTGCCGCATGGCCTCGTAGATGCTCATGGTGCGTGGCGGGGGCGCGTCGCCGCCCGAGGCTGGTGGTGGCGGTGCCAGCACGCCCGCGATGCAGCTCGTGCCCTCCAGGTAGCGCCGCACCGACTCCATCTCCGCCACCTCGCGCAGGCTCTTGGTGCCCTGGGCCAGGTCCCGCAGCGTCTCCGCGCCCAGGATGCCCGAGGCGCGCAGCTCCTCCACTGACACCTGGCGCCGCAGGCCGCGAAAGGACGCCTGGCTGAGCCGCTCCTCCGCCTCTTCCACCGCGCGCCCCAGCAGGGCCGCCAGCTCGGGCAGGCCCAGGGCGCCGGCCGCGTGCTGCGCCAGGAGCTCTTCTCGTCGCGCCTCGCTCACGTAGGAGGAGAAGAGCACGTCCCACAGGGACACGGGCCGGCCGCGGAACTGGCCGCGCTGCACCTCCATGGTGGCGGCGCGCAGCTCGCGCAGCTCGCGCTCGCGCTGGCGCCGGGTGCCCGGGGACTCGGGGTCGCCGGGCGCAGGTCCCGAGCCGCCGTCCACGGCCCCCTCGGCCTCCTCGATGAGGGTGGTCAGCCTGCGGGTCAGCGCGGGCAAGGCCAGCGTCCCCGAGCCGAACTGGGCCGTCAGCTCCTCCCGCGCGGCGCCGCTCACGTAGCCGGACTCCAGCACGTCGAGGACGGGCACGGCGCGGCCCCGCAGGCGGCCCACCTTGACCTCCATGGTGGCCGCTCGCAGGGCGCCACGCGGGTCCGCGGCCTCGGCCTCGGCACGGTCCCGGGCCGGCAGCGAGGCCAGGGCCGAGCCCACCTCCTGCGCCGTCAGCGCGCCCGCCGCGTACCTGCGCAGCAGGTCCTGGCGCAGGTCCTCAGGCACCTCGCGGTCGAACAGCAGTTCCCACACCGACTGGCTCTGGCCCCGGGCCGCGCCCCAACCGGGCGAGACGCGGGCGTCGCGCAGGGCGCCCCGCAACCCCTCGCTCAGCTGGTGCACGGCCGACGCCCTGCCGGCCAGCGGCAACATGAAGAGCCCGGTGTCGGGGTCGCGCACGCAGCGCCGCAGCAGCTGCACGTAGGTGAGGTTCTCGTGCGTGTTGGGGTCGAAGAAGCCCTTGGTGTCGTCGCTCGGGTCGGCCAGCACGCGGTTCATGTCCTCGTCGAAGTAGCCGCGCTCGTAGGCCACGGCCACGGGCACGCGGTGGCTGTGCACCGGGTCGATGACGCCGCCCGTGGCGATCTGCGCCTCCAGCAGGCGGATGCCGTGGTCGCGCACGATGAGGTCCTTCTGCATGGCCTGGAAGAGCGAGATGCGCTCGCCCGAGTAGGGGTCGGTGTAGCCGGTGACGGCGCGCTCGGCCGACAGCAGCTTCTCGCGCAGCTCGCCGCCCACCACGCCCGCCGCCACCGCCTCCTCCACCGACAGCCGCCGGTTCTGCACGGGGTCGATGACGAAGCCCGTGGCCGCCTGCGCCTCCAGCAGCACCAGGGCCGTGCCGGGCCGCAGGACGCCCTGCCGCATGGCCTCGTAGATGCTCATGGTGCGTGGCGGGGGCGCGTCGCCGCCCGAGGCTGGTGGTGGCGGTGCCAGCACGCCCGCGATGCAGCTCGTGCCCTCCAGGTAGCGCCGCACCGACTCCATCTCCGCCACCTCGCGCAGGCTCTTGGTGCCCTGGGCCAGGTCCCGCAGCGTCTCCGCGCCCAGGATGCCCGAGGCGCGCAGCTCCTCCACTGACACCTGGCGCCGCAGGCCGCGAAAGGACGCCTGGCTGAGCCGCTCCTCCGCCTCTTCCACCGCGCGCCCCAGCAGGGCCGCCAGCTCGGGCAGGCCCAGGGCGCCGGCCGCGTGCTGCGCCAGGAGCTCTTCTCGTCGCGCCTCGCTCACGTAGGAGGAGAAGAGCACGTCCCACAGGGACACGGGCCGGCCGCGGAACTGGCCGCGCTGCACCTCCATGGTGGCGGCGCGCAGCTCGCGCAGCTCGCGCTCGCGCTGGCGCCGGGTGCCCGGGGACTCGGGGTCGCCGGGCGCAGGTCCCGAGCCGCCGTCCACGGCCCCCTCGGCCTCCTCGATGAGGGTGGTCAGCCTGCGGGTCAGCGCGGGCAAGGCCAGCGTCCCCGAGCCGAACTGGGCCGTCAGCTCCTCCCGCGCGGCGCCGCTCACGTAGCCGGACTCCAGCACGTCGAGGACGGGCACGGCGCGGCCCCGCAGGCGGCCCACCTTGACCTCCATGGTGGCCGCTCGCAGGGCGCCACGCGGGTCCGCGGCCTCGGCCTCGGCACGGTCCCGGGCCGGCAGCGAGGCCAGGGCCGAGCCCACCTCCTGCGCCGTCAGCGCGCCCGCCGCGTACCTGCGCAGCAGGTCCTGGCGCAGGTCCTCAGGCACCTCGCGGTCGAACAGCAGTTCCCACACCGACTGGCTCTGGCCCCGGGCCGCGCCCCAACCGGGCGAGACGCGGGCGTCGCGCAGGGCGCCCCGCAACCCCTCGCTCAGCTGGTGCACGGCCGACGCCCTGCCGGCCAGCGGCAACATGAAGAGCCCGGTGTCGGGGTCGCGCACGCAGCGCCGCAGCAGCTGCACGTAGGTGAGGTTCTCGTGCGTGTTGGGGTCGAAGAAGCCCTTGGTGTCGTCGCTCGGGTCGGCCAGCACGCGGTTCATGTCCTCGTCGAAGTAGCCGCGCTCGTAGGCCACGGCCACGGGCACGCGGTGGCTGTGCACCGGGTCGATGACGCCGCCCGTGGCGATCTGCGCCTCCAGCAGGCGGATGCCGTGGTCGCGCACGATGAGGTCCTTCTGCATGGCCTGGAAGAGCGAGATGCGCTCGCCCGAGTAGGGGTCGGTGTAGCCGGTGACGGCGCGCTCGGCCGACAGCAGCTTCTCGCGCAGCTCGCCGCCCACCACGCCCGCCGCCACCGCCTCCTCCACCGACAGCCGCCGGTTCTGCACGGGGTCGATGACGAAGCCCGTGGCCGCCTGCGCCTCCAGCAGCACCAGGGCCGTGCCGGGCCGCAGGACGCCCTGCCGCATGGCCTCGTAGATGCTCATGGTGCGTGGCGGGGGCGCGTCGCCGCCCGAGGCTGGTGGTGGCGGTGCCAGCACGCCCGCGATGCAGCCCGTGCCCTCCAGGTAGCGCCGTACGGTGTGGCTGCTCCTGATTTCCTCCAGGGTCTGGGCGCCTGCAGTCAGCTCCTCCAGAGCCTCCTTGCTGAGCACGCCGGCAGCTCGCAGCTCGGCAGCGGTGACCTGGCGCCGCAGGCCTGGGAACCACAGCTCGTGGCGGCTGCTCTCCTGCTGCTGGATCATCTGCAGGATCTCGTCGCGGACCTGTCGCAGAGCCCGGGCTGTGCCAGCACGGTACACTTTCACCAGCTCCCGCCTCTTGTCCTCACTGACATACTCCGAGTTCAGGAGCTCCCACACCGAGCACGTCTGACCTCTGAGCCGTCCCACCGTGACTTCCACCTGCTCCTCCTGCAGCGCCCGCCTGGTGGCCTCGTCCGTGTACTCGGCCTCGGCCGCGTCCCTCAGCACTGGGAACAGCGCCCAGCCCGTCTCTTCCTGTGTCTGGCACCTTTCCTGCAGCTCCCGGTAGGAGGCTTCCTCCCCCGTGTTGGGGTCCATGAACCTTCTCTTCATTACCTTTTGGCCAGAGACTAGCAGGTACACGTCCTCCTGCAGACAGCCACGCTGGTAGGCCGTGTCCAGGGGCAGGCGGTGGTGCTGACGTGGGTCCAGGACACCCCCCGTGGCCACCTGCGCCTCCAACAGTCTCAGCGCCTCCTCCCGGGACACCAGCTCCTTGCTCATGGCCTGGAACAGGGGGATGGCATCCCCGGTGGCCGGGTCCACGTAACCCGTGGCGGCCTTCTCGGCAGTCTTGAGCCTTTCTTGCCACTGCTTGGGTACCAGGCCGGCAGCCACGGCCTTGTCCACGGACAGCCTGCAGTGGCTGCAGGGATCCAGCAGGCCCCCGGTGGCGGCCTGGGCTTCTAGAAGCTGGACTGCAAAGCCCGCAGGAATGATGTTGTTGCTGCTGGCCTCATGCAGGCTCATGACCGCCCCGCTGCTGCTCACGGTGACCCCGGCGATGCAGCCGCGGCCCTCCAGGCTGGCCCGCACGCTCTCCAGTCTGCTGAGGGCCTGCTGGCCACTGTCCGCGCACGGCAGCGCATCCAGTGTCTGCTTGTCAATGACCCCAGAGTTGAACAGCTCTGCGGCTGTCACCTCGCCCCCACCAAGGGCTGGTATCTTGACGGCCCGGCCCCGTGTCTCTGTTTCCTCCAGTGTGGTGACAATGATGTCGGCCAGCTGCTGCAGCTCCAGGCTCCGGGCTTCAAACCGCTGGAGCAGTTCCTGCCTCCGCTGCTCAGAGAAGTACAAGGAATACAGAAGCTCCCAGAGGGATAGTGTCTGCCCAGCAAACCTGCCCACACACACGCTCAGCCTTCTGGACCTCAGGGCTTGGCGTGCGGCCTCGTGGGCACAGGGGTAAGCCTCGCCCTTCTTTACAATCTGCAGCAGGTACAGCCCGGTGTCGGGGTCGCGCACGCAGCGCTCCAGCAGCTGCAGATAGGTGAGGTTCTCGTGCGTGTTGGGGTCGAAGAAGCCCTTGGTGTCGTCGCTCGGGTCGGCCAGCACGCGGTTCATGTCCTCGTCGAAGTAGCCGCGCTCGTAGGCCACGGCCACGGGCACGCGGTGGCTGTGCACCGGGTCGATGACGCCGCCCGTGGCGATCTGCGCCTCCAGCAGGCGGATGCCGTGGTCGCGCACGATGAGGTCCTTCTGCATGGCCTGGAAGAGCGAGATGCGCTCGCCCGAGTAGGGGTCGGTGTAGCCAGTGACGGCGCGCTCGGCCGACAGCAGCTTTGTGTAGGTCTCCCGGCCGAACATCCCCTCCTCGAAGGCCTGCTGCACTGTGAGCCGCCGGTTCTGCACGGGGTCGATGACGAAGCCCGTGGCCGCCTGCGCCTCCAGCAGCACCAGGGCCGTGCCGGGCCGCAGGACGCCCCTGCGCAGGCCCTCTGCGATGCTCATCTTCTCCCCGCTGCTGCGAACGAGCAGCCCGGCTATGAAGTTACTGCCCTCCAGAGACTGGCGCACGCTGCCCAGGGCCATCACCTCCTGCACCGTCCTCTTGCCCTCATTCAGCTCATCCAGCGTCTTCCTGTCGATCAGGTGTGACCTGAACAGGTCCGTCGCGGACACCTGCTTGCGGAGGCCTTGGAAGGTGGCCTCCCGGGGCTGGTTCTCGGCCGCCTCCACCAGGGCTGTCACCGCGCTGACCACCTGCCTCAGGGCTGCCGCCCGCCCAGACTGGCACAGGGCGGCCAGCTCCCGTCGCTTGTCAGCATCCACATACTCAGAGTTCAGCAGGTCCCAGAGGGAGATGTTGTGGCCACAGAACCTGCCCAGACTGACGGACACCTTCATGGCTCGCAGTGCCACTGCGGTGTGCTGGTCCACCTTCAGAGTGGCATCCTGGGGCAGCGGCAGCAGCCACAGGCCCGTGTCCGCATCCAGCTTGCAGCATTCCTTCAGTTGCTGGTACGTGACCTTGACCTGGGCATTGGGGTCGAAGAAGAACTTACTGTCTTCGTCCGTGGCAGTTAGTGCCAGGCCCGTCTGCTGGTCCAGGAGGCCGAATTTGCAGGCCCCTGCCAGCGGCAAGTGTACCCCATGGCCAGTGTCCATCACGCCCCCCGTGGCCAGCTGAACCTGCAGGAGGGGGAGGCCCTCCTTCTGGGGCACCAGCCCCTTCTGTATGGCCTGCCACAGCGACAGGGTGCCCCCTGAGTAGGGGTCCTTCCACCCGGTCACGGCCCGCTCAGCCTGCCTCAGCTGCTCCCTCACCTCCCTGCCCACGAGACCGGCTTTGACCGCCTCATCCACTGACAACTTCCGATTGGTCATAGGGTCCACAAGGGAGCCAGATGCCACCTGGGCCTCCAGAAGCTTCTGGCCCAGGCCAGGCGGCAGGAGCCCGTCCCTCACAGCCTGCGCAATAGTGGCCTTGGTCCCCGACGGCTGCAGCAGGACCCCGGCCACGCAGCCCGTGCCCCAGAGGCAGGCCTTCACAGCGGGCAGCCTGGACACGTCGGAGGGTGTCTGTGTGCCCCGGGCCAGCGCCTCCAGGGTCTCTTGGGATATGACCTCGGCATCCCGCAGCCAGGCAGCAGGAACCTCGCCCCGTGGGCCAGGCACTGTGACACGGGTCTGGGTCAGGAGTTCTGCCTCGCGCACCTGGCGCTGCAGGGCAGCCTGCAGCTGTGGAAGAGGGGTCCTCCCGGCCCGCACATCCTCCAGCAGGCTCTGGCGCTGCTCTTCTGTGAAGTGCCTGGAACTGAGCAGGTCCCAGAGGGACCGGCCATCCTCCATGCCCGGTGTGGCCCGTAGTGTCTCCTCAATGTGCAGGTCGCTGGGGACGCCAGGGCCCTCCTCGGGCAGCGGTAGCAGGTGCAGACCCGAGACCTCATCCGGCAGGCAGTGCCCCAGCAGCTGAGTGTAGCTGGCCCGGCCCTGGCCGTCCGGTGCAGGGAATGTCTCAGCCGTGCCGGACAGCGAGGTGCCCGTCTCCTCGTCGATGCAGCCGAGCCGGACGGCGGCAGGCAGGGGGAGGTGGTGGTGGGCCTGGGGATCGATGACTCCTCCAGTGGCCAGCTGGGCGTCCAGTAGGCGGCGGGCTTCCTCCTTGGGGACCAGGCCCTTCTTCATGGCCTGGAAAAGGGACACCCGCGTGCCAGAGAAGGGATCCTTGAAACCCACGACCGCATCCTCGGCCCGTCGCAGCCGGCTGTGCAGCTCGGGACCGACCAGGCCCCTGCGCACGGCCTCGTCCACCGACAGGCCCTCCGTGCCACGGGGGTCTCTGATGGCCCCGGTGGCTGCCTGGGCCTCCAGCAAGGCCAGGGCCACACTGGGTGCCAGGAGTTTCTGCCCCATGGCCTGGTAGAGGCTGAGGCGCCGGCCAGACGGCTGCAGCAGCACACCGCCCACCACGGCCGAGCCCCTCAGGCACCTGCGGACGCCGGCGTCCTCCCGCAGCAAGGCTTCCGGGCTGACAGTGCCCTCCAGCACCTGGTCCAGGCGGGCCTGGTCAATGACGCCAGCTTCCAACAACCGGTAGGCGGGCACCGGGCCACGCAGACCGGGCAGAGTGACACCTGCTTGCCTCCATGTCGCCTCCTCCAGCAGCTGCACCACCTGCGCTGGCGTCACCCGGCGCAGTCGAAACTGCCGTAGCAGCTGGCGCCTCCGGTCCTCGCTGACGTACTCTGAGTTGACCAGATCCCACGCCGACACCCGCCGGCCCTGGAGGCGCCCAAACCTTACAGACAGCAGCAGGCCCTGCAAAGCCTGCCGGGTGGCCCCGTCGACCAGTGGCGCTCGCATGCCACTGAGCGGGAGCAGGTGCAGCCCGGTGTCGGGGTCGCGCACGCAGCGCCGCAGCAGCTGCAGATAGGTGAGGTTCTCGTGCGTGTTGGGGTCGAAGAAGCCCTTGGTGTCATCCGAGGGGTCCAGCAGGACCAGGTTCATGTCCTCGTCGAAGAGGCCGCGCTCGTAGGCCACGGCCACGGGCACGCGGTGGCTGTGCACCGGGTCGATGATGCCGCCCGTGGCGATCTGCGCCTCCAGCAGGCGGATGCCGTGGTCGCGCACGATGAGGTCCTTCTGCATGGCCTGGAAGAGCGAGATGCGCTCGCCCGAGTAGGGGTCGGTGTAGCCGGTGACGGCGCGCTCGGCCGACAGCAGCTTGTCAACCACGTCGGGCCCAATGACACCAGCTCGCAGAGCCTCCTCCACGGAGTATCTGTGGTTCCCCTTGGGGTCGATGACGAAGCCCGTGGCCGCCTGTGCCTCCAGCAGCACCAGGGCCGTGCCGGGCCGCAGCAGCCCCCTGCCACGGGCCTCGTAGACGCTAAGCCGCTCCTGGGAGCCGGGCAGCAGCAGGCCGGCAACGCAGCCCGTGCCCTCCAGGAACTGCTGCACAGAGGCCAGGCTGCCCACCGCCTGTGCCGTGGTCTGGCCGTGCTGCAGCTGCTCATACTGGTCGCGGCTGATGATCTCAGCTGTCAGCAGGGTTCCTGGTGTCACAGCCCCCCTCAGCCCCGCAAAGGTGACCCTGCTGCTGGCCATGGCCTGCTCCACGGTGGTCTTCAGCTCAGTGGCCAGCTCTTGTACTGACAGGGTCCCCGCCTGCAGCCGCTGGGCCAACGCCAGCCTCTCCGGCGCAGACACGGCCTCAGAGAACCACAGCTCCCACAGCGACACGGGCCGGCTGCGGAATGGACCCACAGACACGGAACAGGTTGTCGTGCTCAAGGCCTGCCGCGTTGGGTGACTGAGAAATGGAGGCCCCGGAGGACCCTCTCCTGCCAGCGGCAGGAAGGCCAGCCCAGTCTCGGGGTCAGTGACGCAGCGGGCCAGCAGCTGCCCGTAGCGCAGGCTGTCCTGCATGCTGGGGTCTGAGAAGCCGGTGGCCTGTGCCAGGAGCTCTCGCGTGTCCTCGTCCAGGCAGCCCCAGTGCAGCGCCGCCTCCAGGGGCAGCCGCATCCTGCGGGCCGGACACACCAGGCCGCCCGTGGCCAGCTGGGCATCCAGGAGGCGCAGGGCCAGTGCCCGGTCCACCAGCCCCTTCTGCATGGCCTGGAAGAGGCAGACTCGTAAGCCAGTGAAGGGGTCAGGGTAGCCCGTCACTGCCTGCTCTGCCACCAGCAGTCGTGAGTGTAGCTCGGGCCCTACCAGGCCGGCCCTGACCGCCTCCTCCACCCACAGCACCTGGCCCGTGGCGGGGTCAGCCAGGGTGTGCGTGGCGGCCTGCGCCTCCAGGAGTGGCAGCACGGCACCCATGGGGAGCAGGTGCTCGGCCAAGGCCTGAGAGAAGCTCTTCTCGTGCCCCTGGGGCAGCAGGACCACGCCCACCACACCGCCGGTGCCCTGTAGGTACTGCCGCACCTCGGGCCAGGCCCCCACCTCCTCCACGGCCAGCCTGCCCTCCTCCAGGCCACGCACGGCCTCCTGGTCCAGGACGCCCACCTCCAGCAGCTCAGCTGCGCTCACTGCCCCACCCAGGCTGCGGAAGGTGGTCCTAAGGGGCAGGAGTGCCAGCCCCAAGCCGGGGGCTGGCACACACCTGCGCAGCAGTGTGCTGTAGGGCAGCCGCTCCAGGGTGTTGGGGTCATGGAAACCGGTGGCGTCAGTGCCCGGCTCCAGCTCCTGCAGGCTCTGCCACGTCTCCTGGTCCAGGAGGCCTTGCTGGCAGGCCACATCGGGGGCCACTCGCACGCCTCCTGCAGGGTCCACCACACCCCCGGTGGCCAGCTGGGCCTCCAGCCAGTTCCACCCCAGGGCCCTGTCTACCACCTCCTTGCCAATGGCCTGGAAGAGGGCCAGCTTGCCGTCTCCATAGGGGTCAGGGTAGCCGGTGACTGCGCGCTCTGCGGCCAGCAGCCGCTCCTTCAACTCCAAGCCCACCAGGCCCCGCCGCAGGGCCTCAGACACCGGGAGCAGCCGGCCCTCGGCAGGGTCCACCAGGCCCCCTGTGGCTGCCTGGGCCTCCAGCAGAGCCAGCCCGAGCTCGGTGGGCAGGAGGCCCTGCTTCATGGCAGTGTAGACGCTCCGCACCTGACCCGAGGCCTCCACACGCACCCCGGCGATGCTCCGCGGCCTGGGCGGCCCGCTCTCAGGGCTGTGAGGAGAGGGGGAGCCATCCATCGCCGCCATCCCGCAGGGCTCACTGAGGCACACGCGTGTCCTGGGGGGCAAGAAGGCTCGGTCAGGCCCTGCGAACGCACCCAGGGAGCCCAGTTGCCAATGGATCGGCTCACCCACTCCAGGTGCTTGGGAGCTTGAAGAAAAGGGTGTCCAGGGCTTTTGCACCCCAGGAGAAGCCTGGGCCTGGGGACCACTCTGCCACTCACAGGGCCTCCCCCAGCCTCAGCACCCATCACCTCTCCCCCTCTGGACGTGGCCCCTCGTGCCTTGCCCCCACCCGGCTCCATGAGGGCCCTGCCCTCTGACCCAGACTCCTCCCCGCACCCCGCGGTGCCTGGAGGTGGGGCGCCCCTGCCCCCTCCACCTGTTCGCCTTTCCTGCCATGCTGGAGGTGTGTGGCAGCCCTCACCCACGCACTTGGGCAGGCAGCCCTGCTGAGCCCAGCAGGAGGAAGTCACTTCTGGAGCCGGGAATGTCCTTGGGAGAGGAGCGCACGGGGCGGGGGCGGCCAGTCGGTGACGACAGAGCCAGGGGCGGCAGGGACAGCCGCAGGCAGTGGGGCCAGACAGGCAGGAACCTGCCCGTCCTGGGCGTCCTGGGTGAGGGGGTGACTGCGCCCACAGCAGGAGCCCGGGCTGGGCCCTTGCAGCCCTATCAGCCAGCAGAGCTGGGACCTGGGAGAGCTCCAACCCCCATCCCCACCCCTGCCTCCCCCAAAGCAGAGGGCCACCGCCTGCTCCGTCGGCCTCCAGCCGCCAGGATCTGAACTTTCCTCCAGGACCCAGACCCTCGGGGCCCCTCACCCACTCCAACGTGCCTGGGCCCGCTCCTGCAGCCGCCGGCCACCCTCCCCTCCCCCTCCCTCCCTGCCACACAGGAATGCACAGGGGAGGGGCGGGAGGGGAGCACCAGGCTGGTGGGCTTCCGGGAGTGGCAGGCAAGCCAGGGCTTGTGTCACCTGGACCTGCAGGGTGGGCACTGCCTGACCAGCCCCAGAGAGCCACAGGGCACCTCTGCTGGTGGTTGAGGACAGCCTCATGGGCTCCCACCCACTGGGCTTGACTCCCAAGTGACCTTAGTACTGCATGCCTGGACTACACCCTGCCCCCTACCCCCAGGCGAATCCCTGCCTCTTCCATCCCAGCGGCCACAGCAGCGGGCTTGAGGCTCCTGACCACCTAGCCTGGACTCATCGGGAAGGCGTGGCCGCTGGAGGGGAGCGGCCAGCTCCTTGGCCGAGGCTGGCAGGGATAGCCAGGACTCCTGTGCCCTAGAAAGTGTGAAGTGGTGTCCTCACCCAAGGCCAGCCGAACTGGGGCTGTGGGGAACCCCCACTGACCTGCGTGGGCTGTGGCCCCAGGGTGCTGTGTCCCAGTCCAGCCCGGCTTTGAGGAGCTCTGAGGCCTGGGGGTGGCACGTCCCTGTATCCCACATCCCTGCGGGGGTCCCAGCCAGCCCCCTTTCACAGGAGTCTGACCTCCTGCCAACATGAGGTGGGGACACACGGAGCCACCGCTCTCAGCCGGCACAGAGCACTGTGGGCCAGGGGTGCTGGTCTAGGTGGTCTGGGCTGGACAGCCAGCCATCTGGGCGCCGTGGCCCAGGCGGGCCCAGGAGGGCCCAGGAGTGTCAGCCTGGGGAGCTGCAGAAGGGGGAGCCCAGGCCGCCAGTGCACCGGAGGCCACAGCTGGGCAAGCTTCGCTCTGGGGGCTGTGGGCAGACACGTGTTAGGCTCCAGAGGTCACCCCGGTGTAAGGGAGGGGCAGAGCCCCAGACAGGGGGGCGCCGGCCGAGAGCTGTACTAGCCGGCAGGGGTGGGCACAGCGCCCGCTGAGGGCCCACCTGAGCCCCGTTAGGAGCGAGCCAGCTGGAGACCAGGCTGGGCGCCTACCCGGGCCTCGCCCGCTTGCTCTCCGCCCCCGGAACAGAGATTAATGAGGGCGGCGTGGCCGGCAGCGCGGACAGGAAGTGGGGTGCCCCTACCTCTGCCCACCATGGGTGGACTTCTGTCCCCACCCCCGCTCCCAATGCCGCGTGGCACCCTCCCACTTGCGCGGAGCTAGGAGCACGCGCGGGGGAAACCCAGCCCGGCCGGAGCTGCGCCCCGCGCCCGCCCGCGCAGAGGGGTTCCGGTTTGGCACGGTCGCCGCCCCACAGCGGCACCTGCGTGCACCTGCCCGCACGCTCCGGGTCTCAGTGGCTCCCGCCTGTGCGCACCTGCCCGCACGCTCCGGGTCGCAGTGGCTCCCGCCTGTGCGCACCTGCCCGCACGCTCCGGGTCGCAGTGGCTCCCGCCTGTGCGCACCTGCCCGCACGCTCCGGGTCGCAGTGGCTCCCGCCTGTGTGCACCTGCCCGCACGCTCCGGGTCGCAGTGGCTCCCGCCTGCGCGCACCTGCCCGCACGCTCCGGGTCGCGGTCGCTCCCGCCTGTGCACACCTGCCCGCACGCTCCGGGTCCGCAGTGGCTCCCGGCTGTGCGCACCTGCCCGCACGGTCCGGGTCCGCAGTCGCTTTGCTCGCGACCAGTCTACGCCGCCCGCACTTAAACCGCAGCAGGCCCCTCCCACGGCGGCTCCGCCCTCGGTCGAGGCCGGCAGTCGGGTGGGGCGCGCAAGTACCGGGAACTCGGGCGGGCCCAGAGATCTCGCACCCCTGGGCTAGGAGGGGCTGCGGGGCGTCTGGGACCCTACCCTCGGCCCCCCGCCCGTGGAGTCACCGCAAAGGAACGCGGCAGGCGCGGCCGGGCAGGGGTGTGAGGGTGGGGGGGGGGCTTGCGAGCAGGGCGGGGCGGGGTGCGCTGGCCTCACAGCAGCCCCTTCCGCCTTCCCTATCTGGGAGCGGCCAGCTGCAGGAGGACTTGTGCACCAGGGAGCACCTGCCCCTAGCAGCGGGCACAGCCAGGCCCTCCCCACACCAGCTCGCCACTGCCACCTGGATGCCGACAGGCTCTGCCACCTGTGTGCGTGTCTCCAGTCGTATCCCCCACTGGGGGCACACCACGAGGTTGCCGCTGGGGGACCTGGCTGTGCGGGTGAGGGAAGCCCAGACCCCAACCCCGGAGCGGGCTGTGGGCTTGGCCACCCTACCCTGCAACCGCAGCTAGCTGGTCGCATCCACCTGCCGCCTGGCCCTGCCCACCATGCCAGTCCCCTGGTTGCACCCCCAGCTCCCGCGGCACTCAGGGTTCTGGGTGTGGACACCCCACCTGCCCCCGGCCCTGCCCAGGCTGCGCTCACTGCTCTCTGACCTTTCGCTTCAACTTCCTGGAGCACAGGCTCCCACGGTGCCCCTAACCACCGCGGCGTCTGGCTCCCGCGGTGCCCCTGCCCACGGTCTAGCTCAGCTTCCCTGGGCACAGTCTAGAGGCACACCTGGGCACCTGCTCTGCTCCCTGGCACCTGGACCATCCACCCTTGGATCTGGGGTCTCAGTCGATGGCCCCCACAGCTGTGAGCGGGGTGTCAGCGGGTGAGCCGGGGTGTCCCAGGTGCTGCCTCCAGAGCCCAGGTCCCTAGGCAGGCCAGGGGCTGTCAGGTGGGGTGTGGGGAAAGGCGGGCAGGTTTGGGGAGAGGGGGCCTTGGGCTGTTGCTACCCCTCAGGTCATGGGCTGCTGGGCTTCTTGGTCCCCAGGGTGATGTGGGTATCAGGAACTGATTGGGGCCACTGGTGGCCTGAGCATGGGAGGGGCCCTGGACTGGTGGGGCCTTGGCTTGTCTCCAGGGACATGGCGAAGATGCTGGCACCTGGGCCATCCCTTCAGCTACCTGAGACCCCAGAGCGTGGCACTGAGTGCTTAGGCTGAGGGTGGACACGCTGGCCATGTCCAGGGCCCACATGCAGGTGCCATGCCACCTCGCAGGACTCCTGGCAGGCCATAGCCTGGCCCTGTGCCTTATAGATACTCCGAGGACTCAGTCCCCGGCCACACGCGCTCAGCCTCTGCGAGCCCCTGACCCCCGGGGGCCCACGCTCTGTCCAGCGGCTCCCTGGGCCCCAGCTTGGCCAGTGCCCGTCTCCTACACTGTCATGGCACAGATGCCCGAGGCCTGGTGCTGCCAGGAAAGTCCGTGGGCAGCTGTATCTCCCAGGCCAGCCAGGTATCCCGTGGAGGACACTGGCGTGGCCCATGGAGTGGGATGGTCCCCTGGGAGCCTGCAGGGGAGAGAGGGACCCCTCCTGGCCGGCTGGCATTGATCTCCAGCTGGGACTTCTCTTCTGGGTCCGTCTGCTGGTCCTGGCCTGGGTAGGCTGGCCCTAGGGGTCTGGGGCTCAGAGGGGACCCTAGGCCCACCCTTGTGGCCCCCACCAACCAGAGAAGACCTCCTATGCCAGATGGGTCAGATCTTGCTTCCAGAAGCTTTGAGTCTGAGCCTCACCCTCCGAGCCCCCTTACCCAGGGCTGGGGTACGGCGGGAGAAGACGCCCATCACTTTAGGTGGGCTTCGGGGAGCTGCCCCTGGCTTGCTGGGAGACAGGAGCAGAGACCCCACCCCATGGTTGCCCGGCAGGTGTGCCCCACCCCGCGCTCCGCCTTCCAGCCCAGGACCCCCGGCCCGCCCCGGCCGCCGGCCTGTTCCGCGGTTTGTGCCTGCCGTTGCTGTGGGAACTGCATTGGAAAATGCTGGGCGAGGTGGGCGGGGGACAGGCTGGGGCAGGCTGGGGCGCAGGGTGGGGGCTGGGGCAGACGCCTCTGCTGGGATGGGCTTCTGGGCCCCACACCCAATCCTGCTGCCCGTTCTCACCCTCCACACCCGAGGCCCAGGAGTACGGGGTCCCTCTGGTGGGTTGCAAGGTGTGGCCCAGCCGGACCCGCCACTCCCCCAGTCTCCCATCTGTTCCCCAGCTCTGGGGACCAGTGCCTGGTGACCTGCATCCCCAAGCCCCCATCTGAACTGCGCCTGCCATGGAAGCAGGGCCAGTGCCCTCGGTCCCCTGTGTCCATCCCCGGCTAGCCTCCCGACCTGTGATTCTGCCCAGGTCCCCCCGGAGCTGGGCTGAGCTGCTTCTCTTGCTCTGTTGCCCCCTGGCCAAGGCTC